TACACCACGACCTACATACCTAGTTATCCGTTATTTTGCCCTTGTTCTTTTATAGCCAGGGATGTGTGTTCCCACACGGCGCGCGTAATGATACCTAGGGCGAAAGAGGACAGGTTTCTCGGCTCTACTTGCCCTCTTGCTTTGCCTTGGGTTGCATTCTTGTGATGCAAACGGGAGGAACAAGGGAATGACAAGGGAAGAGAGCCGACTGAAACCATGAGCAATAACAAATACCCCGACGGGTTTTCTATATCCGATGAATAATAATCAACAATTGTCAATATCGACGCTGATGTCCGTCCATCAGTTCAAGGACGAGAAGGAGTGCCTGCCGCCTGCTAGTTTTGCATCGTAGTGCCTACGATTATTGTTCTGGACACCGAGTACGAGCAAAGGCTATCTATGTATCTGCCTGTCAACTATGACAGTATGGGCGCGTAAGTGGCGTGCGCCAATCATTCGCCAAAGAATTGTCGAATCCTTTTTTGCATTTTGCATTTCGATATTTGGAGGGGAAAAGACGCATGTCGCACATCACACATCACATCGTTGACGTGCCGTCTCTCGGCGGCGACGCCACCTTGATGGGCTCATTCATCATGTAGGGTGATAGTTAGTAACGGGCAGCGTGATGAGGGATGGAGGATCTCGGTTCAGGGAGGTTAAGGAATGATGTGGCGGTGGTGGTGATTCCTCCCTTTTGTGCACCTCACTGCACGAATACCGTCTGCGGGTTCGTTCAAAGGCATCGTGACACTGTACTTGTTCTACGCAGGCTTATCAGCAATACCTTCAGAAAAAAGCCCACCACAAACCACCCCCTGGTCGAAAATGGCTGAAGGGACGCCCAACGAGTACAAACCCTGCACCGTGCTGTGAACGCGTGACGTGAAAAAAAAAATATTACCGAGCCAGGATGACCGGACGACTGGGTATTACCAGCTCCAGCCCAAAGAGAGCAAAAGCCGGGGATTGTGTGCTCGTTGTAACGCCGCACTTTATTTTTATTTTACTTTTATTTTACTTTTTTTTTTGTGAGATTTCCTACTTGTTTTAGGCAAGGTCTTTGCTGATGCTCTGGAAATGCATCACACGATGGTGGACGACGGCGACTTGTCTCGCAGCCTTGTTCATGCCGCTCTCTTTCGACAACTGCCGTGTGGTAACTACCAAGATATTCGTATGCACGCACGTCTCTGGTGCGATCCTCGGCGCTCGGGCCAGAGGAGAAGCTAGTCCGCTGGCTGCCAACGCCGCAATGCAGGCAATCTGGCGAGCTGAAGGATCGCTGGCCAAGCACATCCCTGTTATGATAGCACCAGCTGGTGGATGTGACCTTGCCATGGCAAATGAGCCTGTGGCGGCCTGATATATTCACCTCATCCTTCCACGTAACTTGTTTGGAAGGCGTCTGCTTTCTTGAACAAGAAGAAGCCGGCGTCGGCCACTCCAGATGCTCCATCCGTCGGGGCGAAGGCAATGTACTCTGCCAATACGAAGCTATTGCTTGTTGATTCATATTAGAGTGAAACTTTCGCAAAGTTGTTCCGTATATAGTCATCGTGTTTCTACCTCGCTAGCGTCGCGTCTCATTTTCATCACGTCCACGGCACGGCCCTAGCGTAACTAGGTCAATGATGGAAATGAAATGCCTACTCAGAGACAGGTGAGCTGACATTGTATTGCCATGTCTCATCATTCTCACCCAGCCTAGTGAAGCCCGGAAGTGAAGGAGAGCAAGCCTCGGTAACTACACATATGCTATCATTGTCATGGCACCAGTGTCCGTACATGCCCGTCTTCTCTACGTGTACGTGCATGCTTGGTGTGTGCTTCATCTTTCTTCCATTGGCTACTGCCGCCTCGTCTGTCGTCTGCCGCCCAAAGACGTGCCTACTTGCTTACCTGTACTGCTGTGACGCCTCGATCATCAGCGTCCCTCCTGTCCCGTCCCGTCCCATCCCCAGCGCCAGACGTGATGCTTTGCGGCGTGGCGTCTTTTCTTGGGTGATGCATACTCTGTCAAATCCAGGCTTAAAAAAAGCTCTCATGCAAATTACACGTAGTTTGCAGCCCGTGTCGCAGGGTGAGAATGTGAGAGGTATGTGACGTGTTACCTGGGCGCGCGGGATGCGCCTGCCAAAAAAGCAAAGTAAGCATATCACAAGGGGGTGGTGGCTGGCGTATCAGTAACAAACTGAAATCCTGCACAATCTCCTTTCTTCCTTTAATGGAATTCTTCGTCTAGTCTTGCCGTGAACTTGATTGCTCTGCGTGTGTTGTTCGTTGGCGCGTGCTTTTTTCCGTCTGGAGCCCGCGCGCCGCCCGTTGTTTCAAAAGCGTTCGTTGTCGATGCGGCATTCCGGGATCCGTATCACTGTTCCTTTGTCTGCATTTCCGCTTCTCAGTGCCGGGTACCCACGACTTTGTTACCCGACCATTCGCGTGGCGCCGCCCAATGGAGGTATCACATTTGACCCTGGCAAGGTCCTTGCTGTCAGCCAGCCTCTATGCCACCACGCCCCCAGTCAGTCGTCCGTCTCTCGACAGGGCGTGTCTCGGTAGATATTCGTCTTTTCTGAATGAAAGCTGCCAACTGAAACTGCTTGCTTGCCTCGAATATGTGGTGCTCCCAGCGCGGCATTCGCAGCAGGCGGTCGGTCGGCTTACACTGTCATGTCGTCATGTCCTCGCCAACCTTGTGAATCACAGATATGTTTTCGTGTTATGCAGTCATATAATTTTATTAGCATGTCTCATCTCTCAAAGTCACCAGAATGCAGTCGCTTCGTGGATCCAACGTCAACTACCTCTGTTATGAGGCGACCTACCTACCCGCCCTCCCTCCATTAATCGCTCTCGTAGCCGATGCAGTTAGACGCGATCCGCCATAACGGAGATATCAGATCAAGATTTAGTTACCAAGTACAGAACTACTATGGAGAACACCCATCGAAATCTAGCTGCAAAAAATGGCAAGGGAAAAGCGGCACATATCCACCCGCCTCCAAATCCAACGGCCCCAACAACAAGCCCGCCCAGGCGATCAGGCGGGGAAGACTCATGGAGACTTGTGACCACAAACCAGAAACGTCAGATCAACGGTTCATGGAACGGGGTCACAAAAAAAAAGGATCCCAGAGTCCACAAGGCTGTTGGGATTCTTACCCGTCAATCTGTCCCACAGCATCCAAGAAAGAGGGACTCCAGAATGGGGGGAGGGGGGGGTTGATCCCCGCCATGGTCTTTCTTGTCTTCGAACAAATGGATCCAGGCAAAACGGCTATGACACAATGGATACAAATTCATGTACTACCAAGTACATACATAACCTGGTGCATGGCCGTCTCAAAAACAAGGGAATAAACGCAGGAGCCAGGCGTTCCCCATCAGCACCATCAGTGCTCTTGTATAAGCCGCCTTCCCGCAATTACCAGATTAGGAAATCAACCGTGATCCTGGTATCACGAAATCAGATATAAATGGTAGCTCCCGCTCCTGTATTGAACCGAAATATCTTCCCTGCATGGTCGTCATTTATATCCTTCCCAGGGGTCGGGGGAAAATCTGTGTTTCTCCGACACCCTTCCGGGCCAGGTACAATGTTCACTCATCCGTCACTTCATCAAACACGATCGCTCAAGTAATAAAGCCGTCTGTCAGTGAGCTCGATCTCAGGGACTCCTAATTTCAGATGGAAGATCCAATTCAGGTCTATGAGTACCAATTTTCTTCATTTTCCTTCTATGGGGAGAGTCCCAGCCAATCTGTGTACTCGTACGTGATGTAACTTTCCCGCACGCCTCGGCAAAGTCATGACTTCATCGTACATAATGATTGGCCCTAGGGCTCACAGTAGCCGCCCTGTTTCCAACAAATAAGATGAATAAGATGAATAAAGATAGCGACGCAGGCCCGGCTCAATCAGAGCCGTGCAATACATTACCATTGCGCTTACACACAGAGACAGTGTCCTGCACGGACCTACGTTGGACAAGGCAAAGCTGAAGGGCAGATCATCGGTTTCTTAATAATAAATTAGCCAGTGTGCCACTTCCATTGCAATCGGAGAGCTTGCGGTACTTTGCGGCATCCTTTTCGGGACGAAAGTCTTCTGTACCTGGCAGGCGTCCCGTGAGTGAGAAGCCGGGAGACGATTGTGGGAGAGACAACCACCATATCCCAGTACGGCAGGGCCGATACTTGCTTGGTGTTTCGTTACTTGTTGGCGGAACTTCGTCCTTGTCTGATGACAAATTTACCCTCGGCGGTTGGTTGTGAGGACAAATAAGTCTCAGCCACATCATGTGCATCCCCGGACTTCACTCGATAGGAGTAGTCACAGTGCTGAGCCAGTCTCCAGCCACCAATAATAACTACAGAAGAGTGTCTGTGATTCAATCGCAGTTCTAATACGAATTACCTGGATTCTCATTTTAGCTTGTTACGTATTGTATAAAGGTAGCATTGATTGGGCCTGTTAATAGTAGGTAACGCACTGCCTAGTTGGAACTGCACGGATATCAGGAGGGCGTTGTTAATGGCTGGGCAGACTTTCAGCAGGATGCATAGCGGTGTCTAAGTTATGCGAATTTCCGCCTTCATCAGCTTTACCGTCTTTTCTGTTCCGCCATCGTCGCATAACATATGCGTTTGATGAGGTGATACTGGTTGGGTTGAATAATATCTGGCTGGGCGGAAGTATCCAACCGCTGAACACTCAATGTGTTCGGCACGAACGCCCCTAACATACAAAAAAGGTAGATTAGAATTACCAAAACTAACAACTAATAATGGCTCAGCATACCCTCCAGCGGTTCGCTTGAGGTTGCTCTTCGCAGGCCTCACGAGCACCGACAAAGCCTATAGGGTAGGTGTGGGTCTGCAGGCGGCCCCTATTGGCTGAAACAGACCAAGCCCAAAATTTATCTGGGTTCTCCAGCTCAGGGACAGCATTGGAAACCTTTCGTCTCTTGCGACCAATTGCAATCACAAACACCATGTCGGGCGCACAAAAACTACGGCCGACGATAGGCTGCGCCATGCGCCTCGGGATTTCGGGCAGGGCCTCCCTCTCAGCGCCCTCGGCGATGGCGATGGCCAGCAGCAGCCGCCGCGCCGCGCCCTTCTCCACGACCGCGCCCATGTGCAAGCGCAAGACCCGGGACAGCAACAAGAAGCGCGGCGTCAGCAGCCTGTACCGCTCCGGCCCGCGCGAGCCGCTGTCCATGTCAAACGTGCCGCTGCCGCGGCCCCGCGCCGGCTACAAGCCGAGCGTGCCCGTGGACGAGGCCCACGGGCTCTGGGGCTTCTTCCCGGAGCCCAACAAGCTGATGTGGACGCCGGCGGAGATGGAGAAGCATGGGCGGGCGTGGACGGTGGAGGAGCTGCGCCGCAAGTCGTGGGAGGACCTGCACGCGCTGTGGTGGACGTGCTGTCGGGAGCGCAACATGCTAGCGACGACGAAGGCCGAGCTGGAGAGGACTAAGCTGGGCTTTGGCGAGTCGGAGATTGAGGCTCGTGAGCTCGAGGTGGGTTTGCGGCAGCAAGCAAGACATTTACACGGGGGGGAAACGTTGGGCTGACAGTGATGATCATAGGTGAACAAGACGATGAAGGCGATCAAGCACACTCTGACCGAACGACAATACACGTGGGAGGACGCGACCGGGGTGGCCGAGTCGGACCCGGAGATTGACCTTCAGGCGGAGGACGGACAGTTCTACAAGCCATCGGCGTACGAGGAGGAGACGAGCGCGCCGGATACCTGGGCCTCCGAGGCGGCGAAGCCTGACGAGGCTGGCAAAGGCGAGCCGGCAAAGGTGCCTAGCTGAGGCATCTTTCCGGCATCATCATTCGGGGCCAGGATGGAAGGGAGAACTTAGGGCCTTCAAAATGCACATGCAGCACGAGAGAACTCTTCCCGCCGACAAGGAGCGGCTGTACACCATGTAACTACAAGTTAGCATCGCTAGAAAGCAACAATGTACGATAACGGGATACGGGCAAATTTTGATTTAATTGCAGTAATCTTAGGCGGAGCTGTGGAACGGCGAACGCGGGGAACAAAGCTGTCCCTTTTCACCTGCGGCAGAAGAACGAAGCCGGGATGACGGCAATCTGAAGAGAGACAGGTTGTCTAGGATTGTATCGTAGAATTAGATTGCGAGCTCGTTCCGGGAAGCTCAACGAGCTTGTTAGTGTAACTAGGTACTGGTACTGGTTCGTGCTGGCGCTTGATCCAGCCGGGGTGGAGATGAAAGCGGACGATCCGGCTGCGAGGGTTCTTTTATTCTGTCGATATTTTTTGTGGTCAGTATTTTAAATTAACCATCCGACCTGTATTGGACGAGGCCGGATGGGAGGAGGCAAGGCTTCAGCAGAGAGATTGAGTTGCGCCGTGGCTTGGTCTGTCCGGACCGAGTGGAGGAGGTATATCAAAGTGGAATGGCCCAAGTCCCTGCTTCGCTGACAAGGGAATGATGAAATGGTGTGAATTGGGGAAATTTGATGGGGAAATTTTAATAGCTGTAATTAATCTTGCCGCAAGGAAAGGGTTTGAGTAGTGACTAAGGTAGTTAGTAGGAGTAGGAGATCCGTACAGAGTACCGGACATAGTTGGGTATACCGCATGTACCGGTCTGATGATGATAACAAGACAGCGTAAAGAGCAGGAAAAAAGTACTCCCTAAATCAATGCGCTCTCCTCTCCAATAATTTTACAGCATCCATTAATTCATAGCTCGTCTTGCTGGCAAGCACATAATGGCGGGTTGCTTTCTCGGTACCTCATCTCAGGCCTTAAATTGGCGGGCGGCGCAGGTACCTCTCTAGTTCTTCACCTCTCTTCCCTTTTATTATTAGCGGCCTCGAGGTCCATTCAACAACCCCGCCAGAGCATCCCCAAACAGACACAGCTTTCCCCTCGAACCCGTTTTCTTGCAACCTCCTCCTCAACTTGACCACCTCTCTTTCTTTCTCTGTCCCATCCGTTTTCGATATACCCTTGAAATTCAACACACACAACATTCGCCATGGACGAGATTGCCAAGGAGTACGACGTTCTTGTCCTCGGCACCGGTACGTCGCCCTGCTCTCTCTCCCCTCCGCCGCCGCCGCCGCTGCAAGCTCGTCCGCCATCGTTAGGGTCGTCCAAGCTGCCTGCCTGCCTCTGCCCCTCATGCACCACCGCCCCAAGCTACTCGCTGAAGGATTACCACTTGCAGCTGCTCAAAACACGCATTCTTGTCATCTCGAAATCCATTTCGCTAATGCTCTCCTCTCCCCACAGGCCTGACCGAGTGCATCCTGTCTGGGTATGCTGCGCGCCCGACTCCCACCGCCAATGTCCCCCCCGCCTTTTCGATCGATCATCATACATAGCCTAAGCTAACGCCACATCCTTCTACAGTGTTCTCAGTGTCAAGGGCAAGAAGGTTCTGCACATTGACAGAAACGATCACTACGGCGGGTACGTTCTGCCGCTTTCACGTCGACGACGCCTGTATACTTGCTCGGAATCGCTAACGTTGCCCCCCCTGTTTCAGCGAGGCCGCCTCCGTCAACCTTGAGACCGTAAGCCCGCACTTGATATTCATGCTTGCTATTACTATCGCCATGCTAACCACCTCCGAAAAATAGCTCTTCAAGAAGTACGGTAATGCCGCTGGCGAGAAGCCCTGGGAGAAGTATGGCCGCCTTAACGACTGGAATATCGACTTGGTCCCCAAGCTACTCATGTCCTCGGGCGAGCTGACCAACATTCTCGTCTCCACCGACGTCACCCGTTATCTCGAGTTTAAGCAGGTCACTGGCAGCTTTGTCCAGCAGGGCGCCTCCCCCAAGGCCACTGTCGCTAAGGTTCCTTCGGATGCTGGCGAGGCCCTCAAGTCTCCCCTCATGGGCATCTTCGAGAAGCGCCGCATGAAGTCCTTCATCGAGTGGGTTGGCACCTTTAAGCTCAATGACCCCGCCACTCACAAGGGTAAGCAGACGATCTGTCGCGAAACCACAACCGCTGCAGTGCCCTGGCTGACATGTCCCCCAAGGTCTCGATATGAACAAGTGCACCATGAACGACGTCTATGACAAGTTCGGTCTCGAGGCTGGCACCAAGGATTTCATCGGCCACGCCATGGCTCTGTACCTCACCGACGACTACCTTACCGCCAAGGGTGAGGCCCCCAAAGCCATCGAGCGCATCCGCCTTTACGGAAACTCGGTTGCCCGCTACGGCAAGTCGCCTTACATCTACCCTCTTTACGGTCTTGGCGAGCTCCCCCAGGGCTTTGCCCGTCTCTCCGCCATCTACGGCGGCACTTACATGCTTAACACACAAGTCAATGAGTTCATCACCGAGGGCGACAAGACCGTCGGCATCAAGGCCACTATGACTGGCGTCGAGGAGATGAAGTTCGACACGCGTGCTAAGATGATCATTGGCGACCCATCCTACTTCCCTGGCAAGACCAAGGTTGTTGGACACGTCCTTCGTGCCATTTGCATCCTCAAGCATCCTCTTGCTGGCACCAATGATAGCGATTCCTGCCAGCTCATCATCCCTCAGTCTCAAGTAGGCCGCAAGAACGGTATGTCACCTTCGTATTGCCTCTACTCGGGTGTTTTTTTCTTAACAGCATTCAGATATCTACATCGCTTGCGTTTCTTCTGCCCACAACGTCTGCCCCAAGGGCTTCTGGGTTGCCATCGTCTCGACCATTGCCGAGACCGAGGCCAACCACCACCTTGAGCTCCAGCCCGGTCTTGACCGACTCGGTGCTATCGAGGAGCAGTTCATGGTCAGTGGCTGAATGTTGTAAACTATTCCAACGTGTAACTAACGTTTGATACCATAGGGCCCTCCTATTCCCATGTACGAGCCCAACGAGGACGGCACCAAAGACAACATCTTCATCTCCAAGAGCTACGACGCTACCAGCCACTTCGAGACCACGACCGACGATGTCAAGGATATCTACCGTCGCGCCACCGGCGAGGAGCTCAAGGTCGAGGGTCTGCGAGAGGGCATCGTCGTCGCCGACGAGCAATAAGCGAGCACATATAAAATCGTACTTAGTTAACAGCGGGAAAAGGCCGTGAATTCTTTGATAGCTATGGCGGGATTTTTTATATGATTGACGCGAAGGGGCATATATCTAAAATGAAGATGAACTGCCAACAAGAGAATCTGCCGGGCGATGATTGATTCATATTGGAACTTTGTTTAGATTCCGAATATTGTTTGACACAAAGAGGAACAAAATTTTAATGCATCTTGTTATACTCCCGTCCGTTGCGCGTCTGCGCACATGTTTCTGACTTGAGCAACAACACCTTATGACGACTCATTGATTGCTAAGGCGCCATATGTTCACGGCGTGGTAATGGATCATGTTCATAATCATCAATTTTTCAGCCTGCAAACTTGTCGATCTAGAAACAACCACCTCTTCTTCAACCATGGTCTAAATGGCGTGCCTTTTTTATATCTTCTCATTCCCACCACCGCCCCTAAACTAGTAGCCGGTGCTTCTATTGACCGACGACGCGGTCAAATAAGGTCCTACTCTCGCGAACAGATGAACGCACACACGTGGAAAACAATGAAGAAAACTCCCGAAACGCCAACGAGAGCCCGGTATAGAGAAAGCTCTCCCTTCCCCCGAATAAATAATACGACTCAAAAAGGAGATAATGCCAAACATAACAAGGGGGTAATATGCCAACATGATGCAAATATATTTGGATGTCGCGGCGGTTCTTTTCCATCTTCTGTATAGAGCGCCTCTCGAACTGTTTTTTTTTCTTCGTTTATTTCCAGTCCGTCTTGCCGATACCGCGCTTTCCGGAGAAGAGGTACTTGGGCATGGCGGTGCCAATGTGTCGATCGGCTTCACCCTGGCGGGCCATTCTGTTCATGCGGCGCTGGTTAAGCTTGGAGATGCGGTCGGCCTTGGAGCGCTTCGTCTCGTCCTCGACACCGGCATCGCGGCGGCTCGACTGGGGCGCGCGGCTGGCGGGGCGGCTCTTGGAGCGGAGGCGGGCCTTGGGGTCGTCGATCTGCATGGCGTCGGCGTCCTCGGTGGCGGCGCGGTTACGGGTCATAGAGCGACCGCGCGACTTCTCGCGGGGGCGCTCCGTCATCTCGGTGGTGTCGTGGCCGAGGATGTCGAGAGCGTCGTCAAATTCGGCCACCGACTTCTTGACCATCTTGCGCGGGATGATGGCCTGGTTCTTCAGCCTCTTCTTCATGCGGGCCTCGTTGCGGATCAGCTGCTGCTTCTCGCGGATGAGCTCGGCCTTGTGCAGCACCTCGGCCTCGTCATCGTCATCAATATCCTCGTCGGAATCGTAGAAGCCTTCCTGCTCGAGCTTCTCCTCTTCTTCCTCTAGAGCGGCTAGCTTGGCTTCGATATCGGGATCAACGAAGTCAAACACGTTCTGTCCATTGAAGATTTCAGGCATCGCATCGTACTTCCACTCAGGGTTCTTGAGCAGGTAGTCGGCCTTCATGTCGAACCTGTAGACACCAGCACCACCGTTCTCGGCTTCGATATCCTTGGCGAGCTTACGGCGCTCTGGGTCCTCCTTGTCGTACTTCTTCAGATCCTTGACAGCGTCGGGAATGAAAGTCTCGAGGGTCTGGCCGCCCATGGGCTGCGCAACGTGGATACGGGCCATGACGTCGGCGAGGCGGCCGCCAATGTTGCCACTGTTTGCGGTTCCAGCCTTGAGCTTCTGGTTAACGCGCTCGGCAATGAGACGCTCGCAGGCAGCGTTCTTGACCTCCTGGACACCCTCCTGAGTGTTGCACGAAAGCTGAAGCATCTCAACCTCGCCGGCCTTAAGAATACCCTCAAGCTCAGCCTTGAGCTCGGGCTCGAGATCCTCAGGACGGGTCACATCAATCTTGTTGATGACAACAAACACTAGTTTGTTGGAGAAGAGAGGTTTGATGCTCTTGAAGAGCTGGATCTGAGCAGAGACGGAGTAGCCACACTGCTCAGACAGATCCATGAAATAGAGAATGGCAGATCGAAGATGAGCAATAGCAGTGATACTCTGCATTTCGATAGTGTTCATTTCCTCAAGAGGGTGGTCGAGAATACCCGGGGTATCGATAGCCTGGAAGCGCAGGTATTTATAGTCGAAATGCCCAACAAAGAGACTCTTGGTGGTGAAGGCATATGGCTGAACGTCGACATCGGCGCGGGTGACACTGCGGAGGAAGCTCGACTTGCCGACGTTGGGATAGCCGCAGATGAGAAGAGTGCGCGTGTTGGGGTCGATAGAGGGCAGACGACCAAGATGCTGGCGAACCTGATCGAGGTAGAGCAGAGGGTCCTTGAGGCGCTTGACCAGGGTAGCCATGCGGCCGAGGGCGGCTCTCTTCAGCTGCTTGCATTGGAAAAGAGATTGGCCATATTTGAGAAGACGGACGTAATCTCTGGAGATGGTCTCAATCAGATGCTTGGCGGTGGAAAGCTGACCGAGAGCGATGCGGAAATGGTCGGCATCGTAAAGGGTGTTGAGAAGATCCTTGTGGAATGGGTGGATGTCCTGAAGTCGGGGGAAGCTCTCGAGGATGGAGGCAAACTTTTCGGAAAAGGTCTCCTGGGTGAACTTGACCTTTCTGGTATAGAAAGCTGAGGACAACAGTCAGTCGGCGTGCGAGGAAAGATGCTGTGCAAAGTCAGGGTGTTCTTACCTCGAATTCTGCCAATTTTGAAACCGGCACGAATCTGTGTGGGCAGTTTGCGCTGGGTTCTGCTCAGGGCAATGTCCAGAAACTCCTGCTGGGTCGGTACGGGAGGAATATCCTTCCAAGTGGTCTTCATGATGGGCGATCTGGTGGTGAACGCAGGATATCGTCAGCCCAGTGTTTGGTGGTGAGAAGATGGAGAGGATTTTCCAGATGGCTGGCCCCGAGCGGCAAGGCGGTCAATTTTTTTTCGCCTTCACAAAAAAAAGTTTGGGCAGCGGGTGGAGTAGCGAAGGCCTTATCGATAGACCTATCACGGCCTCGCGTTAGTAGAAGAGGTACCCAGACACAAGAAATACGTGGGAAAATACCTCACTAAACACCCCGCTAACGATGCCCCGCCACAAGTCATGATAACCTGGAACAACTTGGCTGGCAGACTTTTCCCATGAGCTGAATGTCTTCTTTTTATTTCTTTTTTTCCCTCTTTGGGCAACTACAGTCCTTGACGCCTTTTCTTTCTTTTTCTTATAAATTTGCATTCTCTTATCGAGGGTCTGAAGTTTGACCTCCTTGGACCACACACACATACGCGCTTGAAAAAGACCGAAGTCACCACCACCACAATGTCTCACCTGGCTCAGTACAAGAAGGACTTCCTCAAGTCTTGCCACGACGGTGGCATTCTCAAGTTTGGAAGCTTCGAGCTCAAGTCCAAGAGAATCTCTCCTTACTTCTTCAATGCCGGCGACTTCCATACTGCTCGCCTAGCTGGCGCGATTGCCAAGGCTTTTGCACTCACCATCCTCGAGGCCCAGAAGAATGGTCTTGAGTTTGACATTGTCTTCGGCCCTGCCTACAAGGGTATCCCTCTTGCTACGGCTGTCACCATCAAGATTGGCGAGCTCGAGGCTGCCAACCTGGACAAGATTTCCTACTCGTTTGACCGAAAGGAGGCCAAGGACCACGGCGAGGGTGGCAACATTGTTGGCGCCAGCCTCAAGGGCAAGCGTGTGCTCATTGTTGACGACGTCGTGACGGCTGGAACGGCCAAGAGAGAAGCTATCGAGAAGATCAGAAAGGAAGGCGGAATTGTTGCCGGTATTGTCGTGGCCCTGGACCGCATGGAGAAGCTCCCCGCGGCCGACGGTGATGACTCCAAGCCCGGCCCTAGTGCCATTGGCGAGATGAAGAAGGAATATAGCATTCCTATCTTTTCCATCGTTACACTCGACGACGTTATTGATGGCATGCGTGGTCTCATCTCGGAGGAGGACATCAAGAAGACTGAGGAGTACCGCGCCAAGTACAAGGCCAGCGACTAAGTATCTGAATGTCGAACGACGGGGGAGCAGGGCGGTGGCAAAGCAAGGGAACTCAAAGAGGAAGCAAATATATAGCAGATATCGAAGGCTCAACTCTTCGTAGCATTGGCTTAATCGGGCACGTGCAATCAAGCACAAAGCTCTTCAGTTTCTAACTAGTTTATAGCGGCATCAGCGTGGTGTTTGGCGTGTTTGGCGTATTTGGCTTTAATTGACATCTTATACCAAGTATTTTATCTCATATGTGTATGTGCATATGCATGTATGTGTGTCGTGTATCGTGTATGCATAGCTATGCATTGGCCGGCGCAAACTGCTATTTCGCGACTGGCCTGCCTTATTCGCCCGGCACAGTTCACACAAACGACAGCATGGGTAGTCCATGATCAACATGAGCATAGTTGTGCCACAATAGCACCAGATGCATGTCGCTTGCCACCTTATTGAAGCAAAAGCCACAGGACAATTGCGACTATATTCCCCACTTCGGTGAAGGACTTCATGCAGGCGACGGTTCTAGGGAAGGGACCGCACGACGCTGTGTAACGAGAGAAGATACGGTGATACGCATCAGTCTCTCAATTGGGCGTGAAGGACGTCTCATTGTGCGCTGTTTTTGTTTGCCAACCTTGCATTTGTGACGGTCATGCTTGGCTGTCTCGAGTGAGGCGCTGGACGCCCACCGCCTACCTTGTGTCGTTGTGGCTGCATGCGAAGCCTTGCCTCTTCTGATGCAGTGACGATCAGAAAGTGACATGACTTCGTTGACATGCATCTAGCCACGGTCCTCGGGCTCTTCCCTTGCCGACCTGCTCTAGATTCCAAGTAACCCCTCAATACCGCTCCTGCAAGCATTTCTAGTTGAACGCTAATGGGGCGTGTCTGTCACCCCAGCATCCCGCCACCGCCAGGTCTTGAAGCAACGAGGAATCTTTCAGGCTCTGCCCAGAGCCACGTATCATGAATGAAGATGGTGAATTATGGTCATCTCTTCATGCATTGGCTAAAAGCAAGCCGATACACAGTGACAAAGCTAAGAAGCTAATTTACCCCAAGCTCCCTCCCTTGTGTTTGTGCTTGGCCCACTTCCTCTGGTTACCAGGCTGCGACCACTGACGACTAACTATTTGACTCCGTCCCATAGGCACCTCGCTGGACTTCACTTGCAAGTTACACATCACAAACCCGGGGACGAAATTTTCTGCCAGAACTTCTTCCGCTCTCTTCCCCTGTACCTACTGACACGCCCCGACACCTGCGAAACGTTACTTTCTAGCGCGATTCTGCGTGCCCGCACATCTCAACACCGGTCAACGACCCGCTCGCTCGATAGCTCCTCCGTTTGCCACCATGTAAGCTTGGAAATATGCATTTGAGGTGATGTCCGGGCAGTCGAGGCTAACTGGCCTTTCCACAATCAAGGCGTATCACGCTCAATATATGGGACCGCAAAGCGGGGGACCAGGACACCCTCCTGACGCTCGAAATCTTCCCCGACATGCCCCTCTCTACCCTCCGCGAGTCGATCCAGGCCGAGGCCGGGGTGGCGCCTGCTGCCCAGCAAATCTACCACAACGGCCGAGCTCTGACAGAGGATACCAAGACGATGGAACAGCTGCAAATCAACGATGGTGACATGCTGGCTGTTCACGTGCGAGAGAAGCGGTCGAACCCCAACCCGCAGGCGCAGGCTTCTCGACAGGCGCCGCCTCAACCCCAAGCCCAGGCCAGTGCGGGGACAAATGACCCGGAGATGATTCGTTTGCAGGTCCTCGGTGACCCGAACTTGCGGCAGCAGCTTCAGCGCCAACACCCAGAGCTGGCGGCCGCCGTGGATGACCCTGCTCGGTTTGCGGGCATACTCCGTGACAGCCAGGACCGTGAGCGGAGAGAGCGCCTGGAAAGACAACGACAGATTGAGCAACTGAATGAGGATCCATTTAATGTCGAAAATCAGAGGAGGATTGAGGAGATGATCCGCCAAGAGCGCGTCATGGAGAACTTGCAGAATGCCATGGAACATAATCCGGAAGGTGAGCACCTCCTCGTTTTGGAGTCGATTTTCGTCGACACAGAACTAATCAGCTTCCACCTATTATAGTCTTTGGAAGGGTACACATGCTGTACGTAAATGTCGAGGTCAACGGGCACAAGGTCAAGGCGTTTGTGGACTCTGGCGCGCAGGCGACGATAATGTCGCCCTCGTGCGCCGAGGCCTGCGGCATCATGCGCCTCGTCGACACGCGCTTCGCCGGCGTTGCCCGCGGCGTCGGCACGGCCAACATCATCGGCCGCGTGCACTCGGCCCAGATCAAGATTGGTGCCATGCATCTGCCCTGCAGCTTCACTGTTATGGAAGGCAAGGGAATGGACCTTCTGCTCGGCCTCGACATGCTGAAGCGGTACCAGGCCACCATCGACCTGGCCAAGGACAAGCTGGTCATCCAGGGCGAGGAGATCCCCTTCCTTGGCGAGGCTGAGATCCCCAAGGAAGAGGATGCTAGCCAGAACGAGCCCACCATTCCCGGCCCTGCGGGGACTACCATCGGGCAGAGATCCGGCGCCATCGAGCCTCCTAGTGCAGGCCCCTCTTCTGCGCCCACCGCCGGCGGCGCTGTGCCGTCAACGAGTGTCGCAACGACGGGTGCTGCCCCTGCGCCCATCGCCCCAACACCTACCGCCCCCGAGCCAACCCCGGCGGTCGCCCAGCCAACGGCTTCGGGACCGGCCATCCTGCCGCAACACATCGAGACGCTGATGGGCATGGGCGCCACGCGGGAGCAGGCGGTCCAGGCACTGCAGGCCGCCGAGGGCAACGTGGACGTCGCTGCCGGCATCATCTTCTTCTAGATGCTGAGGGCGGCGAATGGGGGAACGATTTTCTACTCTTCCCAAGATCGCATTTACGCGGGCGCGCTCAGTATTTTTATTGCGCATTGATTGGAATTGGGGCGTTGGGAGTTTCGTTTGGAGGCCAAAAAGAGAAATATATACAGGTAACGGCACGGGCGCCGAGGAGGGCTCGTGCAACGAATAAGTTATGACGTATTGCTTTTGTTAAACCCTCAATAAACACACACAGAAGACAGAATAGGATAAAATAAATAAAAACCGTTCATAATTAGCTATGCTGTATGTGGTAGACTTCTTTTGGGAAGGAAATGAAATGAACCAACGCCGAGCTCTTGTATTGTCGCGGGGGAATAAATCATCCAGCATCTATCGAATTTTGTACACGCAAGGTTTCAGGATCGCCGTTTCATCGATACCTTTATCCCCCTCGTCCGCAATCTTTGGCGCAAACGATGGCTTTTTCCCCCTGCCAGGCTCTGGCGCCTTGGCGGCGCGGCCTTTGGTCGGCGTCGCGCCCTTGATGAAGCGCATCTTGACAAACATCTTGTTGGAGAGGTCGACGGCCTCGGAGCGCTCACCGTTGAGGACGAAGCCCCGCTTCTGAAGCGCGTCGACAAAGGCGGACACGTCAGTGGCCTTGCGGTTGTCCTCGGCGCCGTCCACCTCGACGGCGAGGTCCATAGGATCAGCCGCGTCGGCACCGCCGCCGCCGCCCTTGCCCTTCTTGCCGACCTTCTTGCGGTTGCCGACGCTGTGCTCCACAGGCGCGTGCTTGTTCCGCACGGGGCCGAAGCGGCTCTTGATCTCGGCGACCCAGAGCTCGCCCTTCCAGTGGAGGATGCGGAATGCCTCCTCGATGAAGTCGATCCAGTTGGTGCCCATGAGGGCGAGGCAGAAGATGGCGACGTTGACGGAGCCCTCCTCGAGCGGCAGGTTGGCGATGTCGGCCTTGGTCACGAGCGCGTGGGGGCTCTGCAGGTCGTAGCTCTTGACGTCGATGCGCATCTTGCCCTTGTCCGCCTCGAGGGACTGCGCGAGGGCGGCGTCGCCGCAGCCCAAGTCCGCGATGGTGCAGGTGCCTCCTGTGCGAGGAAGAGGCGAGGTGGCGAGCGATGATGGGTGAGCACCGGGCTTGCCCTTGAATGGTTGGCGGATCTTGCCACGACTGCGTATGTCTTTGAGAAAGCTGTCAACAGGGTTTTCTGGCCACACCTTGACTTGACGACGGAAGCCCTCGTGATATTCGTCGAACATTTCTGGGGAATCCTGGAACAATGAGAAGGACTCCTCCGATGGTTTGGTATATAGTGTCTCATTTAGATGTCGGAAACGAGCAGAAATAAGCTTCTCTCGCATGGCTGCTTGCAGAGGCGTGAGCTTGGGTGGTGCTGGCGGCAGTTGTGTAGGGATGGCAGCCGCCTTTTGCTCCTTAGCATCGACGGCAGCTGGTGAATCGTTATCCACACATTCAGCGACATGATTCTCATGCTTGCTCTTCTTTTTCTTCTTCTGATCTCTTGCATCCTTTGCTTTCTTACTGTCACCTTGCGGCTCCTGCTTCAGCTTAGTCCCCTTCCCCCCTTCATTATCATTCGGCTGTGCATCATCCCCTGTGGCACCGTTCTTCTTTTGACGTTTGGTTGACTTGTCTTTCTTTGGCGCATTGGGGTTCTTTCCCTCCACAACGGACTCGTAGAGCTGTGTGACATTATCTGCATTGACGGCCTCGTCTCGAGGACGGCCGGCTCTCTTGCGCTTCTTGCCAGGCGCAGCCCCGTCGCTGGGGCTCGCCGTTTCAGCTTTGAGGCTGTCGGCAGATATAGACCACCCAGGAACAGCAAACATGGTTGCTGTATCCTCGTAAAATCTGTTGACGATTGTTATTGCAGCTCAGGAACTGTTAAAAAAAGTTTAGAAGAAGTTGCACAGGTTCATTTTTTTTATGGGGTTTTCGGGTCACTTCTTGGACATTGGCCCCACTAGTTGTGGTTTATCAGGAGGCTCGCTCTAAACTTACCTCAGACAGGTAACTACCTATGTACTGTATGTACATAGTGTTGGTTATTTTATACAGCTCGAGATGCTCAACGACAAAAGTGCAAGTTGGTTGGTAAGATTCTCTTAGGGCAAAATTCCGACTGAGGCTTTATTCCTTCTGTCTAGCTTCGAACCTTCGACTTTTTCTGCAAGATTGAAGACCATAGCTAGCACAGAGTGGACTTCATCAGCGTCCAAATCGAGTGGCTCTGCTTTCAACTGCCTCGAAGCTATCTAGAAGGAGAAGACATTGAATGGCAGCCGACCATTTGCTTGCTGGCCGACGAAAGGGATACGATGTGCATTGATTCTTAGAGCCTGAGAGAGTGACACAACACCAGCGCCATGACCGGAAATATGCCTGAAAATGGCAGAGGCTGCGAAGACCTATTGCCAGTTACAGGCGTGGCCTGCTGTTGTACATACATAGGTGGATGGGTCTTTGCCATACGGGAGAATCTGGTACAACCCCACGCGTGCGTCATACAGGCCTTGCACGACAGATGGGCGTACAAGGCATGTAATGTAGCATCTGGCATGCACGGTGCGTCAACTGTGCATTACAACGACACAGTTTAGCCTTGTCGTGGCAACCAAAGATTGGCCGGGCTTGGTTGCTTATAACGAGAGAGTTGGGGCCGAAGGATGTAGGAAAGCACCACGAAATTTGGCAGACATAGTGCAACCTGTACGAATTATATCTGCGCTGGATAGCGACAGATATTCGCAGCTGTACGGAGTATACCGGAACTTACATTGGGACCGCCAAAAGTGGCCAGTAATGCCATGCCGATGCGACCTGGGGTCCAGCTAAGGTGTTCGGCCGCCATTTCGGATCTTATAATTAGATCGGACGAGGCTCTGAGAAAAAGGAACACCTTCGGAATATCTTTAATGACCGACGCCTAGGTTATGCTATGGCAAGATGGTGGCGCCTAAGAACGTAGCAAGCACGTTAAGGGCGAGGCAGTCGAAGGGGGGATTCGGCACATCGGTGATGGGAATCGAAGAAGGATAGGTGCCTTGAGGTAGGGAGGGAGGGTGCTAGTGCGATTTAGGAGAGACGCCAGAGGCTGCTGAGTATCTGATCGTACCCAAAGCTAGTCAAGTGGTTAGATGGGATGAACTTTGATTCTGACGGAAGCGTTTGCTTCTGTGAAGCGTGCTTGTGTTGTGTGATGTGGCGAGGTTGTCTTTTGGCGGATTGGATTACATGCAGGCTGCAGGTACCTTGCTTGCTTTACCAACTCCTAGACTGGGGTTTTAAGCGTTGTTTATAGTGGCGCAACGGTTAGCGCGATGGTGTCGTTGGGCCCCGTTGAAGCCCACTAAAGAACTGGACTTGCGGGCCAGGGTAAAGGTGACGGCGTTGGCTAAAAGAAAGCCTAGAACGCCGTATCGTGAACTGGGGTTCGGTGGGTGTTGCAATTTATTTCGTGTTTGCCATGCACTCGAGACTTGGCGGATAGCCTGCAACGTAGATAAGGTAGAGTGCCCACGAAGTGAGGAAGGTAGACTTAGAGTATGTAGGTATGTACAGTAGGTGCCTGTGGACGTTGAACCGAAATGGTCCCGTCTTCCAAGGCCAAGCTCTGTCCTCTCAAGTTAGGTACCTGCTTGGTACCTGCTTGCAGTACCTGCCTTCCTAAGGCAGGCAGGTACCTTTCGTATGGCGACTTGGGTACCGGGTACAGGTATCCGTACGATTGCAGTACCTCCTCATCCGCCCACCCACCCACCTACCTAAAGTACCTCATTAGGTATTGAGGGGCAGCCTCCCCATCCTACCCATCTCCCCTCGGCCCTCCTGGGACTACCAGAGCCCATCCATCTCGCAGCACTCAAGCCACCACTTCAACTTCTTCACCACTGCTACACTTGCCATTGGCACGCCTTCTCGCCGTTTCCATATTCGTCACTGCAACTCACGCATCTAACGCCGCTCACGAGACTCGAATACCCTCTTGCCGCTCATTCTCCTCCTACTACCTACTTCAACGCTCTGCGAGCTGCCTTGGAAGCTCTGCCCCCACTGACACTTGCAACCACCCGATTGCTTTCTCTGCTCGCTCTTGTGTTTTTCGCAGTAGGCCAATCTCCCAACACCAGATTGCCCTTTAGGAATTCTACTTCCTCCTGGCTCCTCCTGAAATAGGGGCTTTCTCATGAAGCTTTCAGCCTTTCCCTAACCGTCAAGTCCAACCTGGCATCCCATCCCGGAGCAAGCTTTGCATCACCAGGTAGGCTCCGCCATCAGACCTGCCTTCTGCATCCTCCCGGGCCGATGCAACCTATCTTCTCGTATCTACTTACATGTGTCCTCTAGTTACACCGTTACCGTTTCACATCCTGCTGTGCTGCTTCAAGAGCAACCGGACAGTAGGACAACGCCGCCTTTTCCTCATGCACCTATCTGTCTTTGGCTTGCTCACAACCATCCCCAACCACTCCCTAACACAAATTTCGGCACAAATTTCGGATTTCAGCGCATTTTCCCCCTCTTTCATCTCGACTATATCTACTCGGGATTGCCCTTTCCCGTCTACTCTTTCGTTTCCACCCCATCTCTTCGCCATACTGTGTCGACATTCCAAAATGCCCCTTGTCAAGTGATGCAAGACTTTATTAACCACGGACGCTGCACCATCTGAGATCACGCCACCTGAACCCAACCTTACGCAGCTGCTGCCTTAACAATCGCCACAGCGTGGAGATGGAAACCACCTCGGACCTCACGGCCCCCCACGGCTTGTCCGAAGCCTCGGGCAGACAGGACAATGACCAAAATGAGCCTCACAAGAAGCCGATCGTTAGAAAGAGAACCAAGACAGGCTGTATAAGTATATACTTCTCTCTGATACACGAAAGTATTGCTGGCGGACGCTAACGTGCCTCGCAGCGTGTCGCAAGAGACGCATAAAATGTGACGAGGGCCGACCAACTTGTGCCAATTGCACAAGATCCAAACGTGTCTGTGAAGGATATCACCCTAGAGTGGTTTTCAAGGAGCCCCTTAGCGCTGCTCAAGGACCGTTCCAACCCCCAGGCTTTGCTGGAAACAATGCAGGTGACATGGGGAATATGCATGCCCAGTTTGCTCGAGCTGGCATGCGGCCCACGCTGACTCCCATTGCCCCTCGGCCGCTTCTTCGAGGGCGTTTGGGCCGACATGGGCCTATGGGCATGGCTGAAGACGTCTTCTTTACTCGGCAACCAGGTATGCCAGCAGCGCAGCCGCAGAACTTTGACTTCAACATCAGGAATGAGGCCGGACTACCGGAGCAAGCACCAATTCTCCCAAACCCTCTCATGGCGCCTCGACATGAGCACGGAATGTCGGCTATCGCCAGTTCTTCGAAATCGACACAGGGAACAAACTGGCAGGATGGGCCTAGTGCGTCTCATGGCAGGCGTACCCAGCCAATATCAGGAGTGGACCACCACCAGGTCTCACCTTATGACGACGAGGACGACGATGCCATGTCGATATCCGATGACGACGCGATACTGGCTGGAAGCTCCCATGGTGCGCACAGCGTCTCCAGAGTATGGACTGGGACCCGAATGGATGCCCGGAGTTTCGACTATTTTGCTAATAGCGGAGCTCTCTTTTCTTATATGGATTCGCCAGCAAATTCAGAGCTACGGAATCGGGGCGAAATAACAGTATTCGCCCATTTCCTCAACGTCACCAGCCCAACTATTTCCATGTATGAGCGCATGGCCGCCTCCGATCAGATGGAGAAGCAGGACTTTTCCCAATCAAAGGGGCACAATCTTTGGAGCTGTAAGTTCTTGATCGTATCGGTGCAAAGCAATAGCGCTGACCTTCGAAATTGCAGACACGCTACCAGTGATCGCATTTCACCATCCGGGATTGCTTCATGCCATGCTTGCCTTGGCCAGCTTTCAACTTGCAAAAATAAAGGGCCAGACCCACGTCGCCGCCATAAGACATTACTCGAGGGCAATCAGACGTGTTGCAAGAAATGTCAACTCTCTTTCCCGCAGAACACATATAGCTACAATTGCAGCTACCTTGCTATTGGGCTACTTCGAAGTTTGGATGGCTGATCACAAGAATTGGTGTAAGCACCTCAATGGTGCCAGCATCTTGCTCCGAGAGATCCCGTTGCAGACGCAAGCGCGCCGCTGCTTGCCGAGGCGACGACAACTAGAGCAGCAACGTTCCCTGATAGACCCGACATTTGTACCGAAGGAGCTAGAAAAGCTTGACTATGGGTTGCTTCGGACCATTTCTGGATGTCCGGTACATGCCTGCGATTACGGGCTGGTGGAAGATGAGGCAGAGACGGTGGATTTGCTCAATGTAACAAAGCAAGACATCCAGAAGTTTGAAACTCTCTCCGACTTGTTCTGGTGGTTCTGCAAAATGGACGTTTACCAGAGTGTGCTCGGTGGCACCAAACTTTTGTGAGTTACTTTGACGAGAAAATGACAAATATTCCGCTAATAATGATGCAGCATGGACTATCAAGACTGGACGCAAATCCCCCCGAGAGCGCCAATAGCACGATTCGGACAGATGTACGTCATCACTGCTCATAGAAATCCTGAGGATGCTAACAGTTTCTTTAGCTTTGGAACGTATGACCATTTGATCTTGCTACTTGGTCGTGCCGCGAATTTTGCCGCCAAGGATTTGGCAAGAAAGCGCAAAGCGTTCAAAGCTCCGCCCGGCCCTCCCTCCGGAAATACACCGCCCCAATTCCCGGGAATCATCCCCGTTCAGGGGGGTTTTCAAACGCCCATGGGGTTTAGTCCGCCGCGCCATGTCTCCCCTCAGAGCGAACAAACGGACGAGTCAGATCCTCGCTCCACGCTTGATGTGGCCCTTGAGGAGTGGGAGAGCATCCAGAAAGCTTTTGATGCTCTAAGGGATAGCTTTGGGCCAGATTTTCGGCCACTAAGTACGGAATTTTCGGATAAACGGGAGTCCCCGTTCGGACTTGCTGTCCAGTACCGTACTTATGCCATCTCCGGTGTATGGATGAACTTCTACATGGGTTTGATTCATCTGCATAGGGCCCACCCGAATATGCCACCGGCGGCTATGCAGGCAGCAGGAATGGCTGCCAGGGAGACGGAAACATACGCGAATCAAATCGGGCGTATTGCTTCTGGACTTTGGGCAGATAGCCCCAGGTCGACTCCGGATCCCCTTCTTGTGGCGGCACTGATTGAGTGCTCCTTCTGCTTATTCGTGGCTGGCGTACAGGTAAGACTAGTGTGACGATGACTTCCTCAAGAGGTGAGAGTACGGTGGTTAATGCGACTTAGTATCATGTGGACAACCAGCGACATTGGCTCATTCAGAGAATGTCTGATGTTGCTGAATATACGGGCTGGCAATCAGCAAAGCAGATTGCTACCGGCTGCGAAGCTGTGTGGAAGAAGGCAGCCCAAATGGGCCGTGGCCCCCCATATGTCAGCAGAACTCGGACTGTTGAAGACCATGCACAGTCAGTATGGCGCACTGCCAGACGCTTGGATGAGGTCTTCGAGCAAGAAGGCGACAGGCGCATTGTGCTGGCGAGAGCGGACAGGGCGCAATTTGCCCTTGGGCTGCTTGCTGCAGAGGAGGATTTGGCTCGTCTCGAGCTACGTGACGATCGCACGTAGCGGCAAGAAGAGTTGCTTGTTTTTTGTTTGTTCTTTTTTGGTTTTGGGAATCGAAAGAAACACGATACAAAGCTGGGGGCACATCTTACAATCATAGCTGATCCCGAGCAGGAAGGCGCTGCAGCTTCAAGCAAGATGCCCATGAGTATCAACATATTCTTGTCTTTATCACAGACTTATTTATGGATGGGAGATTTATCGGCAGCTATATCGAAGTGCGCTGGTTGATGTAGATTAATACAAGCGACTGATGAGCATATTTGGGTTTCATGTTGTACGAGCAAGTATTGTTGATATGCTTTAATTCTATAAAATACAGCGCAGTTTCATTTAGTTTGCTGGTAGTCGCTCAACGACGGCGGCCATTTCCTCGTCTGTGTATATTCTGAAACCCTTTTCCTTGGTGACGCTGGCAAGCTGGACGTTTTTGGAATCGAGTTTCTCCTCCATGACTTGCTTGAGAGTTTTCAAGACGAGAGTCTCGGCATCGACAATAGTCAGGGACTGAGAGGGGGAAGGGGACAGAAAATCAGCGTCAACCTTCAAGCATGGGTCAAGAATGCACAGTAGTAAGTAGGAGGACATACCTTGTGGTATTCGTTTTGAAGTTCGGCTTGGGCGCCCTCGGAGCCCGAGCCAATGGCCTTGGCATCATATCGGTAAAACGTGCCGCTGGGCTCGGCGTGGAACAGCTGGGGCCCGTTCTCGTCGTGGCCGGCGATGAGCAGAGCGACGCCAAAGGGCCTGCTCATGATGGTCTCCTCGCCGTCGGCGCCCTCGCCGAAGCGGAGGGCGAGGTCGCAGATGGCCTGGGTGGTGCTCTCGACGCCGAGGGCCTCGTTGTAGTTGAAGTGGTGGTTCTGGCACTCGACGCGGGCGTGCTCGATCATGGAGCGGGCGTCGGCCTGGAGGCCGGACATGGCGCAGCCGATGTGGCGGTCGATCTCGACGATCTTCTCGACCGACGAGGTCTCGAGGAGGGTGGAGGTGACGCGCTTCTCGACGCCGAGGATGACGCCCTCGGAGGTGGCGACGCCAATGGCCGTGGAGCCGAGCTTGATGGCCTCGAGGGAGTACTCGACCTGGAACAGGCGGCCCTCTGGAGAGAAGGTGTTGATGCCGCGGTCTGTGAGGGAACGAGGAGGAGTTCTTGTTAGCTAGATGATGGAGAAGAGGGAGAAGAGGGGGCACGTTTGCCGGGAGGGTTGATCTGCGCCCGTTTCCGGCCGAGCGTTTGCGTGGTTGCGCAGGAAAGGTGAGGGGAGGGAGAGGGAGGGCAGCTTGCCGTATTCTGATCTTGACATGAACATGTTGGGCGGTGGTTGGGGCTATCGCCACGAGATGTAGAAGAGTATTTTGTATCGGTCGAAAAGAAACGGCGTGCAGTTCGGCGATCGCTTGAAGTCGCAGATGGAGCTATCGGGGAAGAGAATTCGCGGGTTGGAAGTGTTGTGGTCGTGGGAAACGGGCCAGGCTGAAGCTCTGTGACCGCGGCGACAGGTCGAAGTGGTGAGCTAGGCAATTGAGCCTACGCAGCCTCTGGTGCTTGGTCCACTTCTGGCTAGTGCCGACGCTGCTATAGTAAGTTTGCGCAGCGAGTAACGACGCGATGGCGAAGAGGTCGTTTTATCGCCGTGTTGTTCAAAATGTGGGGCTGGATGAATAAACACCTAAAGCATGGGAATTTTATTTATTTAAATATATCTGCGAAATATGGCGAAATCAGTTCGATGGCTGGTAATGGTCGCTTCTTACCTATACCTGTACAATTTGCAAGAGCACAAAAGCAGCACCGGCTAGCTCCCACAGTCCGGGGCCTTGGTTAATCCGCACAATCGTTTTTAGACCAAGAGCTTTGGGGGTGGGGCAGCCACTGTAGCTGTAGCAGACCAACCCCCACTAACAAACGCCTAGGCGCGTCTCGCACTTGGTGGGACGTGATGCTCATACTACCAGAACCTACATACCTATACATCACAACTGCTCGCCCCAGCTTTTTCTTGTTTTCCATTTTTAGATACCCCACGCGCGTTCATGAGCATCGCAAACCGTCCCTGCGGCGCCTAGTACGCAGCCTGCCAATTACCATCCCACGGCCGACGGTACAATGTCTGGCGCACCGCGATCGTCCACCAGTCGCGCAAACGGCTACGGCGACGAGCGGCTGCGCATGACCAGCAGTAACGTCGGCGGATACGGCAGCAGCAAGCACGAGCGACAGGAGGGCCGGAATGCCCCCACGCCGTCGGGTGGCTTCCAAGCGAGTCTGGGGCATAAGCGCTCCGCCTCGGGAAACCCGCGCCCCATTAGCATGGCCGAGGAGAGGCGCTACGAGGAGCGCAAGGTTACGGAGCGCACGTACGAGGCACAGATCGAGCGCATAGTACCGCGCACGGCCAGCCCCGAGAAGATCCAGCGCCGCAGCGCGCCGGGTGAGCGCAGGCCTGCGGATGTTCCTAGGCAGAAGCCCGCAGAGTACCGGCCGCGAGACTCGAGATCTGAGGTAGCTCAAGGTATGCTTGCACCTCCACCAAGAAGGTAAGGAGCGCGGAATATAGACTGACGCCGACATTTATATAGCACCATGGAACCCCGAGGTCACGTTGCGCCCTCACACGACAGCACCCCTCGCCTCGCGAGTGTCAATCCCGCCGCTCGCTTCCACCGTACCCAACGCTCCACAACCCGTACCCTTGGCCGAACTGTCCCTCGACGTTCAAGAGGCAGTTATTGTTGAAGATCTGCTGTTTGCCTTCATGGGCTATGAAGGACAGTACATTCGATTCGCCAAGGGCTACGATCCAACAGAGGAACGAGATCGGCTATCTGGTCCTGGATTTCGCATGCTGCCCGGCCTCGATCCGAGCCTGCACGACCTCGCGACTTCGATGCTGAAAATGGCCACTTACTATTCCGCTCTTGAAGCATTTGTTGACGTCCAGAGCCGGGAGGAATTCGGCGCTGTCAACCACGCGCTCTGCGCTGCCGTCCGCAAATATTTGCACGATTACATCGTCATGATTGCTGAACTAGAAACACAGTTCCTCACCAGCGACACGTTTACAGTACATGTACTCAACATTCACACCCTTCCAACCAGCCATTTGATGCTTCAACTCTATACACTCGCCCAAAAGCTGCTACAGAAGAACGGTTTGCTTGACGACAGTGATGATGAAGACGATGACGACAGCGTTGAGGATTACGACAAGGTCATAGAGCGACTTACGGAGGGCGGGGATCTGATGCCTGGAAACATGTCGGCTAAGAAGCTTTGCAAAGGCGGTGTCGTGCTGGGCTTGGTGACGCAGCGTTTAGAGTCAATGGCCGGAGATCCCGCCGCCCGGACGCTCCTCACATCGTTGTTGCGCGACGCCAGCAAGCCGTACATGAGCATGCTCAATGAGTGGCTGCATCACGGTGCCATCCGCGACCCGCACTCCGAGTTTCTTATCAAGGAGCAGAAGAGCATAAAACGCGAGCGACTGGAGCAAGATTACACGGACGAGTACTGGGAGCGACGATACACGATTCGCGATAAGGACGTGCCGCCTCAGCTTGAAGGTGTCAAGGAAAAGGTCTTGCTAGCAGGCAAGTACCTCAACGTCGTTCGCGAGTGCGGCGGCGTAGACGTCAGCAAGGTTGTACCTGATGTGCCGACCACGTTTGATGACAGCCGATTCCTGGAAAACGTCAACAACGCGTACGCACACGCAAACCAGTCGCTCATGCAGCTCCTCCTAACAACACACGCTCTACCCGCACGCCTGCGCTCGCTCAAGCACTACTTCTTCCTCAACCCATCAGACTACTTTTCCCACTTTATGGAGCTCGGCAACCCGGAGCTGCGCAAGCCGGTCAAGTCGGTCAACGCCGGTAAGCTGCAGTACCTGCTGGACCTCATCCTGCGGCAGCCGGGCAGCGTCGTGTCGCTCGACCCCTTCAAGGAGGATGTCAAGGTGGAGATGAACGAGGTGACGCTCATCAAGTCGCTGCAGCGTGTCGTCAACATCACGGGCATTGAGCAGGGCGAGGCGCTACAGCCGCTGTCAAGCCACCAGCCGGTCGAGGTGGACAAGAACGCGACGGGCTACACGTCGCTGCAGTTTGACTACGCCGTGCCCTTCCCCGTGTCGCTCGTCGTCAGCCGCAAGACGGTCTGGCGCTATCAGGCGCTCTTCCGCTACCTCTTCTCCCTCCGCTACCTCGAGTCCCAGCTGTCGTCGGCCTGGCACGTCCACACGCGCGGTGTCAGCTGGGCCCACCGCAGCTCCAGCCGCGAGCTCGAGCGCTGGAAGCGTCGCGTGTGGACGCTTCGCGCGCGCATGCTCACCTGGGTCCAGCAGCTGCTGTACTTTTGCACCGCAGAGGTCATCGAACCCAACTGGTCCAAGTTTATGTCGCGGCTTGACGAGCGCGCTGACAACGGCGGCGCCAGCAGCGAAGAGGCGCCGTCGGGCTCCTCCTCCAGCAGGACCGTCGACGAGCTCATGCAGGACCACGTCGACTTTCTAGACACGTGCCTCAAGGAATGCATGCTAACGAATAGCAAACTACTCAAGGTAAGGATGCTGCTCTCTACCCCTACTCTCCCCCCGCGCCATGTGCAGAAGAAAAAAGAGGCGAAGAAAACGGCACACAGAAACTAACTCGGCCCGGCGTCCGTAGATCCACGCCAAGCTGATGCTCACGTGCACCATGTTCGCCAACTACACAAAGTTCCTCTCGCAGGAACTCGACAAGATCGATCCGGACCTCGCCGTCGGCAGCCCTAAGCCGCGCGGCATGACCAACGCGCAGTGGCGGCGCTTCCAAGCGGACCGCGCCGCCGCCTCGAACCGCAGCAGCAACAAGGACGGCGGGTCCGCGGCGGCAGACGTCTCCGTCCTCTCCGCGGACGACGCCGAGGCGCGCTTCCGCAACCTCAACGACCTGATCCGCAGGTGGGAGTTCAACTTTGGCCGCCACCTGCAGATCCTGCTCGACGCGCTCAACCACTACGCGGCGACCGAGACGGTGGTGCTGCTCAGCCTCTGCGCCCGCTTGAGTACCGTCAACCAGGGCACCGAGTTCACGGGGCTCAAGGCCGACGAGGACTCCATGTCAGCGATATGATCCGGGCTGCTGGGAAGAGGGAGGGGGGGTTCATCTGATCGCATTTTCTGATGGCGTTTTAATTGTTTTGATTGCCTACGGGTTCAAATACTGAACTTCTTTCGTGGCCTTCGCTAGTTAATGGAAATGAAATGACGAAATGAGCACATGCAAAAAGACTATCAAGGCCGCGCGGCATCTTTATTCCAGACGGGAGATAATGTTGCATTAAATATCGAAAGCTAGAAAAGGTCGTAAAGCTAAGCAAGATATTGCCACCATCTGTCCAACGCCATACCAAGACCCCTTTTGTCGTGAATAGGAAGAAAGAAAAACCCAAAAGAACAACAGATAAAAATATTCTCCTTGCAGAGATGCGTGGGCATGTATATGAAGATTTAATAGCAACAGGCAGCAAAAATGAGCCGAGAAAGGGAGGTGGAAAGAACCGTAACGTGTTTATCGTGGGAGTTGGGTATAGAAGTCGTCTTGTCTTGTCATCTTGTGAGTTGAATGCGTCTTGAATAACGAAGAAGCCAGTAAAAGGAATATGAAGGAAAAGGGGAAAACAAAAAGAGGTAAACAGTGCAAATAACCAATTGGATCCCGAATTGAATTCTCCAGGCTGCCAGCATGCAGATGGTCGTAAATCTTGAGCTAAAAGAGCTCATCAATGGGTGGGAAAGGGCGTAGATGGAAAAGTATAGCAATGTGTCGTCAGAAATGAGTTACTTGAAAAGGCTGCGAATGTCCATGAGCTTCTGCCTAGCCGATTCAGCCTTGTCAAGAGACCGGTTTTGGCTGTCCATGCTGAGGTTAGCAAGCTTGGTCTTTTTATCCTGTAGCTCAACCATTTTCTCTTCGAAGCTGTTGCGCATGATGTAGCGAACCGTCTTGACTGGTCGCTTTTGACCCAGACGGTGGACGCGATCGATAGCTTGCGCTTCGGCCGCCGGGTTGAACTGTGGTTCCATAACGTATACGCTGTTGCCAGAAGTCAAGTTGAGACCAAGACCACCGGCCATAATTGATACGAGAATGACGTGGATATTGTCATCCTCGCGGAACTTGTCCATGGCTGCTGTGCGAGCCACGCGGGACATGGATCCGTCGAGCCGAGTGAAGGAGATGCCAGCAGCCTTCAACGCAAGTTCAATCAAATCCAGATGCGATGTCCAGCCAGAAAACACCACGGACTTGTAAGGTGGCTCTGAGGGGTTGGCCCTGGTGGCCGCCTCCGACTTCAGAAGATCTTCGAGAAGGGCCTTTGTCTTTGTATGTGGACCGTCGTAGCCGTCAGTCTGCTTAGGGCCACGGCTTGCTTTGTGGCTAGGACCATCATGCTCAGCTTCGACGTCTTCTCGTCGCAGCTCGACAAAGTCAAAGCGAATATGACTATTGCATACGGGGCAAGGACCAGCAGTATAACCAAGGGGAACGCTAGATTTGACGCGCTCCTTGAAGCTGCGACTGCAAGCGCGACAAATGACGTGAAAACATGGTGTCATGTAACCAAGGATATCTCCCTGTGACTCATTTTCCATAGAGTCATCATTAGCTGCAAGCTTCTTGCTACACTCAATGCAAGCATCGTTATTCGTATCTTGCATGAGAGTAAACATTTCGTGCGCCTTTTGATGGGAAAGAGCCGGCCCATCCTCATCTTCATCATCAATTGTGATGGCCATCTCAGCAGACATGCCGGCAAGAGCAGTTATATCTGATTCATTCAAAAGGTCTTTGCCGTGAGCACAAAGCAGTCGCAGTCTCAGAATGGCTTTGAGGATGTGGATATAGGTGTTGCCGCCGAGTCCCTTATCACGCGTACCGGCAAGCACTCTCACGCGATCTTGGGCGTTTCGTGCAAACATTTCGTAAACGGTGCGTTCTTCTGGCGAGAAGTCAAGCTTGACGACAAGATCTTGGCGAGGAGGCAAATCGATCTTATCCTTGAGTCTCCTGAGGGTGATCGTATCGACGAGTATACGCAGCTTTGGGACAATCTCAGGATCGCAGACCTTGAAAGGCTCCACAATAAAACGATGGAATTTGCTCCTTTCATGGAATGGATGAAGGCGCAAAAAGGCAAGCAGGGCGGCAAGATCGTCCAGCCGGTTTTGCACAGGCGTACCAGTGACAGCCCACTTTCTTTCCGACTGCAGGCGACAAATGGCTTTGAACTGAACTGTGCTTTGCTCGCGAATCATATGGGCTTCATCGAGAACGATTCGAAACCAGCCGATTTCTTCCAACGGATACTGGCCCTGCTTTCCTCTCTTCCGAGAGCTCAACTCGTTCGAGACTGAGCCATAAGTAGTGATGACAACGTCAAAGGAAGCAAGCCTTGCTGCATCTCTGATGCGGCTTGGGCCGTGATAGATGTGAACGTTCAAAGCCCCTGGCTTAATGTGCTGCTTCACTTGCTCTTCCCAATTGGTGACTGTGCTTAGAGGACACACGATCAAGGTAGCTCTTGAGTTTCTAGTCACGGTTGTCAACCCAAGTAACGGTTGGTTAACGCCTAATAGATCACTTCGGGTAACAGTTTTGGGATCCACGGGAGCAGGCTGAACTGGCGGTTTCGTCTCCCAGTGCTGAGCATCCTCTGTGGTAGTTGCCAAGAGCGACAGAATACTGAGAGTTTTGCCGAGTCCCATCATGTCGGCTAGGATGCCGCCTTTGGTTTCTGGTGGGGGCAACTTTTGCTGATGGCCCGTGATGACGTTGAAATAGAGCTTCTGGCCGTTGGGTCCGAGCTTCGTCTGCCAGAAAGACACCAGACCCCGCCTATTTTCACCTTCAGTGTCGGAGGCCTCGCGCGTCATCATGAAGTAAAGGCCCTGCCTCTGATGCCTCAGCAGCGGCGTGGTAATAATGTCGCTCGGGTCCATAATAGGTAAGTCTTCGCTCTTTGTCATTGAGTCGAAAACACCCAGCACTTCGGATCGTACTTCCTCGACAGTACGCATCGACAGGGTACTGGGGAGCGCTTGTGCATTGGCGCCGGACGAAGAATATGTTCGGGGAGCGGGTGGTCTATACTCGCTCACATGAGGATTCGAGACACGAATTCCTTTTTGGACCATGTGAGGTGCCACGAGCTGCTGGTTACTTCTCTTGAGGTGAACTCCGATGTTCTTTGCATATTTCAGCGGACCGTAGAGAACAATCTCAAAACTATATGCCCGTGATGTTGGAGCACCCGATTCCTCACCAGGCTTGCGAGGTTGGGATGGAATGCGACATTCAGTTCGGAGCCGCAGGTTGCTATCCAGTAGTGGACTCAGAGCACCAGCAGTTACCGGAACGACGTGACCGATGATTTCACGGGTGAAGTCGGAAGCTGGGATCTTGAGAGTCTGATCGCCTGCAGCTCGTTTGAGGTTAATCTTGATTGGCGGGATATAGCCGGCGCCGAAGAGACTTTGCGTTCCAGGCTTCGGTGACGGAACTCGAGTACAGTTTAGGTACGACTTAATCATGCCGTAGCAAACTTCTTCGTCCTTGGGATCACTAATTTCCTGTACTTCGTCATCGGTGCCTTGGTGATAGTGTTAGTAAGAAACAAGGGCGCAGAGGCGCAAGAGGGGGAGAAGCTCACCAGCTGTCAGGTCGACCATCATGGCCTGAGTGGCGACAATGCCATTGGACTGCTGCTGCTGGTCTCGGACATAGTCTCCGAGGCCGCCTCCACCAGCTCTAGTAGGTATGGAGGTGGGAGTTCCATCAATACCAACTTCGTCAACCTTTCTTCGCTTAGCTTGCGGGATAGCGGACCGCGCCTGGACATTGTTGACGCGTTCAATCCACGAGCCAGCGCCGGATACAGGCGTTATGCTACCAGGCGTTGAAGGGCCGCTGGGAATATCCGACGCACTGTCCGCGGGCGTAGCAAAGTGGAAGAGTGTATTACTAGCGCTGGATTCGGAATCAGCTCGATCCCGCAGTGCTGAAGGGACAGGTGACGCAGGATTTGAAGACGGTGTGCCGAGGCGACTATTATTAGGCTGACGACGACCGGGCTGCAGCAAAGCGGCCGGATTCCAGGACTGCATGATGCCTGGGCCGGGATATGGCCTGTTGAGTGTTCAGTGAGAGATCTTGCAAGAGATGAAGCTTGAGGGTGGCCGTGGCGGCTCTGGCGAGGAGGAAGGCGAGGTGTGACACAGCGTTTGTAGCCGTACCTAGTGAGAGTGAGAGCTGAGATTCACGCAAACGAGTCGCAGCAAGGCGAGTCGAATAGAAGAATTACAGCGCCTTGGAGGCGAATAGCTCAGATCTCATCGCAAAATCAAAACTGAGCGACCAAGAAAGGCTGATTGGAACGCCAAACGCGCACGGCGGTTGCCGCTACAGGGTGGCGTACTGTAAGGTATTGGCAAGAAGAACCAGTATAGTGGCCAGGCAGGGGGCGTGGAGGGAGAAGGTACAGGTTGCAGGCGCGGGCGATGGGGTATGCAGAAGAAGAGGAAGAACTGAAGATGGAACCAAAAATGCGAACAGGCCTGGGAAAGGCACGAGGGAGGGCGTGCTGAACAGAAAAAGAAGAGACGAATTAAGAAGAGGATGTCGAGATGGGCGAAACAAGTCACATTGGCATGATAAGTCAGCAGAGCAGGTGCGTGCAGTTGAGATGGAGTCGAGAAACCCGGTACCGAAGTACCTTTTAACGTTTACAGAACGTAGAGTTCGCTGAAAGATGTGCTTCTTTGGGCGGATAGGGCGCTGTAGGCTGTAGGTTGGATGCTGAAGGCCAGTGACGGCGGGTGGCCACTAGCCAGGCAGCAGTGGCGCCTTGTGCACCGCTTGTGCACTGCCTGGAGACAGCGCTGGCAGGGAGGCTGAGCCCGTAACATGAATGAGGTGATACAGTGCAATGCTAATAATGTCCAGCTTCACTCTGCTGGCTGGAGTTCGATCCAAAGGCAGGTCACCTGCTCATCTCGCTTTTTTGCCGTCCCAGCTAACACGTCAAACTGGCCAATAACCTGTTACCACCAAGCCAGTCTAGCCCGTGCCCCCCATCTAGGGCCCGCCTCCCATCGCGACGCCAGAGCCGCTTCCGATAGCACACTGAGGGCTGTCGATGACACGTGAGCGTTTTTTCGTGCCGCTAATACACCCATGCCACTTGAATCTACGTGAAACTACCAGCTGCGCCGTATTGTAAATGGCTTGTTATCGCCCCTAGCTGGCTCTTGACTGGTCCATCCATTGTCGAGTGGGCGCCAAGCTCAACGGGATGGGTGCATATCGAGGTGGTGGTGGTGTGCAATGCCACGTCTCCAAGCACGATACAACTTGGGCTCGTCATCACCAGTAGCTTTCGGAAACGCTTTCCCTTTTTACTTCTGTTTTCTCAATAATTTCACCTGAATTTTTCGAATCACATAGGTCACGTTGGTCCAGACACCAGTTTGTATTCCCGCTGCCACTTACAGCAAATGGTATTCCGGCCCTGCCGTTGCAGCCACATAAGATGAAGGAAGCTTGCGCAGAGAAAATTTTAAAGCGGAGAAAAAAAACAGCAAAACCAAAAAACAGGAAAAAAAAAATATTCAATCTGAGATGCGAAAAGAAAAAGAAAAGCATTTCAAGTCATCTTTCATATCGCCAAATCTGTGTAGTGTCCTGATGCTCCGCCTGTTCCCAGAACCCCAGATTACATAACCATCTCATCACACCAGTCTAGCTATTCAAATCCTTGCCTTCCATGCTGCACACAATTTTTGCCCCGCCATCAAGACTCCCCACCAGAATTCAATCGAAACCTCGTCAACAGCCAATTCAGGTCCCAACCACCATCGAATCGGGCCTGTCTGCGGCGAATAGCAACCATGGAAATCACCAGTTTCGTCCTCCAGGGACGTGACAACTCCCTCGTCTATGGTGACTACTCCACCTATCACAGCCAGCTGTCCAAGCGCCTGCTGAGCTCGCGCAAGAAGCTCGGCATCGCCACGCGGAACCGTGGCAAGTACCACAAGGCCGAGGCTATCACTTCTGAAAGAATTGCGGAGAACCGAGAGTACGAAATTGAACCTACAGAACCGCCATTTCTTCCTCCACTAGGTAGGCCTCTAGGCTAACTCTCATGTTAGATACATCCATCTGTTGCTGCTCACCAGCGAGCGGGCTTGGGCGCAAGCCATGTCAATAAAGGCCGCCCATGCGAAGATACGGACGAAGGGAATTTCTGGGCGTACAAAATCACACGTCATTTCTCGACTGAGCCGAGCTGCCAATACTGCCCAAAACCTCGTCAACGCTCTCTCGGAGACTGCCGTATCGGGCGCCTCGACTCACGATATTCTCGAAGCGAAAGCCTACCACGCGCTCATCGCCGGCGCTCTGCAGTTCGAGAAGCACGCCTGGGAGCTCTGCCTCCAAAGCTACGCTGTCTCTAGAGTCATTTACACAGCATTGACCACGGCCGGAAAGGGCGACATTTACAAGGATCTTCTTGTTGATACTATAGACCCGTCCCTTCGATTCGCTGCCTATCAGCTCAAGACGCCACGTACCATTCCCATCCCCACCATTGCGCACAAAGCCTTCCCCGATTCCAACACGGTGCTCGTAGAGCAGGTCAACGAGGTCGACCCTGGTGCTTTGTCTGGCGAGTCTGACGCAAAAACGAGTCTCGGGAATCCTGAAAAGGCTCCGGAAACCATTACCTGGCGATCACGCGAAGTGCGCATCGAGGACGCCCAAATCGCTCTTGCCTGGGCTTCCGTCAACGCCTCAAAGCAAAGCCTAGCTGAAAACCTAGCCAAGGTTAAAGCTCGGTCCCCTCGCGAGGCGGCCGCTGCGTACGACGACATCCTGACGACCACGCTGGACGCCGTAGATGCTACCCAGAAAGCTATCAATGAGCTCCGCGAAGAAGGCGTCGCGCAGAGCGACCCCCGCATGCAGAGCTTGCAAATCACCCGCACCGCCGTCAACTTTGAAATGACCAGCTGGAGAATCGGCCGCAACCGAGTGCTGATGGGAGAGTCTGACGGTGCTGTCGAGGAGCACGGCCGATCCAAGGCCATTAAGAAGGCAGAAGCCGAGGGCAAGGAGGGCGACGAGTCTGGCCCTACCGAGCTCCCCATCGCGCGAAAGCTTGCGAAGCTGAAGCAGAGGGTTGCGCTGTACGATGGAACTCTCCAAAACATCGAATCTATCAAGAATCTTCCCGGCGTGGCCGCCGACCAGGCACTTTCAGACAAGCTGGCTGCTTTTTCCAGCTATTTTGCTGCTCTCAAGTACGTGGAATCTGCTGCAGCACTCTGAATCCTTTTATTCGAAGCTAATTTTAACTGTTGTGCAGAGCTTTGGCCATTGCTCGCTCCCACGCCATCATTGGCAACGTCGCAAACGCGCTCGCCCTTATCCAGCACGCCTTTGACCGCTGCCAGTTCGCCACCAAACAGCTCAGCACCGCCGCCACCGCTACCGCTAACGAGACCGCCGCTGGCTCGCCCCTTAACATCGAGGTGTCGCCCGAGGCCGTCCAACGGCTCCTCGACCTCGTCCAGGGCGAGCTGCGCCGCCACCAGGCCATCGTCCACGTCGATAATCTCCGCAAAGAAGAGCTAGCCAAAAGCACAACCGCCCCAGCGCCGCTCGTGGAACGCCTGCACCAGTACCCCGCGGGCGGTGTCGACCTCGCCAACGTGGTCGAGTTCCCGCCCAAGAAGGCCTTCATCCCCGTCAAGCCCATCTTCCTCGATGTCGCCTGGAACTACATTAGCTATCCCGGCAAGGCGCCTGCCGCAGCCCAGGCGTCACCTGCCGCGGCGACCGCCGCGGCGAAGGCGAGCGAGCCGGCACAGCCGCAGAAGAGAGGATGGTTTGGCTTCGGCAGGTAAAGTGATGCGGTACAAAAGCGGATCAGATTTGTCTATAATAGCATATGAAACACCTAGTGGTGATTATCAAGACAGAATAAAAACTGTTCAAAAAATGGCATGCTTCTATTGCCAGCTTACGCGGGAGCTCTCAATGCTAGATTTCACTATGTACAACTTGACCTATTTGATAGATATCTCACCGATGCTGAATGTGTGCAACTTTGGTTCTCGTTTTGCCCCAGGCTTTGGCGCGCCGCCCAAGAGCACGGTGCAGATGAGCTCGACATGTGAGTTTTCATGAAACGATGATCCCCGATTACCAGATTACTAACTAATGCTTACTAGTTGCTCTTGATTTAAACTCTATACTGGGCTTGCTCGCATAAAGCTCTTCCCAAGCCCTCACGAAGTCTGAAACTCCCGAATGACACTTTCCGGCTCAACGTACGTCCCCAGCGGCTCATACACCACGTCCGGGCGGTCAAACGCCGCTGGGCCGCCGACCTCGAGCGCGGCCGCGTTTTCGCTCCAGGCCGGCGCGCATGTGACGCCCAGCACGTTGACCGCGACGCCGTACCTGTACTCTCCCACGCCCAGGGCCCTGCCCGTGCCCGCGTCCAGCACCGCGATCAAGTCCGGCACGCACGCCACCACGCCGCGGTCCTCGTGCGTCGCCAGGATGTTCTCGTTCTTGAACGGGATGCGCAGCGTGCCCCCAACCACCGCCGCCTCGCTCCGCATCACCTCGCCCTCCTCGTCGGCTTCCGCCTGGTGCGCGATGGTGACCTCGCCGTGCGAGTGACCCTTGTACAGGCGGCGCTCGACGTGCACAATCTTGCCACGGAAGAGCAGCTTAGCGCACGCGGGCCCGCCGAGCTGCTCGACGATGGCGTCGACGACGGTGGAGGCGGTGTTGGTGGCGGCGGCGCGGGCGATGCACCGGCCGACGCGCCAGGCCTGCGACAGGGTGCGCGGGACGGCCCAGCGGCGGACGAGCGCGCCGGTGGTCGGGCGGGGGCACCAGCCGACGTAGCAGCCCATCTCGGTGGAGGCGGCGCGGAGGGTGCGGTCGACGGAGCGGTCGGAGTCGGTGCGGGTCATGAGGAGGTTGCGGCCGTCGCCGGAGGCGATGCCGCACGGGATCAGCTGGTCGGGGACCTGCGCGGAGATGGTCGTCTGCCACATGGTAGGGTACGCGCGGCCTGTACGAGTTATTTTGTCAGTTGTGAGTTTGAATGACGGTGCAAGCAAAGCACGAGGCACTGACCCATCCAGTCTGCGTCTACGGCAGGTTTGTCAAAGTTCTTGCTCGACCCGACGGTCAAGGGCTGCAGACCATTTGCGCCGCCGATTTCGAGACCGATAAGCGCGTCAAAGTCGTCCACCTTTTCATGCTCCATCATCAGTTTGACGGCTAGGATCGTCTCGCTGGCACTCAGTCTCTCCGCGGGGACTACTGTAGAGCCCATAAATCCCGGCCCTAGCGATGGTCAGTCAAGTCAGTATGTGTTCGGTTGGCCTTTGGTAAAGCCTTGACATACAATAGAGCCGAGCATCTGGAGCCAAGTCTTCGGGATCGATGACTCGCAGAGTATGGCCCGCCTCCAGATGCGACTTGAGCTTCAACATCTCGGGATACGGCGATCCGCCGCCACCGCACCCCAGGACGTAGCAGCCATCCGACAGCCACTCCAGGTCAGTAGCGGACAGAAACCACTCCTGAACCCCCGTCGTCGCATTCTTCCGGATGCAGGGTCGGTAGCTCTCAATGTCAAACACCTCATCAGCCTCCGGCTCAGCAACAGGCAGAGTCTTCTCCCCCAACGTGACCTCCTCCTCGGCGCAGCCCATCGGCTCTGCCTCCACGACGACCCCGTTTTCCTCTCGTGCCTCCCGCGACGGCGAAAACTCACCCACCGTCTTCACGATGAGCCGGAACTGGTTGGCGACGTACGGGATCGGCAGGACCTCCTTCTCGGTGACGACGACGGTGTGCGGCTGGGCGCCGGCGGCGACCGCGCGCTCCGTCGCGAGCTGGACGGCCTGGGCCAGTGCCGCGGAGACGGACTGGTCGGCCGTGTCCTTGACCATGTCGACGACGGCGCTGACCTTGGCGACGGCGGCGCCGACCGCGTTGGCCACGTCGTGGTGGGGAGGCCGGATGACGCGGGAGACGCCGGCGAGCGTGTCGGGGGCGATGATGGAGCCGCCGCCGACGAGGATGAGGGGCACGTCGTCGGGCGACGTCTTGACCAGGTCGATGGCCCTCTCCAGCTTCTTGCGGATGACTGCCTGCGCGTCGCTGACCACCTTTTGGTCAACCTCATCGACCAGGCTCCTGTCGCCTACCTTGGCGGCGGCCCCGGCTGCCACCGCGACATCCGTAGCCGTCATGACGTCTCCCCCAAACACGAGCCCCTTCTCCTGGATGGCGTGGCCGACCGAGTCTGGCCCGACGCTCACGCCGCCGCGCGCCATCTCGCGCACGACGGACCCCCCTCCAAGCCCGATGGACTCGACGTGCGGCATGGAATAGTTCACCCGGACACGCGCCACCGTCGCCTCGGCCACGCCCTGTCTCGGGTATCCAGACGGCAGCAGCACGCCGACATCGCTCGTCGTGCCGCCAACATCACACACGATGCTCGTCGCGCCGGCCTTGCCGTCCTCGTACATGCCGCTGAGGTACGCCGCGCCGCGCATCGAGTTCGTCGGCCCCGACGAGAACGTGCGAATCGGCAGCCTCGCCGCGCTGCGCGCCTCGATCATGGTGCCGTCGTTCTGCGTCAGGTGCAGCGGGCAGCGCAAGCCCAGCCTCGCCAGCGCCTTCCGGAACTCACCGATGGTGCGCGCGGCGAACCGCAGGATCGACGCGTTCAGGATCGTCGCGTTCTCGCGCTCCAGGAACCCGAGCCCGGACACCTCGTGCGAGCACACCACCGCGACCTCGGGGAGTTGGCGGTTGACAATCGCCCGCACCGCCTCTTCCTGGTGAAGGTGGCCGCTGTCCAGGGGCGCGAAGACGCCCACGACGGCGACGCAGCGGATGCCCCGCTCGCGGATGGCCTCGCACTCCCTGCGGACCTGCTCCGCGCGGACGGGCGCCTCGAGGCTGCCGTCAATGTGCAGCCCGCCGTCGAGGAACGCGTGGTAGCCATGCATGATGCGCCGCAGGCCGGCGGGAAAGTCGGAGAAGGGCGGGACCTCGCGGGTGAAGGAGCGGGAGAGGCGCAGGACGGCGACGCGCTCGAGGTGGCGCGCGTCGTGCTCGACGATGGCGTTGATAAAGTGCGTGGTGCCGACGGCGATGGAGGAGACGCGGTCCGGGTCGACGCGGCTCTGGGACAGCACGCTCCGGACGGCGCGCTCGATGCCGGCGGTGACGTTGGGGGAGGTGGTGGGGGATTTGTGGGAGGCGATGACGGAGCGGGCGTGGTCCCCGACGGAGGTGTCGACGATGACGGCGTCGGTGTTGGTGCCGCCGACGTCGACGCCGATGCGATAGACGGGAGGGTTGATTGTCATGGCTGAGGTTGTGTGATGATGGGGGGAAGGAGATGTGTAGTGTTGATGGTCAAGGTCGAGTTGTCGCGAGTTCATGTTCCCCGTCAGGCTTTAATAGAGCTCACTTTCCAGGAGTCTCCCGATAGCGGCATGGCCGCTCCTTTCATTGTAGTAGTCTCATGCATGCACAATCGGCAGAGGGGTATGGAGTATAGATTGGGTAGTATCAGACAGAGCCCGACGTCCGGGGCGCCGTGTTGTCGACCGGCTAGGCCCCCCCCCCCTCCCCCGTTCGGACTTGTCCACAGCCACCCAACAAAAAGGCAATAAAAAAAATAAGAAAATGAAAAAAAAAAAATTTAAAGCAAGAAAAACCAGACTCCATTCGGAGAATACTTAAACTCTTGGCAAAAACAATACCGTAGAGAGGTGGTGTGATGGGAACATGTACAAGAGGGCGCAAAACATCTCCGTGCTCAAGTCCGATGGCATGTCCCGTATCTGCTTCATGTCCGAACAGACAACTCCGAGTCGCAAGATAAGTAGCATCGCCATCTTATTTATTACGTTTATCTTATGAATACACCCTCCTATCTCTTTGTTTAGCTTGTTACTATTTAGTTGGCATGGTAATCTTCCCACCACCGACCGCAACAGTAGCCTAGCTGTGGGAGGGCGCCATCATCAGATGCTGGCCTTCTAGCCTCCATACCTCTGCTCTTGCTGTTATACACAGCGTGCGTGAGGAACTTGAGGTTACGTCTCTGTAGCCGCTTTCGGACTACTCATTCACTCTTTTCTCAAAAGACATGGCGTTGAGAAACACGTTCGTATTATGGCATGTCCATGTCACTAGCGACTCGACTTGGTGGCTGGATTCATCGAAACCAACTACGCCTTGGTGACTGAAGCATCGGAGGACCGCTTCAATTCCTTCTCAGCACCCAAATCCTGCCCCTGCCCTTCAATGACCTGCTGAACGCCCAGTCTCTCGCCCTCGTACGCCGTAAACGTCCCGTAAATGTCCGTCGCATCCATCGCCCCCAAGCCCTTCGGCGGCCATGCCCAGACCAGCCCGTAATACACCAAGACGCTGATCAAGAAGCCGACAACAAAAGCCATGTCGTACAGGTGCTTCGCCCCGGCCGTCACGCGCAGGCGCGGCGCGACCGACGCCAGAAATCCCGGAAACTGCGGCGCCCAGCCAAGCACCCACGCCACCACCGTGCGCCAGTTGACGCCGTGCCAGTAGTAGTACGACCCGTCCCTGTCGGCCGTGTACAGCTGGCTCAGCTCAATCTTTCTTTTGCGGACAATCCAGTAGTCACAGATCTGGATGCCCATCATCGGCGCCAGGAAGAGCGAGTAGCTGCTCAGCACCGTCACGAACGTGGACGCCGAGGACAGCAGGTACCACGGGCACAGCGCACAGGAAACGATCAGGCCAATGTACCCGCCGCGGCGGATGTTGACGTACGTCGGGAAGATGCCGCTGAGGTCCATGCCCAGCGAGAACGCGTTGTCGACCGTGTTGATGGCCAGCTGGGAGGTGATCATCCCCGCGCCGGCGAAGAAGGCAGCCGCGCGGGACCCGGAGCTGTAGTCGGTTTGCAGCCAGCGCAGGATAATGTCCGCCGGGTTCCAGAGCGGCGTTCCGTAGATCTTGACCGTCGCCGAGGTGGTCAGGCAGCCAAACAGCGGCATGATGGTGCCGAGGCTAATGATGGCCGTCCACTGCCCGGTGACCTGGTCGCCCGGGCGGCGCGCGAACCGCGACCAGTCCGACGCGTTGGTCAGGGCCGCCGCGATGCCGCCCACCGTCGTCGTGACGCCGCGGATAATCGCCCAGGCCAGCTCCGCGTTGCTCACCGTGGCCGAGGCCGACACCAGCGGTCCCGCGCCGCCCGCCGCCACCAGCGCCCAGATCATAATGGCCACCAGCGTGACAAACGCAATCGTGTTCATCACGGCGAACGGCTTCTTGGTCTTCTCCGGCGGCAGGTACATGACCGGCAGGCTGATCAGGAGGAACACGACCCAGCCGACAAACTGCGCCGTCGTCATGTGCGTCGACGCGGGCATCGTGTTTTTCATGTAGTGGAACTGGGGGAAGACGGAGCTGAGCACGGCGGTGGTGAAGAGCCCGCCGAACCACGACTGCAGCGCGAACCAGACGAGCGACAGCAGCTGCCGCTGGGCCACGGCGAAGAAGCTGCCGTAGATGCCCCAGAGTAGCCGCGCGATAACCGGGTAGCCGACGTGCCACTCGGCGCCGATCCAGCCACCAAAGACCTGCACCGCGGCGATGATGATCTTGCCGAGGATAACGGCGACGATGGTCTGCCACACCGACAGGCCGGTCGCGACGAGCGAGGAGCCGATTTGCCAGTTGCTGATGGCAATCTGGTTGATAGCTTGGAAGGAGAAGAAGGTGAGGCTGTCCCAGGTGCGGCGTGAGGGCGGCAGCGGGCGCACATCGTCGTTGATCCAGTAGTTGCGCTCATTGCCCAGCTTGGTCGGGACTTTGAGGTAGTCTAGCACTTGCGAGAACGATGGCATTTTGAATTTGTGAGTTTTGGAAGGGTCGTGTCGGTGTGACAGTCGTGGGATCATGGAGCACTGTCATGAAGAACTGTCGTGGAGAATTTCCGGGGTGCATGAGTTGCTCAGAGTAGGATACTTATTATACAGAGGCGTCTCTCTCTGTTCACGACCGCGCCACTGTATCGCACGTATCAGCACATCGTCGTGTCAAAGCGCGCCCTCGAGTGGCGTGTAGATACATGTCAATCTGAAATCCGGGGAAGTTTGCTGGACAGGCGCCGAGTAGACTGTAGATAAGTCTTCCAAACTGCCGATTGGTGTACGTGGACTGGGCATGGCGTTACTTGGCGTTACATGGCGCAACATGGCGTTTAATATTTGAGCCACGCTCGGAGTTGTTGTTCGGACATGCCTTGACCCATCATCATCCATCCTGGGAAATATTTCACGTTGCCCGCAATCGTACTCGGCGCAAATTGCAATCAATACATGCCGACACGGCATCAATACCTGTTAAATTTTTTCATCAACGGCATGACGCGGCAAGACGCCTCGTTATAGCTTCTATCGCCTATACCCCCGGCAAATCAACTTGGCCTGGTCATCGCAGCGTTATGACATTATCCACATGCGCGGTGGCTGTCTGGACGGCGTCTTGGTGTAGTGATGTGTAGGGCGCAATGTACGTCATCCTCCCGCGTTGAGGGCGTCGGTGAGAGCACCTGTCATGTCCCAGTTTAAGAGATCCAGAGTCAGCATAGAATCCAGCGCTTGGTACCCGAAAATAGCAGTTTCTATCCCAGCCAGGCCATCCGGCGACACTGCTTCACCAGCACGTACTCCGCCGCTGGTAGTCAAAGTCGCCACGGCCGTCATGGGCGCCGGCGGCACGATTGATGAGCCTACCCTCACCGCTGAAGGGCTGTGTTCCTCCGAGTACCGACCGAGGTAGGCGCGGGTCGCCTGCTCGCCTCCCAGAATGACGCTGATGTCCGACACCAGCTTTTCTGCGTCGCGCGCCGTGTACGGCCGGTGACGCTCATAGTATGCGATCATGTTGGTCAGTACTGTTCGGCCATGCTGCGCCAGCGGTGCAAAGCAGCCTTGGTCCTCGACCTGCCTCAAGTCGCGGGCAAGATTCTGCAGCCATTCGAGGGCGTCCGGAAATGGCTGCGCCCCCTCTACGAGAATCAGGGCAGCAATGGTGACCGCAATGGAGAAGATCTGATAGCTGCAAGTAAAGAACTTTTGCCGGTACGCAGGGGCCGTCTCGAGGCGGATTTCCTTGTAGACCGTCAGGGCATCTTGCGCCGCTTCGGCACAGCTTCTCCATGATTCGTTGCCACGAATGGACAGGAACGGCTTGTGCATGCGGATGCGCTGCGTCGCGACGCACGTTCGCAGGATATGATGCTGCCACTTCACATATTCAAATCCGGCAAACGAGCCCCTTGCATTTGGCTGGAGATACCACGGGAGGGCTTGCATGAACTCTAGTAGCTCTTTCTCCATCATGACGACGTTCTCGTACGATGTGAGAAATGTGCCGTTGCCTGAACAGACTCGCTTGTTGATGAGCTGGAAGAGCTGGGCCATATGCACCTTCAGAGTCGCCTCTGTGGGTTCGTGGATTGGGCGGATGACGATGGAATCTGATGTGAGATCGACATCGTTGCAGTTGAGCGGCAGAGGGACGTTGTGAGCTTCAACTCGGATTAGAGGTGGGCGGTCTAGGCAGATGGCCTGGAAACTGTGACGAATCAGCCAAGCCCGCAAAAAGGACCTTGAATTCACTGACGTGTCTGTGTCCACCAAATCTGACCAGAGTCGGTGCTGAATCTCATCATCCAGGTTCTTGGACGGTGAGCTGTTCTTATCCAGGTTCAGGGCATGCGCATGGCGAACGGCTTGTCCAAGTCGGCTGCGAGAGAGATTCTTGTCAGTACAGGGCAGCACAGTAGGAAGAGAGCCAAGTGAAGCAGGAATGCATACGAATTTAGTATTTCAAAATTGTTGGTCGCAAACCAGTATAGTCGCGACACAATAAAAGTCTGGATTTGCACGAGCCGCGGCTTCGTTTCGTGCTCGCCCACGTGTAATGCCTGCTGCGAGGCGAGGTGCCATGATCGGGCCAGCTTGCGTATGGACGTCCTTGGTATACTCACAATTTCAATGGCTTCGAATGGGATGTACAGTGCGCTGACAGATATAATGGAAAAGAGCAACGAGAGCCACAATAGATCAGCCTCGTCAACGTGCGTGTCCCAGAAGTGTGCGTACTCCCTGCGGAAGGAAGGTGCATGGACGGGCAGCCAGAGCCAGTTATGGTGCTCGAAATAGTACGTCGTCAAAATGTCACACTGTCCACGTGTAGGCAACGCATTTACGAGCTGGTCTTTCCAGAACTTGTTGGAGCTGCCTTCAACTGGGTCAAGGAGACTCCAGATCGAGGACTGGCTCATGTAAGCAGCGAGAGGGGTTCCTGCACGATGAGCAGCAGCACAGGGTCCGCGACTGCTCTGCAGCTGCTCTGCCGCAGCCGCAATGGAGAGGCCGCCAATAGTTTGTGCCTGTCTGACCGCAGAGGGCGGTATTGACTGGACAGTTCTTTGTCGGGTGACAAGATTGGGCCTCGTGTCGGCGTCTATCCCAGCCGGCTGAGCAGCAGTTTCGCGAGCTTCGCTGGAGAGCGGAGAAATCGATGATGACGTGGACTTGTTCGCATGCCGCGGTGCCGGGTTTTCCTGGCAAAGATCCTTGCGGTCATACCGCACGCATGTTCCGCACGGAACCTGGCGATCGCAACGGAGCTTGTGATGTCTGCAAGGAAGGCAGCTCAACGGCTGACGCTTGGCGCCTCTGTGTCCCTTTCTGCTGCGCCCGCTGAACGGCAGGTCGGTGTTCGGAGATGTTGATATGTGATGCAGCATGACGGTTTTCAGATCTGATCAAGAACTCTGCTTCAGTGTTGACGCGCTCATGGTTGCATGTGAGCCGGAGATGTGCTCGATAGATGTAATTCGGAGTTGAAAGTGGCGCCTGTACTAATCTCTAGGGAAGCAGTCTGCATCTCCGACCGCGTCATCACCAAAGTGGTCGGAGAAGCACCATCAAGTCCGATTGGACGAGGGAGTCAACTGTCGGCCCACACGAATACCAGGCTGGGATTATTTCTACGCCACAGATAGGCAGCCACATTTCTACTGTACTTTGCCCGGTACTCTACCCTACATACTTACATCGTGTTACTGTAGGTGGCCTGCATCTGACTTGAAACTCCCTCCTCCACTATCAAAGGCTGATTATTGAACATTTTACTACTATGGGTGGAAGATCCTTGTTTTGTGTCCGGCTAAACAGCAATTGGAAAGAAGTCGTTTGACTTCTGAGTTGCTGCGTCTGCCGATGGTATGCAAGTGCTAGCGTCTGTGAGACATGTTCGTCATATTTTCCTACCTCAACTTCTTGATTCGAGCTAGCAATGATCCCAGACTTGATCTGGAATTTTATAGCCAGTCCGGTAAATGGATAACCAAGACAGGAGTGATTCATGATAAGTACTACATGTACCGTCCAGAGCTCGATGAATGCGCCTCAGGATGTAGTCCACAACGTCCATCATTTGCGCCCACGGACCGGATCAAGTCTGCAACACCCGCAAAGGTCCAATGAACAAGCCCTTTCCAGCCATACAATAATCAGCGACCTACAGATACTCAAGGCTTTTCTATTCCAGTACACTTATACCCTGCTTTTATTTGCCGCACGTTGGTGATGCAGCAGATGATGAGTGCACATGAGGACCAGGCGGCCACATGGCCGCCCTTCTCGTCTTGGTTCATGGCCGGGCGCGTGCACAAGCCGACGGCCTCCGTGTGCCTTGTCGCCGTTGCCGCCATCTCGCTACTCGTCCTTGCGTTTCTCACCTACACGGGCCACCATTTGAGGGAAGGCCAGTGCAACGGTGGCTGCCGCCGGCTTTTTCTTAGGCGCCGCCTCTGCCAGCGCTGTCTGGGTGACGACGGCCGAAATCGGGCGACGAGATTTGGGATGCTCCGGAGCGGCGAAGACATCGTGTTGGAGATGACTGTAGTTAAGGAATTGGAAAGGACAGCGGCGCCGTGGCACGGATCAAACACGCTCAACACGGCATGGGGATGGATGACATGACACCTTCTCCGAAGCATACAACATCAACACTAGAATGAGCATAGTCACGATTCACCGTATTTTGCATTCAGAAATATTCGTCTCGCTGGTCGTTACCAAGAAATACATTTCCGGCTCTCCATAGATCTAGAGGGGGGAGGTGCTATTATATCATCTAACTTAAACATATTGTTTTACATTCAAACCAAGAATACACGAGACCCCTCTTGCGTCCATGAAATCATCCGTAACAAACATCTCTCAATCGAGATTTTATGCTCCAACGCCGGTTCCGCAAACCATGATATTAAAAGACATGGGTGAAGTGTGTTTTTGAAGGGGTAACAGCAATGGCTGAGGGGATATGAGTACAAGAAAAAATACAAGGAGAAAATACATCTAAGTCACTCTCCGCGCTTCTCTATAATCGGGCGGTTCGCTTTTCTCGTTTTTTTGTGTTGAGAGGTTGTGTGTTGTTAACAGGGGGTGAGATCGGATTGAACATTTAAGGCTTGCTCTCATCCTTCTTCTCGCCCTCGGTCGACTGCTGCTCACCAGAAGCCTGCTCACCAGAGTTGGCCTCGTTGCGGGCCTTGTGCATCTTGTCGAAAAGATTCAGGCTGGCAACCTGGAGCTCGTCTGTCTTCTCCTTGATTTCGGTGGCAGTGGCCTCGCCCTCGCCGGACTGGCTCTTGGCGATGAACTCACGGAGGGCAGTGATCTTCTCCTTGATACCATCGGCCTCGGTCTTGTCGAGCTTGTCGGCATACTCGTTCAGGGCACGCTCAGTATCGTTGAGGACAGAGTCGGCGCGGTTGGCAGCCTCGATGGCAAGCTTGCGCTCCTTGTCAGCCTCGGCATACTTCTCCGAGTCCTCAACCATCTGCTGGATCTCGTTGTCAGAGAGACCAGAGCCAGAGGCAATGGTGATAGACTGGTCCTTGTTGGTGGACTTGTCCTTGGCGTGAACGTGGACGATAGAGTCGGCGTCAATATCGAAAGTAACCTCAACCTGGGGAACGCCACGGTGGGCAGGGGGGATACCGACGAGCTGGAAGTTGCCGAGGAGCTTGTTGTCCTTGACGAGCTCACGCTCACCCTGGTAGACCTTGATCTCGACAGCAGTCTGGAAATCAGCAGCGGTGGAGAAGACCTGGGACTTCTTGGTGGGGATGGTGGTGTTGCGGTTGATCAGACGAGTGAAGACACCGCCGAGGGTCTCAATACCGAGAGAGAGGGGAGTAACATCGAGCAGAAGAAGGTCCTTGACCTCACCAGAGAGGACAGCACCCTGGATAGCGGCACCAATGGCAACAGCCTCGTCGGGGTTGACCGACTTGGCGGGATCACGACCGAAGATGCCCTTGACGGACTCAGCAACCTTAGGCATACGGGTCATGCCACCGACGAGGATGACCTCCTGAATCTCTTTGGCCTGGAGGTTGGCATCCTTGAGAGCCTTGCGAACGGGCTCAATAGTACGGGTGATGAGAGGGTCAACCATCTTCTCCAGCTGAGCACGGCTAAGCTTCATGTTGATGTGCTTAGGACCGGAAGCGTCAGCAGTGATGAAAGGAAGGTTGATGTCGGTCTGCAGAGAGGAGGAAAGCTCGATCTTGGCCTTCTCAGCAGCCTCACGGATACGCTGGATAGCCATGCGGTCACCAGAGAGGTCGAGGCCAGAGGTCTTCTTGAAGTCGGCAACCATGTGACGGACCAGGTGAATATCGAAATCCTCACCACCAAGGTGGGTGTCACCATTGGTGGACTTGACCTCGAAGACACCGTTCTGAATCTCAAGGATAGAGATATCGAATGTACCACCACCAAGATCGTAGACAGCGACAATACGGTCAGCCTCCTTCTCAAGACCGTAGGCGAGAGCGGCGGCGGTAGGCTCGTTGACAACACGGAGGACGTTGAGGCCGGCAATCTGGCCAGCATCCTTGGTGCTCTGGCGCTGGGCATCGTTGAAGTAAGCGGGGACAGTGACGACGGCGTTCTTGATGGGCTTGGAGAGGTAGGCCTCGGCGGTCTCCTTCATCTTGTTGAGGACGAAGCCACCAATCTGAGAGGGAGAGTACTTCTGGTCGCGAGCAGAGACCCAGGCGTCGCCATTGCTGTGCTGGACAATCTTGTAAGGGACCTCCTTGATGTCGCGCTGAACCTCAGCGTCGGTGAACTTGCGACCGATCAAACGCTTGGTAGCGAAGAGAGTGTTCTCGGGGTTGACGACGGCCTGGCGCTTGGCGGCGACACCAACAAGGCGCTCACCATCCTCGGCGAAAGCGACGACGGAGGGAGTTGTGCGGGCACCTTAGTTACAAAGTTAGCGGATGCAGAAGCAGCTTGGAAAGTCAATTGGAGACCTACCTTCGGAGTTCTCAATGATGCGAGGGACTTTGCCCTCCATGATGGCGACGGCAGAGTTAGTGGTACCGAGATCGATACCAATGACGGAACCCTGAACCTTCTGTTCACCCTCGGCGGCAGTCGATTCGAAGCGGGCGAATCTGGATGCCAAAGGGGCTCTGAAGGCGGCCTGGCGAGCGGCCAAGGGGGTAGCTCGGGGAAGCTAGAAAAAAAGTTAGCGACTGAGTTTCCATCGCTGGCAACGAGTATAGTGAAAACTTACAGCTCTGGAGAGACGTGAGGCGAACATCTTAAATATTATGAGGGGTATTAAAAAAGGAAAAAAGAAGAAGCTCGCGCGACAAACAATGGCGCAAGGAGAGGATGATGAGGAAGGAGAGGTGATGGAGGTAGAATGGAGAAGGGGAAGAAGGCGAAAATTTCTGGCGCAGAAAAAAGCACTCCTAATACCTAGTCATAGAAGCCGAGAGAAAGAGGCAATGAAGGGGCCGGGTCCACCCGTTACTGGGGCTAGTGACGGCTGGAAAGGAGCGGAAAATTGAAAATTCCGAGATGAACACCGAGACATCCTTGGGGGTAGGGCACGTGACCCATTCTCAGAGTGTAAGTTAACAAGTAATCGATGAGAATGTGTGCAATTGTTCGGCCATGGCAGAGGAAAACTGAACCCAGTTCTAATAGTAAAGGCTGTGTTTCTATATAAAAGTCTGGCTAGCAGTCTTGCAAACGAGCGGTTTGTTCGGCTACACCAGCAGGTGCCAACTGAAAGTACCCCGTACTTTTACTGTATCTGGAGACATTAAATAGACGTTGCGGGTGCACCTTTCCCATGCAATCGACACAATGGGAATTGACATGGCCTTTCCACAAGGTCAAATCCCTTTGGCCCCATCCCAAAATAGATGTTACGTTTTTTGGTGACTACAGACCGGGGCTGTGTCCCTGTTTAGGTAGGTCAAGAAGTCAAGTGCGTGATAGATCTGTGATGTGGTACTGATGACTAAGGCCCAGCCCCAGCAATCCCCAGTCGAGCTTTGGCCACTGAGCATTTGGACTGCTGTTTATTGGGGGGTTAAATGGGGCCCCTTGGGCGTTTCTCGGCGCAGGCGCAGCGGCCAGATAACAGGCTCTCACGCCTAACTTTAGTGGTCAAGCGGCTGCCACATTGGCTCGCAATTTGCTTTGGGTACCTCTGCGGACAGGCAATTTGAGTATATATAGCAGGTACCTACCAACCAACCTACATCGAGTTCTGACTCCAGCTGCCCACGCGCTCACTCGCCCGCGGCCCCCCCCCAAGTTTTGGCTTTACCAAACCCGAGAGAAGGGACGTCATTTACTCCCATCGCACGAACTAATCTCAACCTTTTCCTCATCTCAGTCCCTGCACCACCTCCTCCGTTTCACCGAATCCGCTCTGCCTCATCCTCGTCTACCGCAATTCCGACTGTGAACCGTATTCCTGACCTCTCGTGTGGCGCCTTGGGTGCTCGCGCTTGTCTTCGCGACCTTCTAGCAACAAGCGGACCTCATACCCCATCTTGGCGACTCGCAATTCCGATCCTGGCTTTCGCCACCTGGTGGCACAGCACTGCCGCTGGTACATTGCTGCATATAATCTCTTCTAGTCATCATGACTGCGAAAGACGATGCAGTGTTAGTCTCAATATCGTCCCTTGCTGCCTGAAACCGTACTGACCCAAACATCCCTCCAGGTACTGCCACACAGACAGCATCGTTTCACGCGGGCGGCGGAAGCACTATCGTATCCCCGTTCGCTCACAGTAAGTCTTTCCCTATGCTTATCTCTTCCTTGCAATCAGATCATTCTGACAACGGGCTACCAGGCATTGGCAGCTCCGATCCCTGATCTCGGCCGAAAAACGTCACCTTATATACTTCCCAGGAGGGAATGGGAGCAATCATGTGCAGAGGTTGAATACCTTCACGGAAGAGTGTGAAACTATCAAGCTTCTCACTTTCGCACCTCGATGTCTTGTGGCCGAGAATGGGTGGTTATGCTGTGGAAGTGAGAGTGGCGACTTTGTCGCCATACGTCTCGACGAGGGCAACGACAGTAGTAACCCCAACACACCGCTCAATCTGGACCCTGACGCCCGCTTGTCGTTGAATCTGGAGTCTCGGGAGGAATCACTCCTCTCGCTAATAACCCAGGCCCGACGATCCAACAAGAGTCTGATAGCCAAAAGCGTCAAGCTAGCCAACGATCGAGTCAACTGCATAACCATGTGGTTTCCTGGCGCCCTCGCTTCTCCCGTGGAAGGAGCCTATACGGAACCCGTTGCTATCCTAGCCAACAATGACTGCACCGTGACCATCATCAGCCTACGCGACTTCGATCAGAGCGACAAGACAAGCCCACTAGACGTCGTCACCTACCCCGATTTTGTCAACCGTGCGACTATCTCCCCCGACGGGCGCATGATGGTCGCTATCCTGGACGATCCTTATCTCTATGTTCACGTTCGCGCGGAAAAGCCCCGCGAGTCAGGATGTGCATCAGAGTATGCGTGGGAATTTCGTCAACGACTGATGCTTAAAAGTCAGAAGAAGGGTGACAGGACAGACAGCCGCGGAAGCTTCGCGGCTTGCTTCTCGAACTCGGGCTCCTATCTTGCCGTTGGTACGCAGCATGGAGTCATATCGATATATGATGCCGAAATGCTGTTAGACGCCAATGCGCAACCTCTCATCACAACTTTCGAATCCTCCAGGCCGCGAAGTGGGCCAGGCGCAATTCGCGATATGGCTTTCTCTCCGGGCCCGTATGATATATTGGCGTGGACAGAAGATCGTGGCCATATTGGTATCGCTGACGTGCGGACCAATTTTGTGGTGCGTCAAATTGTAGATATCAGTGTCGATACCGATTTTGAGCATATTGGCATCGTTGACCGCAACACCATCGACCCGAGACTGCTTGATGGTCAGAGTTCATCAAGGAGAGACGGTAGTCAGCTGGCTAGGGGCGGTCTCCCAGCATCCAGGCGTGAAGGCAATGGTCGGATTGACACTTTGAACCAGCCTCTCACACCGAGCGAGACGATGGTGCTGGAAGCTATACAAGGAGACCGTCGCCGACGAGACAGGATACCCCAACGGACTGATGGCGGGGATACTACCATGACTGACCCATCTTGGTCGTATTTGGCAAACTTGCGGTCACCAAACATCGAGAACGATTCGTCGCGAACTCGCCAGCGCAGTAGTAGTGTCAGTCGCGGAAGTTCGGAGACACCCAGTTCGTATCGAGACCAGAGAGAAAGAGAAAGGGAGAGATTCACCGATCGAGTCCGAAACATTCAGCAGCTTGCAAGAGATCCAAGCAACAGACTTTCCGGGCGCCGAGATCAGAGATGGATCGATAGGCTAGGCGAAACTGTGGCAGCGATGCGAGAGCAGCGCGAGCGTGATGGGGACCGCCCGGATGCATCGTATCTCAACGTCCTTGATATTCTGCAGGCAAGGGAGAGAAGTGCTGGATACGCTGCAGCAACTGGGACATCAACCGCCACAGGGACTGCGACGGGAACCGCGGCGGGAACGGGAACGGGAACGGGAACTGGGTCACGTACTGTGACAACAACTGCCAGTACTCTCGCAAACGAGGCCGAACGCGATGATTCCTCGCTGCTAGTGCCCCTAGTGAATCAGGTCGTTAACCGATGGGAAGAAAGCGCGATACGAGGCACTCTTCCAACGGAACACACGGGGCTGTTCGAAGTACCCCCTTCACCGGATAACACAGCTGGGCTTGCCTGGAGCGATGATGGCCGCACCCTGTAAGACATTCCGCTTTGCATAAGCTTGACTCAATTGCTAACAATGCGCGTAGGTTTATTGGAGCACAAAACGGCATCTACGAATTCCATATCAACACGCAGGCCCGACTCTTCCACCCTAGCATGCAGATGCGGTAAACGCGAACCCGCCAATCGACGACCCTTTCAGTTCCTGTCTACTGTGAATTGTCCATTATCCTTTCATTTATAACATTAGCATGCGCTCGTTACGCGGACACGGAGTTGACTTGATTCTCATTTCTCGCACCTTTTCTATCTTCCTCGGCTTCCCCATTGCCTTCCCATTCCCAACTACAATGAGTCTCTATGCAAACGGCGTATGACGGAGATGGACGCGGCTATCTTTCGGTGGCTCTTAACTACGGTCATAAACGAACTAGGGGTGTATTCTGCCGCGTTTGATACATGGCAAAGGGCTTTTCGAGTCTGCGTCTCGGGGCAGCCTGTGTGTGTTTTTGTCCTTTGGTTCTGAGATGTTATCCTTGGATGAGATGTGAAGCGGCCGCTGCATCGGCTGAGGACTGCTAGTTGTAAAAGCTTGGCGCAGGTAGAATACCCACGAGAGCATCGTTTATAATAAACTACAGGCCCGTCTATGCAATGTGATGTATGTACTGACTCTTGTATCCCGCAGACAGGCAGACTTGCTAGAGCCGAATTCAAAGACAACAACAATCAAGCATCAAGTGGCGCCTCCACTCTAGATGACATGTTTTACCGCCGAACATGCGCATCGCTGATACACGGCCGTCCATACGAGTTACTACCCACCGCTCACGTTGCCGTACATCATCTCCTCGACCCTCTCCGCGATAGCAAGGGCGCTCGTCAGCCCGGGGCTCTCGATGCCGAGCAGGTTGACCCATCCGGGGAACCCATCCTCCTCGCGGATCACAAAGTCCACGAACCCTTTGTGGTCCGGCCCGACCAGCTTCGGCCGTATGCCCGCGTAGTCCGGCGCGAGGGAGTCCGGGTCGATGCCCGGCAAGTACGTGCGTATGGCCGCGACGGCCTCGCGCAGCCGCGATGCTCCCCGCGGCGTGTCCGTGCTCAGCGCGGCAAGGTCGTCCGGCCCGTCGACCCACTCGACGTCCGGGCCGAAGCGCATGCGGCCGGCCAGGTCGAGCGTCAAGTGCGTGCCGAGGCCGCCGAGCCCGGGCTCGGGCACCGGGTATATCAGGCGCGAGACGGCCGGTCGCGACGCCGCGTACGAGAAGTAGTTGCCCTTTGCGTAGCGCAGCGTGACCCGCCGCTCTGGGCCGACGATCATGTTGTGGACGTGCGCGGCGCCGAGCCCCGCGGCGTTGACCACCGTGTCCGCCGTGATCGTCGACGCCTCCCCCTCCGGGCCGTCCCGCACGTCCACCGCCCAGCCACCGCCTTCCGGCCGCACGCCGACGACGGGCGAGTTGAGCGCCACGATGCCGCCGTCCTCCTCGAGCAAGCCGGCGAGGCAGGCCATGAGCGCGTGGGAGTCGACGATGCCGGTGGTGGGGCTGTCGAGCGCGCCTTCGGCGGCGACAACGCCCTCGCCGTCGCGCGCGACCTCGGCGGCGGACACCCAGCGCGTGGGCACGCCGAGAGTGTCCCGGCAGGCGGCGTGGAAGCGTTCGAGGGAGGCGCGTTGGGCGGGCGTCTGCGCGACGATCCACTTGCCGGTGCGGCGGTGGCCGACGTCGTGCCGGGCGCAGAGATCGTAGAGCAGCTGCTTGCCGCGGACGCACAGCCGGGCCTTGAGGCTTCCCGGCGCGTAGTAGATGCCCGCGTGGATCACCTCGCTGTTGCGCGCGCTCGTCTCGGTGCCGAGCGCGGGGTGGCGCTCGATCAGCACGGTCGAACCCCCAGAGCGCCGCGCGAGTTGCCGGGCGACGGCGATGCCAACGACGCCGCCTCCAATGACCTAAAAAGAAAGAACCACATCAGCAAGGGACCGGTTTCATAAGTCGTTTCTGGTTGAGGGGGTTTTAAAAACAGGATAGATAGCTCGACGCGGCCTGCCTGGTTTGGCCAAGGCTCTCAGGACACAGAGTGAGCCCAAACCCGCCTCGCAGCAACGACATTTGTCACTGGAGCTGGCGATGACGTAAAGAGCCAATTCAATTTCCAATCATCCAAACGGAAAGGGCAGCCGCGGAGTAAGCATTATCGGCAGATTTCAGCAGCTGGGACTCTGAAACGCCGAGCCTTGGAAGAGACGAAATGCACGATCGGTCAAGGGTCTCCTCTCCCCACGAAGGAACCGACCGGAGGAGGGGGGGGGGCGTTTGAAACAATTCACGCCTTCCAGGACCCATCCATGATGGTGAGCCGTCTCGACGGGTGTATTGGGTTGCAGAAATAAAAAAATAACACATGGGATGACGGGGGGATTTCCTTACTGCATGCGTGAAATCGGCCCGCGGCGCCGCCGTCGCACTGAAGCACGCTCGAGCGGCCGACGGGGGAGAGCCGGACTTGAGTGGCAGCAATGCCAGCGACGGTGTCGCTCGCCTGGGCAGCATTCTCAGTGAGTTTTGCGCTGGCTTGTGTAGAGGTAGAGGCGTCGGTGATGGGAGGTGTAAGTTGACGAGCTTGGGATTGGTTGGACTTGAGCGCCAGAGAAGAGAAGCGGACTGCCGACCACAGGTTTGTGGGGAATATTGGATCCGAGTTCGACGCTCAGCAATGGTGAAATATCGATAATCCAATTGAAGAATCTCGAGTATATAAATCTCTTATTGCGAGAAATGGGGTGTTTTTTTTTTGTTTAAAAAAGAAGCATCAGCTTCGTAGGTTAAGAGGAGCCGATGTCGCCGCCCCGGGCCATATCGGACCAAGCCCGCGACAACGACGGCCGGAACCCCGATATATGTATGACCCCCCCACAAGTCTCACCCTGGTAGAGCGCACTGGACCAAATAGCAATACACAATGCATTGTGAGCGATGTAAAACTGGCAAAAACACTTGCTATCTAGTAAAGCCATTTAGCATGAGGAGCACACTGTTCGATCGTCCTGTTTATCGTACATTTGGTCGTTGCTCGCCAAAATTCCCAGTCATAAAACATACAAAACGTGTATGCATCAGCTCCTTCTTGAGCCCTTCAGCCATCCACTGCGACAAGAGTCGATTCTTCTCCGTGCAAGCTCTATGCATCTGCCTCGGCAGGTTCGCCCGCTGGATCGGCCGCGGAACTTGAGCGGACGAGGCCGGACGGGTTGGGCGGCTCGTTCGATCCCTGGCTGGCCGAGAGCTCGTTAAGCTGCTTTTCTGCGTCAAAGTTAGCATTCCATAGCCACACGAGCGCAGCCTGCTCTACATTCATTAGCCTTACGTAGATCGTTTATGCGATGCTTGAGCATCTGGTTCTCTCGCGTGAGCATCTGCGCCTCCGCCTGGTAAAAGGCGCTCTCGTCGCGTCCGCCCAAGGCCCAGTCGCCGCTCTCCGCGCTAATAGAGGTGGATCGCAGTCTCGGGGACGCTCCGCGGCTCGGTGTCCTAGACCGGCGGTGGAGGTCGGCGCGAGCCATGTCCAGGGACGGCCGGTGATGGAACACGGGCGAGCGAGGGTACGATCCGAGCGGCATGGCCGGGCTCGGGCCGTGCGAGGACGGGCCTGCCGGGCGGTCGGACACGGCGCTGCTGTCCTCGGCAGACGCGCCGTGGCCGCTGCTGTGGTTCGGGTTGTTGGCTTGGAGCCGCTGAAGCTCGAGCTGCTGCTGGCGAATCATCTGCAGCAGGCGGTTCTGTGGCGAGGGAAGTGATGCAAATCAGCAGAAGGGCCGGGCTGCGCGAGGAGGGGGTGGGGGAAGGCAAACGTACAACATGGGCCTCTTGCTCGGCCTCTAGTTCCTGGTGCAGCTCCCCCAGACTTGGAGCCCGGTGATGCTGCGGGATGCCAGACTCCGACACCATCTCGCCGGGGCCGGGGATCGAGGGGTTGTTCAGCTGCAGGTTCATCAAGACGTTGGACCGGCGCCGGCCCGCGTTGGACGACGACCGCTGACCACGAGTGAGGGAGCCCGTCGACGAGCCTGCGGGTGCTTGGTGGGTGTTACCGCGGCCGTTCAACGACAAGATACGGTGTTTGAGGAGAGTATGTGGCTTACGTGGGGAGAGCTCTCTGTTGAGGCCGGCATTGACGGTTGCGGCAGCTTGAAGGGAGGTGGTCGAGGGCCCGCGAGGCGAGCCGGTAGGAGACTCTGGCCGCTGAGGGGCCGATGTGTCAATGTTGGAGGCCATTGTCGGATACAGCCTGAGTTTATAGGACGTGGCGCGATGTATGAGTGTAGATGGGCTGGTTGGCGTTGGTCGTCGTTTGAAGCTAACCCAGGTGGCAGGTAGCAGGTGGCGGGGTAGTCGCGCGGTGTCGGGCGGCTTATTGTCAAGTTTGTAACAAGTGGCGAGTCTCACTGCTAAAGAATCAATCAAGTGAATCTGAGGCGGACAAGTGTGTCCATGACGTGGAGTGTGATAATGAGCTGCGCGTCAACCAGATAATCATATTGTTTCCGGACCAAGTCACCAGATCCGACGTCAATGGCGGGGCCGCCACTGCAGCCAGCTTGTGGCTGAGCTACTCGGGAGGGAGGCTGGAGCTTGAGCTACGCTAGCCAGCTTCTTGTAGTAGATACTGGTAGACAGTTACCTCACAAGCCAACCACGCAATACAGACAACTAACTACATATGTACGTGCTAGATACGACTTCGTTCTGGGTTTTTTCTTCTCTTACTCCTGCGTTTTTTCTCTCATGATTCGCTTCTTGGGAGCTGCTGCTAGCTGCACAAATTAGTGCTCAGTTCCGCAAGATGAATCAACCGGAAAGTCGGCCTAGATCTACCCTGACTGGCCGTTCCAGGGTAGGCACGGGTAGTGTTAACTGCAAGCAGCATCGGCCAACATGTCCAACTCGACTTGGTCATCGTTGGCAAAATAGTCACCGTCGCCCATTCTTTGTGGTATCCTATCGGTTATTGCGTGGTTGACCAACTTGAGGCCCGACTACTGTGCGATAATGATGACATCGACACAAACAGGCTGCACTGTCGAAGAACGATTCAATAAGCTTTTGGCGCGTCAGCCATAAAGAAAAGAAACATATTGTTGAAGAAAAAACAAGGAAGATAATGAGCAGCACGAAAGACATGATTAGAGTATGCCACCTACGAATTATTTTCTCGTGTTATTGGTAATTTGGGCAAGTATAGTAACCTGACGTATTGCTATAACATTTGTTCGGCATCGCCGACGTCCAACTTCCACCCAACGACGCAATAATACTTCGCATTACAAAGCAATCAAGTTTCCTGGCAACTAGTGTCCTTCTATATCTTCACGTAAATGGTCACCGTTAGGCTCCAAACAAACAAATTGACGGTAGGCGTGGCGCGTTGGGTTGGGATATGGCCTGGGATTGCTCGCAAGCGCCACCTATATTGCCATGACGAAGCTATCGATGGCGATTAAATTACCAACCAACACTCCTTGTAAGTGCCTTTTACATCTACCGCGTCTCGAATGCTAACCCTTGCCGCGGTGATGTTCATTGGGTGGTTCCCCGTCAAGACGGTCGGCCAAATGTCCCACAACCAACCAATATCGACATCCTTCCTCTTTTAGCCCGGGGTTCCTGGATATTACTCCAAAATCATCCCATTCTGCATTTATCCAGGAGATGAGGGCTTCTAATTGTAACAAACTTGTCCCATCTAGTAAACATCGTGGCCAACACGGTATCTTATCCTATTTTTCGCTGGTCTCTTCTCCCGGCGTGCGACGCTGACAAAAGGAAAGGAGAGATCTTGAGACGGAACGAGCAGAATAATAATTTTCTGAAATAACCGTCTCGGGTTCCCCATGGAGAAAGTCTACATAGGCTTGTTGTTCTTTCTTCCTCCTTGGTTATGGCCGTTGCCAAGACGAATGTACTGGCCTCGGTCACCTATAACGTAATCGCAAAAAACAAAGAATTACTGGTACGAATAGGACCATTGCAAAAGTTCTCAAGGGAGGAAATTCAACGGTCGTAATTGGGCAACAGCCGGAAGCTCAGAGAGATTATCCTAGCGCATTGCATTGACACCCATAGCATGAATGCTATGGGGGGTGCACATTTCTTAGTTCTTCTTGTGTTGATCAGTCAATAGGTACCCAGTAGGTGCGGAGCAGACTAGACTTTGGTGGCGATCGGCGCGTTTCTTTGTCCCATGAAACGCTGTGTACGTGCCTTTGTTCTGTCGGCTGTGAGGCACAGTCGTAGGAGAGAAGAACAGACTGGTCAGAGTGCAACGGCAACGGCAGCGGCAGCGGCCATGTGGCAGCTGTTGTAGTTGGGATAGTTCTTCGGCCAAGCGCAATGCCCCGGGACGTAGCGCCAGCAGTGCATAAAAGCGCAGCCTGCGACAAGCTTGTGCATGGATGCTGCTATGACATTCCTCTTCTCATCTGTCTTCATCCTAGGCTTGGGCTCGTCAGGCAAAGACAACAGGTACTTCGTAATCAGAAGACTCATAAAATGGCCGCTTGTTGAATAGAAACAGGGTCCGAGCTCTGGACGACCAGCGTCAACCTTGTTGACAGCGGGGGCCCTTCCTCTAGTTATCCGAGTATCATGTAACAAGCAAACATTCAGATAGCAGCACACGGGACCATGCCATTTGTTGTGAGTAATGTGATGTACACAGAGAAAAGCAACCCCGGCTCAGGATGAGACGAAACTTGAGTGGGCTCGTAAGGCCGAAGACAGCCTTGTACTTACCATGGTGAATGATGCGATAATTGGGGGAGGGGCGAGAGATAAGTTAAGAAATAGCCCGAAGAGAATTGAAAGCCACCACGAAGTAGATTGCTAAAGCTCTTCTCCTTTATTACAAAGCGTTAGGAGCTAGAGTCGGGCGGAAGAGCGTTGGTTCGTACTGTTTAGCGCACACTTTTCATTTTCGGTGTAGTTGAGGTAAAGCGACCATTGCGCGTCGCATCTTCTCCGAATTTTGAGCTATAGTTACGAAGTATTTCTACGAATCGACCCATTGCATCTGCCGCTGCGATGCAAAACGTGGCGTGTGTTATTAGTCGACGCACAGACATACCATTACTTCCACCTTAGTCCTCCAAGCTGGACGTATATCTACTTCAGCAACCGCGCACGCGGTGTTTGCCACGTTGGTAGCTGGATAATAAGATTGCAGATATGTTCTGCAAGAGTATATCGAAGCACTCAGGGAGAGGGGGCGGTGAGCGTGTCGAGGTGCATGAAGCTGACGATACCCACAGAGCAGGGCAGCGGTCCGGAGGATCTGATGGCAGAGGTATGAATCAGGTAAACCGATGCGGTTCGTGCGAGGGACAAGGCGGAAAAAAAGTGTTTCATCGTCAGTTGGTAGCTCGAAATTCGACGGGTACGCACAGCTCCGGTCATTGCGTGCGCTCCTGTTCTGCATATTACCAGCAAGGACAAAGGTGAGAGATGTGTCGCAACTCTGAAACACGTTTGTTGCCAGCGAACCTCCTGGGCCACAGCGACGACGGGTTCCAACCCCTGTCAGTAGACGGGACGGGACCTGAGCGTCCAGCCCGCAACGGTGGCTATTGACGAGTTCCCAAAGTGTACAGCCCCGAACATTGCCTGATCAAGTTATTTATAATAGCAAAAATCTGAAGTCGCGAGCAAAGCATCCTTGTTAGCCATGTCTCCGGTTGAGCGTTAGCACCGGCAGGGTTTTGTATGTCGTCTATGAGAAGGCAGTGGCCGAAATCGCAATTGCGGTCCACTCAGCATGCAGCCGACGACCGGTGTGTCGGTACTTGCCTGGGGCAAAGATTGAAACAAGCCCGCCGAGCTTTCAGTTTGATCGGGCTGGCTGGACCTCCTTTGGCTTGCCAGCTGTAAGAGCTTGCGCGGAACTGAATCGAGCTGAAGATTTGGCAGATGAGATTTGTTGGAGTTTATTAGTTGCGAGGAGTGGGCTCGACTCTTGCCGATTAGTTATTTGGTGTTGTTTTTGCGGACGGGCTCAGAGGTTGACTCGTAGGATCCCCAGTTGTGGCGCCAAGAGTTTAGTTACGAGGGTTGGTTGAGGCTAGGAACAGAGCCAGCGCGAGAGCTGCTAAAAGGACGACGACGAGCGATTTTGACTCAAACCAAGTTAGTCCGGGGCGGGCTCAATGATAAATGAGGAAAAACCGCGAATCAAGTCTGCCGGGTATGAGTGGGTGATCTCTACGAAGTAGAGTGAGGTGGGAAAGGTTACGAGGCAGGTGGTGGTGTAAGAGAAGGCGGAGCAGCACAGAAGGTGGGCTTCTCGAGTCATGCGATCAAGATCTGGAGCGTGCCGGCAGAGAAACAAAGCTGACTGGGCATACAACAGCTTTGTCTCGATCTAGCATGAAGGGTTGTACTCTGTTGGTAGCCAGATCGGTTCAGGAGACAACAAAGACATGGTGGACGTTGGTGCGATTTGGTGCAGACAAGTTTGCGGGTTTTCAGAAGATATGAGTTTGACCAATGAAAATTGTGATGGTGCGATCGGAAGGAGTTCGGCGATGGGTGACCGGTTTGCGAGCGATGGCCACCACTTGAGACTTGAGACTTGAGACTTGAGACTTGAGATGAGAAGCCGCAAGGCTGCATGTGTCGGATCAGTTATCGAGACCTTTGTGATGCGAGATGATGTATTTTGACCAGGAGCAACATTGTTTTGTCGGCAAGAGGGATAAGACGATGGGCAGTTGGCGTCGAATTTCGGGTTAGCGCATGTGATGAGGCATTGCGGTGGAGTTGGTGGATGCCTCCGGAAGAGCGCCCCGGGGTTGACTGGAGCAGGCCGCGAACGCGCTGGAGGATTTGCGCTTGGATCCTTGTTGATTAGTGAAAACGGCGTACTAGTAGGGGTTTGGAGCTGGGGCCGGGGGTTGAAAAAGTCAAAATGGGTGGTGCATGATGGGATGCTGAGAAATGGTTAGAAGGAAAGCCAAGAAAAGTTTGCAAGAGAAAAAGGGAGAGGAGAGGAAGAGGAAGAGGAAGAGGAGGAGGAGAAGAGAGGAGAAGGGAGAGACGCGGGGGCAGGCACTAAGGCAGGAACGGGCAGTACGAGTACATTTTGTGCATGGTCATATTTCACAATTTCCATGTGCCACAGGCACAGTACATGCATGTGCATATATTATGCACCCCTGTAGGTACGACTGTGCGGAACATGGATAAAAACAAGGTAATCCTTACTCTTGAACGCTTTTCCCTCAATTGAAAAAATCGCCAAAGCATGTCTGCATACTCCGTACGGGGTACGGATACTTGAGGTAGTACTGGGTAGCAATCGCTAGCAGTGCATTGACTGGATGCGCCGATGCCTCGATGCACCCGGTGTACTAGCATTAACGAGTACAATAATTTGGAAGAGCGCGAGCTGTGTTGGAGAAGAATATGTTACCTAGATAGGCACTCCGTAGGCTGTTCTGATTCCGGATTATTACCAGTATAAATGCCATTATCAAGTGGTTTTTTCAGAATTGATTACTCCGCACCTGGAATGTACACCATTGCAAGGCAAGGCCGAATGGTGATGGGGTTACCAAGCCATTGGGCCCTCTACACCAGCCATCTCTCGCTGTGACAGGTTGATACCCCTGTAGAAATGTGCATATACAAGCCAATTTTCAGGTAGTTATTATTCTCATGCAGCTGCAATTACCGCTGGCGTTCGTTTTTGCTTTTGTACGAACGGGTACTGTTCTTTTTTTTCCTTCTTTGGCAAACTCCGGATGTCATCGTATGTGCGTGCAACAACAGGCACCCGGAGAAAAAGAAAGCGAAGGACAAAAGAGAAAAAAATCCTACTGGCTTCTTGCGTCATCAAGCTAAGTTTGTAAATTTCGTAAAATAAGACATTCTGCTGCAAAATGAGACTGCGGCTTGTCGTATTCCGCCGAGGCTGACTGTCGCAGCGGGATCCTCGGCTGCGTCGATCCATTGTTCCAGGCACCAGATGTGGATTACAAGCGCGCAGATACAGGGCACAGGCACCTAGATTCAGGGCACATGCGCCGAAAGACCAGCGTCCTGCAGTGGCTTGAACCCCTAAAAGACTTGGTTGTTGGGTGCTGAGGTGGAGGGAGAGCCGATCCAAGACAGACACAGCAAAAAACAAAAAAAAAACACCACACCATCCATCACATCACATCACCACTCTCCATCATCATCATCACCATCACACACATCACCCACCGACCGCCCACACATCCATCTCCTCTTTGCACCACCTTACACTCACACTCACACCACACCACCTCACACCACCGCCCAACGGCCTCGTCCGCTCCCCATCATGCCATCCACCAAACCACCGCACCATCCACACAAACAACCCGGTCCTTAGGTTCCATCCAACGCCATTCAACGCACCGCGATCCACCCGCCAAACTTTGAATCCGCGATTTGCCCACATGGGCCACGACCTCGCACGCCCCCTTCCTCCGCCCCATCGACCGCTAACCAAATGAACCCTGGTCCTGGTCGCCCTGCCTGCGCTCGCTCAACGACTAGTCAGTCTCGTCAGAGTCTGGTAAACTGTTCTGGTACTGTTACGCGTTGTTGCTGATGCGAGCCCGTTCCGATTCTCTTGCGCCGTTATCCGTACCTGTCGCCCACACGCCATTCCTCATTCCTTCGCCATATCTTATTTACACCCTGTCGCCTCCATTTTACACGTTCTCCGTCGTTTTACAACTCCTTCTCACGATTCCCCGTCTTGCTCGCCATTTTGATCATCCACCTCGGCATATCCGCCCTTCCTTTTATCCTCGTCATCCATCCTCCACAACGACAAGCCGCCTCGGCACCTCGTACTACCTTGTCCTACTTCGTACATCCATACACTTCTTTTGCATCACCCCTCGCTTGCTTTCGGAGCCCGCTGCTCCCTCTCCGCCAATGAAAATCTACCCGACTGCTTAATCCTCCGCCGCCTGCTTGCATCGATTTGCCGCCTGCTTCGCATTGTTTTGCCGTCATTACCTCGCCCCCTCGCCTATATTTGAGTCACTGTCTTAGAACCTTGACCCATCACCCTGCACTTGCCCCAAGACCTGGCTGGTCATTGCTTACCTGCCCTGCCATGCTGGCAAAGGTCAACAGCCGAACCCGCCTCGTCCATTGTTGTGCTTGCACCGCCATTGCTGCCGGCAGTTTTGTTCTTTTACAACAACATTGATCCAACACTCTAATCTCCAGCCTTCATATACACGCAACATCAGCCTGCCATGCCTCCTGACGAGGCCGTCGCCGGCACTGATAATCGCGGGCCCTCGCATTACCTCTCTCTGAGATCCCGCCGTTCCAATCGCTACCTGGCCGATGCCACCAAGCAACCAGCCCAAGCCGAGCCGCCTCTACCACTGAACCAGCATGCGCCACAACAGCTACTGCAGCTACCTCACCACACGCTCGCGCCCAAGTCCTCCAAGCGAAGTCTTCGACACATCTTTAGCCGCTCAAAACTCGTCAAGGACAAGCCCGATCAGCAGACTGCTGCACACCGTCTCCGTCAATCTGATCTGCGTTTCGTAGAAACCGCCGCATCGGACAATCGCAGCGCCTCAAACGTACACATACCTCTTCCCGAATCCGACGACCTGTCTGCTTCGGCTAAGCGCGCTTCGTCCGTCCCGAGAGCCCGATCACTTCGTCGCCAAAGCCACGCCTTGCCGCCTGTAATGCCTGGCCGCAAGGCTTCTCTCCAGGACAATGCATCCCACGAGTCGCTCGCTGCTTGGGAGATGCCGCAGCTCTTCAAGGCGTTCCCGCAAACTATTCGTCAGGCGACCCTGCCTGCAGTTACCATGTCCACGGAAATGGTTTTGCGGCTTCACGAGAAGAATATTTCTGCCGCTTCAGCAGCTGAACAGCTAAGCGCGGAGGAACGCGCCTCCAAAGAAAAGACCAAGAAGAAGCATGGAAAGAACATGTCCTTGTCAAACTTGCAATGGACATCTAAGATCTATCTCTTGACCACATCGGGGCATCTACTGCAGTATTCCGGCGCGGGCAACTATGATCGCTTGCCAGAAAAAGTCCTCAAGCTAAGCCATACTTCTGCAGCCTTTGTTACAGACTCGATTCCTGGCCAGCACTGGGTTCTGCAAGTCTCATCCGAGCCAGAGGCTGCCATCCCGGCGAATGAACCGAGATCAATTCTCTCCAAGCTGTCCATCCTCGCGGGAGAAAAGCGCGAAACGACCAACATCTTAATGGTGTTCGAGAGCCCCAGTGATCTAGACAGCTGGATGGCTACCCTGCGCGGTGAAATTGAAAAGCTTGGCGGACGGCGCAAGCTGTCGGAAACCGGCGTACTTGAACGTCCTGCAGCCCCAAAGCTGGAGCCCAGAGCTATGGTCGTGCGGGACTCCAGGCGCTTCTCCCAGAGCCCTAGTCGTCGACCAGCAAGTAACGGCGATGACGAACTTACCCTCAGAGTGAGCGACTTTCAGCATAGCCGGGACCAGAGCTTGGACGAAATCTCGACAACAAACAGCATTGTATCGCAGGACGGTAGACAACTCGACAACTTGCGAGACAGCAATGGAAACCGTCTTTCCTTTGCGTCGGCCGATAGAAGGACTGCTCTAACTTCCGCTGCATCCTCACCAGAGCGCTCCCCTATTGTCGATATATTCCCCCGCGATTCATCCGAAACCTGCGAATCTCATGAGTATAGTCATAGCTCAAAAAAGGCTGATGCAAAACTTCGACCCAATGCCTCCGTCATAGCCAACAGGCGCTCTACCATGCAGGCCGCTGGACTGTTCATTGAAGTTAAAGCCAACATTCGCAACTCACAATCTGAAGAGGACCCCTTTTCCTACAAAACAAGCGAGGCACCCGAGTCGCCAACGGGCCTTGTTGCCCCCAATTTTAGTGTACCGCAGTCGTCAGCCCGTCGGTTTTCTCACATGCGCAATACCTCTTCTAACTCGCAATCTCCGCCTTCCCCAAATGCCGCCTGTTTTGCATCGCGTCTCGCTCGGTCCAAGCCACCTCCCGTGCTGCGATCATCGCGACCTCTTTCCATGGTTGCTGACCACCAAGCACCCAGAGCTGAGCTGCCCGCCCGGCCACCTACTGCCGACGGCACCCACCACAGGCTGTCTCCCGTCAAGGAGCAGGTCAGAGAACAGCGCCAGCGTTTCTCGAGGCGACACAGCCCGCGCAGCTCCGCAGACGGCAAGTCCGACATGAGCTCTCCGCGCTCTAGCTTGGCCATCAGCGACCGCATTACGTCCCCCACTTCAAGTTATCGCATAAGCCCCCGACGAAGCCGACCCCCGGTTGCCGGTCTGCGCAAGAACAGTTTCGAGTCAGATATGCGCGCCGTGCGCTCCACAAAACAACTTTCCTCCATGCCCCAAGAACAGGGGAATGCGCAGGTTTTCGCCTGGACCAGGGGTATCGCACGCCGTCAATCCACCGTGGGCTCATTTTCCTCCGAGCCGTGCACATCGCAGAAAGAGACGAGACGAGCGAGCATCAACACCGGCTCTACGCCTATCGGACACCGCCGCCACTCGTCAGATGAGATGCGAGTGGCTTCGGTTCTACCGCCTATGCCACCGCCACCGTCTGGTCCCTTGCCTGCGTTGCCAGGGTCTTCTTCTAGCCCGAAGACAGAGAAGAGCCGAGCTCTACTGAACCGTCGAAGCATGCCACAGATGATGCCCCCCCCTCTCCCACCACCACTGCGGGAGCTTCCTCCCCTTCCACCAATTGCATCCGTGCGGGTGTAATGTGACACCACACACTACTAGACCTTGACCGTCACCGGACTCAAAATCTACGTTCCAACAAATTGCTGTCTTACTATCACACATTATGACATATTATTATACTGCTCTCCAAGAGTGGAATACTGGTGCCGGCACCGGTATATTTAGAAACGAGCTTGACGACCACATCGGTCGTTTCTTCTGCACCTACAATCGTTGATGAGCTCAAAAACCCGTTTCCTTGGTGTTTCAGGCCTGCATGATATGAACTACGTACCCTCCCGATCTTTAACCACATTATCATTTACGGATGCCCTCCTGGTATACCCCAGGATGGTTGAATGACATATTATGAACTGTTTGTATGATTCGTTGTTTTCTTGGATATTGTTGGGCGATGTTAGAACCGAAGTGCGCGGATTCTTTGTGCAGAAAATATATGGTTGAGACTATTCGGACTGCATCGTTGCTATCTCTATCGCGCAGCACGTACCTCTCTATATGTCAAACTTGTATGGTGCTTGGCTTTAGATGCAAAAATACATGTTAAATTCCCATATATTCCTGGATAAGCCGGAAGTGACAGATGGATGAGCGCGTGTGTGAAGCGAGACAGAGATATGGATGGCATGACACGGCAAGTGCAGTCTTGATTCGCCTCCCCTTTGCATCGGGACCTCGTGTTTTTCTCGGCGTTTGTAGCTCGCTCGCTGATCCAAGCACTTTGCACTGTCCTCGACAAGTTCTTGCTATTACCTGGGCCATGACACTCTCGAGAATCCCTACCTTTCTCTTTTCGGCCAGCGGCGAAGCGGCGGCGACGGCGGTGGCTGTGACATGCCCTGGACCAGCACTAAGATCGCACCCTCGTGCATCTCAGCATCGTACGGGAAGGCGTACACGTCCGTCGAGGACGAGGCGAAGAGCGTCTTGCCGTCCGCCGTGAGGGAGATGCTGTGGTTCAGCTCACATGTGCGTGTCAGCAGAAAAGTAGACAATTATAGAAAGAACCGGCGCGTAAATCAACGGGTGTGGCTTATCCTCTCGTCGACCACAATCAGAGTGCTGTTCACGACGCACAGGTCCATGCCTTCGGCGTCGTCGAGTTCAAGCCGTCGGATTCCCCTTTGCTCGGCCATGAGCACGTTGCCTAGCCGATCCTGCACGAGCTGCCTGGGCTGGGCGACCTGGTTCGTGAGGACATTGCAGGTGACGCCGTCGGCGGCGGGCTTGGCCGGAGCGCCTCGCACCATCATCACGGGCATGGGCCAGACCGGTCACTCGTCACGCTCGTTGTACACTCCCCCGGCGAATCCCGGGCTGCTGCTCGTGTTGCGCGGTTCCAACGGCAACATGGACGTTGAGACGGCGGACGTTGCGTCTGGCCGCAGCCAGCTGCGCGTCTTTGACGTGCAGAGCCTTGTCAGCGGCGCGAAAGCTGTCGAGTACACAGATGGCGATGTCATGGGCTGGGGCCTGCGCAACAGCGTCGGCATCGCGCATAATCCCACCACGGGAGACATTGTATGTGTGATGCTTGATAATGAACTGAAATGCTGTGCGGGAGGGGAGCAGAAGGCAGAGCTGACAGACGTTGGTGGTAGTGGGCAGTAGACAAATCGTTGGACGACACGCATCGCTTCGGCGTGGACATTCACAACAGCAACCCGGGAGAGGGGATGAACTTTTACGGACGGACCAACGACACGGCCAACTACGGCCGGAACTTTGGCTACCCAGGCTGCCTGGCCGTCTTTGATACGACCAACGTCGAGACCTATATCCACGGCTTGCAGAAGCCGATGATTGGGGACCAGTTCGTGGGGGACCACCAGCCACAGTACTCGGACTTGTGGTGCCGGTAGCATTCGACGCCGCCACGTACCACCTTTGGCTCACACCTGGCGCCGATAGATGTCAAGTTTCTGCTTGACGGTAGTGCTGCACTCATTGCGTTTCACGGAAGCTGGTGAGTTGTTGTGCAGAGAGATTGTGTCGATGACACTCCCGCATTTCGTCTAACCAAATCCTTGTCTAGAAACCGCCAACCATCAAACGGCTACCGCCTCAGCCGCGTCTTCTTCGCGGGTGGATTTCTGGTGAAGCGGACGGATGAAGGGAATGCGGAGGAGATGCTATTATGGAACGCGGACAATTCGGACTGCAGCAGACACTGCTTTCGCCCGGCGGGCCTGTTGCTTGACAAGCAAGGCAGGTTGTTGAGGACGAGTGATGCCACAGGGGAGGTGATTCTCGTGATGGGCATTGAGAATAAGGGTGACACGGCGGATGCGTAAATGATGGGCTGCTGCTACGACTCTTGATATGTGTAGCTTTGGGGGCTGGGAAGGGCAAGAGATTATCACCATGACTAATTCGATTGAATGCTAATATGTACCCTTTGATTGCTATATGTATACATGAAATCCGGTCAAGGCCTGGGATCGGGACCTTGGTCTTGAAGCTGTCTTGCAAACTGCTCCCTATGCTCCAGCCCCCTTTAAAACTTGTCTTGGTTGGCATTCTGCATGAGCATATTCGAGTCGGGCTTGTACTCTTTGGAGAGCAGGTTGACGTCGTACTCGACCTCCAACACGGCGCCGTTGGGCTCATTCTCGACGGGCGTGAAGTGCAGCAGCAAGTCGTCCTTGACCGCGCACGCCGTGTCCGTCTCCAGATAGGGGTCATCATCCGGGTACAGCTGCGCCGTCACCCCGATATACTCGTCATGCGTCACCATCACATGAATATGCGCCGGCCGCCACGGGTGCCTCCCCATCACCGCCAGCAACTCCGCCGAGGGCCCGGACGTGTCAATCGCGTACTCGGTCGGCTTGAGACAGTAAAAGTCGAAGCGGCCGTCGGCGTCGGTGCGAAACTTGCCGCGCAGGTTGTGGCGGGACTGGTTCTCCGGGTCGTGCGCGTCGTACTTGCCGTTGGTGCTGGCCTGCCACATGTCGAAGACGGCGGAGGGGATGCCGCGGCCGGTCTCGACGTCGCGGACGACGCCGCGGAAGCGGGTGAGCTGGCCGTCGGGGGGCATGTCCTGGACGACGGAGGCGCCGAGGGCGCGGAAGGGCGTGTCGGGGGACCAGAAGGGGCCGAGGATGGAGGAGGAGGTGGGGACCTTGCCGTCGGCGGCCTGGACCTTGTGATTGATTTCATCGACGAGGCTGCGGTGGTGTCAGCGGGGGAAAACGTCGCAGACGCGCCAGGTCTCGTTGCGGTTCTTCTTGTAGGCCTGGCCGAGGGAGTTGATGTAGTTGACGCCGAGGATCCACTCGTCCTGCTGGAGCTCGACCTCGCGGCAAAAGTCGTGCATGTGGCGGATGAGGGAGGTGAGGATCTGGCGGTGGCGGGGCTTGGTCTCGGGGCTCATGAGGTCGATGACGTGCTGGGTGAAGTTGGGATCGAACTTTGGTTTCTGCTGGTCATGGGCGGTGCTGCCGTTGGCGGCGTTGGTGCCGTTGGTGATCATTGTGGCGATGGTGATGTGTGTGTGTGTGTGTGTGTGTGCTTGTATCCAGTAGAGGTAGAAGAAGGAAGAAGAAAGAGGGAAGCGGGCGAGGGGTATATAGAATGGTGGATGGGTTGATGATGGATGGCGAGGGAAAAAAAAAAAAGAAAAAAAGACTTGGGCCAGTCATGGGCAAGATATTATAAGTAGGCTGAACTGGAGTAGCACGAGAGGAGAGCTGGAAAAAGACATTGCCGGTGCAGAAGCCGGGATCGAAGCCGGGGAAAGTGGGGAAGGCGGGGCCGTGGATCACGGCGAGCGGGAGCGGCAATTCGTTTGGCTGCGGTTGGGCGAGGCACAAAAGCGGGTTGTTGGACAAGTCGGGGGAGGTAGGGGGAGGAGGAGGGAAGGGGGCGCGCGCTAGCACAAGTGGCCGGATAAATGTCAAGGCAAATGCAGATGATGGTCGCGTTTCGGCGATGAGTCGCGGTATTTCAACCGTTTCGGAATGCGGCATGCTGGTTGGGGGATGGCGGCAGCTTCGGCCATTGAATGGATACAGGGAGAACTTGGCTCGGATGGGCTCGCGGCTGATGAAGGAGACAAGTGACGTGCTGATACGTATCGGGCAGGAATTATCAACGGTCCGATGGCGATGGAAGAATGCATGTCTTGCGCGAGTGTTTTTTTTTTTTTTTTTGTTTGCTGGCGGGGTCTTGCATGCGGGGGATTGCAATACGTCACAGTCGGAAGCGAATAGGAATAAACCTAAAGGTAAGACGCAACTATTTTTAAAAGGAAGGAGAAATGCCAAAATAATCTGTACGGATTACAACAAAAAACATCCATTTCCTGCATCACTCACCACTAACAATGGCTGAAGGGCACATGCATGCTTCTGTAGTCAGCCTGCTGCAGCCAGCAGCCAGGTATGCAGTTAGCGCAAGTACACTGCTATCCAGCAAGACAAAAAGGCAACCACCCTCCTACCCATAATAACCCCCATGTTACACCCCGATTGTCATACCTTTCTCTTTTCTCTTCTTCTTCGTCTTCTTCAGCTTTAACAAACCTCTTTCTGAATCATGATTATCAACTGCTGCTTTACCCTCCTCCTCTGTTTGATTCGACTTTGCCCACGTGGTGGCTGGGATTCTCTGCCATCACCGATCGCCATGGTCGGGAATTAGGTGGCTGGGCCGACGAAACTTGCCAGGGGCCTGCCCTGCCTGCCCTGCCCTGTCTGCCTTCACGCAACAGGAGGGGGAGCGCATGGATATGTAGATAGATGGCTTGCGCATTCTTGTCTTTTGCAACCAATTCGAAATAATCGAGACATTTTGTCCATCTTTTATTTTCTAGTGGTTTAACACGTCTATTTTCTTTTCTCTTCTTCTTTTCTTCTTTTTCTCTTCTTTGGTTCTCTTTGCTACCCCCTTCGACGTGCCCCGTCTTCGCATGCCACTCCGACCCCCCCTCCACGCACGGCACCTCGTCGCGACTCGACAACGACTTGGACTTGACTGCGCTCTTTGCGCCAGGTAGTCCCGGACTCTCATCGCCGGTCGACTCTTGCGTCGCAGAAGACGCCGCGATTTACTGGTTCATTGTGCACTTTTTGCGCGCGCATTCGAACCCCCACGAGCTGATTCCCGCTCCCATTACATCATCAACCAAGTCCATCCGAGCGCGACGCGCCAGCGAGCAGGACGAAACGAACAAGGGCGCATCTTTAACCTCGACCAAAAGAACCGACCGACGTATACTACGACCTTATCACGAGAATAGATTTACCCATAGTCGCAGCCATGCCTGCCCTCCCTTCTCGACGCGCGCCGTCGCAACCCCCCGCGACGCCAGCATCAGCATCGCCAACCTCACACCCGCCGCCGGCGCCGCCGGCGCCCCGCCGGCCCCGCCACTGCCGACCATATCGAGCCCCATACCCGACACCACCACCACTACCAAGATCATCGTCCGTGCCCCTCAGAGCACCCCCGGCTTCCAAGCTATCCCCTCCACCTACCAGGGGCAGGACTCCTCCCTGCCCCCCGCCACCGTCGCCGGCATCGTCCTCGGCTCCGTCGGCGGCTTCCTCCTCCTCCTCGCCCTCCTCTACTCGTGCACCGGCTGGACCCCCGTCTTCATCCCGTGGTCCCCCTGGCGGAAGCGCACCGTCGTCGTCGAAGAACACCGCCACAAGGACCACCACCGCCGCCGCCGCCGCCGCCGACGCAGCAGCCGCGGCACCCGCACGGAGACGGAGATGTTCGAGGTCCGCCGCACGACCAGTGGTAGTGGCAGGCCACCCCACGTTCGCGGCGTGCCCGTGGCGCCGCAGCCGCCGCCCCCGCCGCACGTCATGATGCCGGGAGTACGGGTGTCCCAGTCGACGACGCGGCACGGCCCGCCGTCGCGGGGGCGTGCTGGGCGCTTTGACGATGCGACGACGGCGACGGAGACGGATATGACGGAGGAGGAGGATGAGGTTGTCGTCATCGAGGAGCACTCGCCGCCCAGACACAAGTCGTCGCGCAGGAGCTCCCGGCCGAGGAGCTACGACTCGCGGCGCGACAGCAGACGTTATGATCGCCGCTAGCAGCCCTCATGCTGTCTTTTTCCTTCTTTCTTTTCTTGGTTTTCCCCTTGTGGGGGTGCTTCCGGGTATCGATCACAGGGGGGTATTCTGTCTGCCACAAGTTCATGGTGTAATGTCACGATTAGTGTGTGGTGGGTATGGGCAGGCTTTGTTTACATTGTACGGATATACACTTGCTCAAAATTTTCATGTCGTTTCATCTACTGTCGATAACTTGAGTTATACATAATGCGAGACTAAATCTCTCTCTCCCTCGCCGTCGTCAAAACAAGATACAACGACCTGAGAAGGGTTAGCATAAGCAAGGCCCCCCTTTTTCAATCGGCGCGCTATTTACATTCACATAGATACCCTTCCCGTCACCTATTGCCCGTTGTTGTTATTAGCATTATTCCCCGCGTTCGGCTGTCCGCCGAAGAAGAACGTGTCAAACGGATTGATGTGTCCGCCCTCGCTAAAGTCGTTGTGCATCCCCTCCCAGTTGATCCCGAACCCGAGATCGAGCTGGGCCTGGTCGACGGCGGCGAAATCCCCGTTCGGCGTGGCCCCAAGTGTCTGCAGGAACTCCATCGTCTGGCTGTCCGGATACTCCATCGACCCTTGCATGCCAAACTGCTGGCCCATGAACGTATTGTTGCCTCCCTGTGTTGTCATGCGACGAGGCAGCGGAGGCGACCGAACGATCGCGTCCATGGAGCTGCCGTCATGGCTGATCGAACCGTCCGCGGGACTCGGTCCTCCGCTGTGTCGTCGTGGCTCGGACATGAGAGTATCGCTGTCAAACGTCTTTGACTTCGTCAGTGGTGGCGTGGTTTGCGTCGAGGGAGCACCTCCTGATATGCCCGGTGAGGATATGTTGTCTCCCATGGCCAAGTCGAATTGGTAGCTTTGACTATCCGACGTCTGAGATCGCTGGTGCGAAGCCGACTTCATCGACTCAGGCACAGGGGCCGTAACCCAGGTCGTCGTCTCTCTGCGTTGTCGTCGCGGTCGAGGGTTCATCGTGCCGAAACCGCCGTTTGAGCTTGCCATTTTGATTGTTGCCTTGGCTGTTCGATCAAACGCATCTCGACATGTCTCAGCCGGTGGGCACTTGTCAATCATATCCGTGAAAACAGACTTGGCTGCTAAAACTGTGAAATCAACCTCGTCCATGGACAGTCGACTCCGTACCAAGGGTGAATGCCAAATAGCGTACAGGTACGAAATGCCAGCCATGAACAGATGATGAGTCGACAAGTATGTGTAGCTGACAAGACCGCTCAGATGGAGCTGTCTGTATATGCGCAGGATCTTCTGTCCTGCCTCCGCTACCTTGAGGTAAATGTGGTCTTCGTCCTCTCGGAGCTCCGCGGTGAAGGCCGTGGGGCTATTGACCTCATTCGAAGTGTTGTATTCTCCCTCGAACATGGCTGGGACGCTCAGGCTCTGCCTGTAAAGCATAATAATAGCCTGCCAGTAGTTAAGCTCGAGGAACTCGGTTGAGAATGCAACACCAGTCTCTTGTCTCGTCGGCGCGGATGACTTCCAGTGGTAGAGACGTTTGTCAATGTCGCTTCTCCAAGACCGGAATGAATCGAATTTGACAAGGAAGGGTGACGGCGTGTGGTTGCGCATCTCAGGATAGCAAGGTACCTGGTTGCCTTGGCGTGCAAGTTGGGCTTGGTTGTATTGTAGAACCTGGAGAATTTCCGATTGGAGCATCCGAAGCCGGAAGTAGTGATGGGCGACATGCTTGTAGCTCGGCCGTTCGTCGTCTACCGGGGGGTCGATGAAGCCCGTGGGAGTAACATAGTCGTCGTCCAATACAGAAGGAAGCTCGGTAGTGATGACCTGATCACTAATACCAAATGGCCGCCCGACACATGTGCTGACCAGTCGATCGAATGAATAGGTGCACCACCATAGTCGCCGCCTCATGTCTCGTACATATTGCCGCCGTGCGCGCTCTCGAGTGCTTGATTCTTGTTCGTTTGCCGGGTCATCTGGCCCGGAGTTTTCTGCTTCACCACCCTCTTCGTAATGCAATCCAAGATCAACGGCAAGGCGAACCGCTACACCGGTGATGTACCTAGATCTTGTTAACAGTGGCGCGAATGCCAAATTGCAGCATGCTTACCATAGGCCTGGAGGAACTGGACGAAGAAGTGCAAAATTTGCGAGAAGGAGAACAGCCTGCAAGACTTCCAAGCCTCCTCCACTAAAGCTGAGGCAAGACTCGAGATGAACAATGGCGCTGGCATGGTACTCCTCAGGCTCGCACTGACGCTTTCCCGACTGGGTGTCGATTTTCGCCGTGCCGGATGCTTCTGTTTTGATAGGCTCTCCAACAATAACACCGCATCCAATTGCGAAAACCATGTTCAACATGTACAGCTCCTTGGAGGCGAGAGATTCAGGTGAATTGGCATAAGCCTGCTCGAACATCTGCATAAATTCGCCCCTGTGGAGGATTGGGATTTGCGGATTTGCATGCTCAAAGTAGAGGGTCACAAGCCGCATCCCAATGTCGCGATCTGGAAATGGGGCCGGTTGGATCGTTGGTCTCGCGTGTAGTCCAAAGAATGAGTCGCGCATCGACGTGCCAGCGTTTCCGCTTGGCCTCTCGGCAGGGCCATGTTGATCTGATACGGAGTACTGGACAGCAGCAAAAACGACTCTAGCGAATGAAACGCCAGATGCTGAAGCAAGAGACTTGGGTTTTGAATTCCCTACCAAATTCATCATGGCTGGACTCTGCCCTTCTTTTTTCGCCATCAGAGACTGATCTCGCCCACTGGCCTCGAGGCTATCGTTGGCGCCTGCATCTCGCGAGGCTGTGTCGGCGCTCGGGCGGGAGCAGAGTTCCAAGTTCTCAGCCGCTGGATATGGGATATTGTTGGAGGAAAGGAGTTTCTCGAGCTGTTCCACTCGGGTTTCCAGATAAAACACATAGCTGAGAACGAATTAGCCGCGGCGGACGAGGTTAGGGCGTGGATACTTACCTGCGCGGGATCTCTTTTTTGGTAATCGGATCGTAGCCAACGCAAGCTACACTGGCTTTGGCGCAACTCGCGCAACTGGGGAGCTTCTGATCGCAGCGATTTTTCCGCAGACGACATCTGTTGCAGGCGCTCACATTGCGAAAGTTGCTGCTCTGGGAGGGTTTGCCACCAGTGAGCGGTGCAATCGTCACAGCCTCCGGAACAGCTTCTGGGCTAATTCGGTTTATTGGAGAGCCATCCTCTGAGAAAATCTTCCGTTGGCGCTTGCTAGTGGGCTGGGAGCTGGGAGAGGGCGCCACATGCGCAGGCATATTGGCTGGGCGACAGGTGCGTATCGTGACCTGATGTCGGTTTCGTAGTAGGCTGAGGGATGATACCAGGACTAAAATTGTCAGGATAATCGAGTCCAAATATAATCTGTCTATACGAGCAGATCACGGTGCGCTGGCTAAGCTGCGTACTGGTTGGTAAAACGGCGTTTTCTGGCAGAAAGAGCCGCAGCCCATTCTCCAATGGCCGAGAACTGGCCGTCGTTGGTTATTGTAGGTGGATCAGTCACGAAGCGGGCGGTAATCACCATGCGACCAAGAAAAGGGTTGCGCGGGTACCGAGAATGAGGGCGCACCGCAGAGCGCAACGACACCTACGGCGCGACGTTTGGCGACGAAGAAAGTTGGTCGGAGTGCGTAGCGGCTGGGTAGCAAAGCCTAGGGCCGGTTGTCTCGCCTCTGTACTGAAACTTATGCACGGGGAATAGGACGAAACTTGACGATGCCGCTGTGTGCGCTTGGGTTCCGCCGATGGAGCGGCTTTTCGAACGAGAAGACGCGAAAGTGAAGGAGCAAGACTGCGACGGGATGGAGAGTGTGGAAAGGAAGCGAGCTCACGAGCGGTTTTGGGAGAAACTCGGCAGCCGTGTGGTGCTTCGTTGGGTCTGGCTTGGCTGGTAGACAAGGATAGTGGAGATGCAAGTACATGGATCGCGGCACCATGCTGAATTGCTGATAGAAGAAGCGGAGCCGGACAGAGCGCCGTTCAGGACCCCCCCCGCATCCAGAAGGACCGTACGAATAGCAGGTGAGTGCTCGTTGTTGGCGGGACGGAAGTTGTCTCATGTATCTGTATTATCGTGTCTTTTCGGCCTTTTTGGACCCTGTCCATGATTCGTCATAGTCTCGCACCCACTAGTTGCTGGTGTTTGGTAGGTCGCTACAACGGTCGGTACATACCTCTGGTTACATTGATGCGTATGCACCCTCTGAACCGCCGCGAAAGCAGCAAGGGCATACAGGTTGCCACTGAAGCTGAGGCCATGATTGCCCCGAATTTGCCCCAAAGTGCACCGAATGCGCCCCAGAATGCCCCAGCCTGCAGCAAGCCATGCAGCAGACTAGCCTTTCAGCCCACCAATCCCTAGTGGCCCAATTGACTGCCTGTCAACCTGTCAATATGTCCAGTGTCAACTGTTTTGGTCTTATGTCCAGTATGTTTCGGGGTCTAGTTGGCCGTCTAGCGCAGCCACGTCCCTGTTATTGAGAGGAAGGGTCCGCGGCACCCGGCACAGGCTGGCTGTTTGAGGCAGCTGCTCGTGGTGAATGAACGGTTGGTTGGTCGCGAGACATCGGTAATGATGTTGTTGGTGGGATTATGCTACTTCATTACGGGAAGCAAACGGACTCCGACTTTCACCTAATATTACATAATGCAAGTCGATGCTGCGTAGGCGTTTGTTGTCAGCTGCCAGCTGCCAGCTGTAAGTCGCCAGCTGTAAGTCGCCAGCTGCTAGCCTGACGAGTCAATTTGGCATCTTCCTACAGGTCCTTCAATCCTGCCAACAGCAACAAACAACAAGACAGATATGACACCAAGCGGCGAATTCACGACGATCACTTCCCCGACTTCCTCCCGCATCTCCCTCAAAGCCAATCATCCATTGTGTGCCGTCATAGTTTACGCCAACCTCCCTACAAGCGCCCGATATTCTCCGTCGCGATAGCCTGGCCGTGCCTGAATCGCTGAGTGCAAAGTGTTGACTCGATGGGAATACGTAAACAAAAGGTGTCGGTCGCTGCCACCAGCTGACTTTTGGCGCCCCCGCGATGCGAAATCGGCAATCCCCAGAGGCTAGCTAGCTTGGCAGCAAGTCCACCCAGGCTATCGCTCCTGTTGTTGATGAGTTCCCCGGTTTGCAGACCGGCCCAAGCTCAACTTCAATGATGGTCGGCGACAACCCGGACCTCAGACATTGTGCGCCGTCTATACTGCGCGTCGCATTGCCAAGAAAATACTCTGTTTTCTCGCCTACTATCGTCGAGTAGGATAGAAAGTTCCTCGTGGCGTTCTCCGCAATTCCGCGCATGCCCTGCAACTCTCTGCAGCCACATTTCTCACTCCTCCTTCAACAGGTGTGGGTGGCTAGGATCAGCGGGCGCAGGTTCGAGAAGTTCGCCGCGCATATCACTATATTAAGTCGGAGCAGCCAGAGGCCAGCCCATGCTCCGCGAAAACACGGCAAGATGGGATAAAATGGCGATTGGAGGTGGGGACCTTTGAAGAGTATGCCAATGTGCATTGCTTTGGAACAAAAGGATCTATCTAGGCTCAATTGACAAAGGCCCTCCCCGCAATCGATCGGTTTCATTCCATGGCTAGGCTGTATCAGACTTGCAAGAATTGCCCTGCTCAAGCTAAAATTGCTTAATTTAACCTTCCCACGTGAAACTGCACAGTCGATGCCGCCACTTTTAGGCCGACCATACTCGGAGAAAGTTCCGGTGTCTGAGGCAATAGTTAGCAACATGGCGACATGGCGACAACTTCTAGACGCAGCGAGGCCGAATCCATTGACTAGTACTTGCGTCACAGACTGATTTATGATCTTAGCTTTCCCCTTAAATTGACGGAAAATCTAATTGTTTTGGTGGCAAAAGGTCGAATTGCGTGCTTATTTCGTAACACCAATCTTGCACTAGAGCCGCGTCAAGGTTAAGCCGCGTCGAAGTAGAGCCGCATCGGCTAATACAAGCTCTTGTTGTCGAAAAATACCTGCAGTTTTCTAAGACCTATTCAAGTTACCCGGGACTCAAGACCAAAGACAAAATGAAGCACAGTGGCGATGGTTTCAATTTCTAGTCATATGCATAGGTAAAGGCCAAGCAAAGTATAGTATATGTCCACCAGCCACACCATACGAGGAGCTATTACGGCCTAGAGATATTGAGTGAAACTCTCATATAAAATTTTCGGTTATAAATACTCACCTAGACCTGTACTCTGCGTCTTTCTCTTTCAATTCCTCTTGCCCTCTTCCTTTCTCCTCTTTTCAACAACCGACAGAATGACCTGCTTCCCATCCGGAACAGATATTGGGGAGCCTGTCACCAAAGATGGCCCCAGTATATGCTCCATTAGTCAATGGCTTCTTCGAGACTATTCTGACATTGCTACCTGACCTCATGAGGTGATGCCTGGCCACCATGCCCTGATGAGCCACAATCCTGAGAATATGTCCATATTCTAGTGGATCTAGTCATTCCAAGGATTCTTAGGATTGCCAAGCATTCAAAGATTTGGCAGCAGGATATAATGGAGCAACACCATATTTGCTCACCCTACGCCCTCGAGCGGTGTTATAGCTTTGTCTAGGTTACCGTCGGGCTACGAGGAGTGAGCTCTTGAATCATGCTTTTTGGGGGCTGAATACCAACTATACTAGGGCGGGAACAAAATATGATTCAAGCACAAAAGGAAAGGAAAGGAAAAGAAAAGAAAAGAAAGGGGGTTCAGATAAAACAGAGTTCCGATGGGTTGGAGTCGTTGCTGCGAATTTCGCTGTTTACCCAGAAGCGGCAACGAACACTACAACAAATAACCATTACAACAAATAACCATTACAATAAATAACCATTACAACAAATAACGATTTAACACAAAAACAAAAAAAGATTGCAAAAAATCACAATAGATCTAATAAGGACTGCAGCAGCAGCAGCAGCGAAAACAGACACCATCACAAATTGTGATTCTAGCCATGACATCCATGACATGCAAAAAGAGCACAAATGTCCGAGTCACCCACGCTCCGTCCACGAGTTGGGCGTTGAGCCAGACGCGAGAGAAGGGCAGCACTACAGAATATGCTACGACCAGAAATCTTCACGAAAAACTCCAAGATTCGCACCAAAGTCGACCAACGCACATAGAATCAAGCAGCAGAGATATTTGTTCAAAGGAGATTAACTACAATGCGAGCGCCCAAACTCGACAAGTACGACGACATGCAGAAATGGACAAGTTTGGACAGAAGCGGAAAGAGAATGGACAAAGAGAAGCTAGACTTGGCTTCGCTGTGAGTAATTGAAGGGGTTGTGGGTATAATGGGAGTTGAGATCCCCAGCTGACATGGTCAAGAACCATTGAGATTCGACAACACAAGCCCCTGGCTTTCCACGTTTGGTGAGCATAGTTCAATGCTTGTATTTCTTTCATCATTTGAGGGACATGGATCATCGGTTTTACATGCCTATATATACATAGCGACCAATAGATACGTGTATATGCCCAATTCTTCGTATGCCACGCTCCGCGTGAGTCAAGCAGCTCATGTTGTAGCCAGAAGCGACAAATTTCCCATCCAGAGGCATCATGACTTGAGATGGTCCCTCGGCATCGTCTGCGCAGGTGTTTTACAAGTGAACTTTTGTACCTACTATTGGTGAGGCTTTTATGCTCTCTTTCAGGCATCAGCGACCACCGGCTGACAAACAACGGCTCTGCAGGAAGGGAGGGCTGCACCATGCCTGACCTAGAAACATACATCCAATACATCTTTGCACAAAACGAATAAATCGAATAAAAGGAAATATAGTTAAACATTTTGAAATCATCATTCAAGGCTTGGGCCTGCGATTGTATCCTCCATATGCTGTATATCCTGTATCTTGCTCCTATAAAAACCAACCAAGAAAACGCCGTGGGCCTCTCGAGTTTAGGGGTCGAAAGAGCCACTGGGCCACCAAAAGTCTATCGTGCTTTTTTCCAATGCCCGTCTTTTAACCGTTCCATGCATGCTTAACCAAAATACCCTTGTAAAACAGGGGGAGAATAATGTATACAACGCCACTTTCATCTCAAGGGGGGGGGGGGGGGGGGCAACCGCAACATCCCAGTGAGCACCCTCCAAGGTGCCATAGTGTATAAAAAAATTTGTAACGATAAGGGTCGTTTGTTGGTCTGTCGAAGAGCCAGAGAAGTGAAGTAAGTAGTGGATGCTTTTCAATGGGGGCCTCATACGCGTTGTTCCTCGTCGTATTCATCCATCATCGACTCGAGGAGAGGGTCCTCTTCTTCCTCGGGGGCCGCAGACTTGTAGCCACCTTCGGTGATTTGGGAGCTGAGGTAGGCGCCGACGAGCGTGGTGGCGCCGCTGAACCACCATGCGAGACCCGAATAGCCAGTCTGGAGGCCGAGGGCGTAGAGGAAGCCAGAGACCGTCGGGCCGAGCGCTCGGCAGAGGCTGGCCGTGGAGGCGGCGATGCCGTTGATGGTGCCTAGGACTTCCTTGGACGGCGCAGAGTTGGCAAGGAGGATGGCGTTGCTGGGATACGCCATTGTCGCAAAGGTGCACTTCCAGATGACGAGCAGATAGATGGCCGGCATCCGCATGCTCTCGGGCAGGAGTACGAGGTAGGGGGTCACCAGGTACAGCGAAAAGTAGGAGAATGCGATGAGGCGGAAGAGGCGCAGAGATCCCAGGCGGCGGGTAACCGGCGCGACGACGAGGTAGTTGGAGAAGAGAGAATAGAGACCCTGGACAGACATGATGACGCCAATGGTTTTCGTGTCGAGGCCGAATCCGTCAACGAATTTGAAGGGAAGCTGCTGAACGGGGTGGTCGGGCGGCGAGGTGCTGAGAAAGACGGGGAAGAGCTGGTCGAATGTCATGGTGTGGCTGAAAATGTTAGATGTGAGCTGGGAGCTGGGAGCTGGGAGATGGACGGGGTTGGAATTATGCAGCAAAACTACTCACAATGCGAGAATGCCGTAGGACACGATGTTCATAATCACGGGCCGAGTAAAGATGACTGGCTTTGGTTGCGGCGCGGGCTCAACTCTAGTAACGGCGACAGGCGAGTTTGGAGCCTTGCTTGGGGCGAGCCTTGGTGAGCTCTCCTGGCTCCTGTAGCTCGGGAGGGGTTCATCGTCGTCGTTGAGGAGAGAATGGGTCGAGGAGCTGACAGCGCTGTATCCAGCGGGCGTGGAATCGCAAAGCAGGCTCGCCTTTTCGGGGTGGCGGCCCTTGCAGCTGCCGGCTCGGCTGAAGAATGCAGCAATCCTGTCTCCCAGCTCGCGGCAGCGGTCTCGCTGCAACTTCTTCTTGGCGTGCGTTTCGTCGAGGAACAAGAGCCCGATGATGACACCGAAGAAAACGGTGAAGGCGCTGAACAGGTTAGGCAGCAAGTAGGGGTAACGGTCCCAGATGCTGCCTGTTGGGAATAGCTGCGGGTAGCTGATGCATGGTCGGGCCAGGGCGCCGCCAATCATTGGGCCCACGATTGATCTGTGTCGGTTAGCATCCATCGTCACCGAGCATCACATCACGGTCAATGTAACGTACCCAATGCACCAGACCATGGGCATGATGGTATAAGCCCGGGCTAGGTTTCGGTTAGTATGCTGTCTGTGTGTCAAGTCGGGCGAACGGATGGACTCACGTTGTTGTTCCTTTACGGTGACAAGCTCAGCCACCGTGGTTTGGAGGACACCAATGTTGCTACGTGAGAGTTAGCTCATGGTAATGTCGATGCATCTCCAAGTTGCGACGTACCCATTGAGAAGACCGCCCAGCGCGCGAGCAAAGAGCGCAACGGGTAGGCTGGGAGCAAAACCAAAAATCAAGACACTGAGGGCGGTACCGGCAAGACCGCTGAGAAGGACAGGCTTGCGGCCGATCCTGTCACTGAGACGTCCCCAAAAGACACCGGTAGCGAATTCGGCAAGGGTGAAGGCAGATGTAACCATGCCAGCGTAGACTGAGATTTTGCTAGGATCGTCGGTGATGTTGAAGTCCTGAATCATGTAATAGATGTAGGGAAAAATGGACATGAACGCAATTGGTTCGCATATTCTGCAGCAGGCTGAGGCCGTCGGGATAGCGAGTCAGCACTGAGGAGCTCCTGCAACTCTAGGACATGGACCGACAGGGGCAGTGACTTGGTCACAGAGGAAGGTGAGGGTGAGGCTTGGGCATACCTAAAACAAACATCTGCTGGGCAGGAAAAGGTGGAGGTTCCCTGCGCTTTCCCTCGGAGCAGCGGACGCGGCCCGATGCGGCCTCGGTAGAGGAGGAGCGCATGATGGCGGCGGGTTTTGAGTAGAGCGGTCAGGCTGTCTGTCGTTGGATTTTCTGGTGGTGTAAGCCGAGCTGAGTGGTTGCGATGGGTGAGAAGAGAGGCTCAGACGATCGACTGCGGGCAAGGCGAGATGTGCGAGGACTGGATCAAGGCAGCCGAGAAGATGGCGAGAAGGGAAGAGAAGAGATATTTAGGCTCAGCAGGGCATCAATAAGACCTTTCCTTTCCCTCTGAAATGTGCGCCTGTCGTAGGGCCACGGCATAGAAGCAAGCAAAGTTGTACGACGTGGGAAGTAGTAGGTAGGGAAGGGAGGGAGGAATGTGGTGTAAGACGTGTGGTCGCGCTGCAGGACGGTGCGGCAAGAAGTGAGGCGGACGGGACGGGACCGGATATTGGCAAGCAAGGTGTATAATATGACTTTGGAAGTAGGTTGCGTGTTCAATATATTAAAAAGGCAAGAATAGTCGACAGGCAAAGGAGGCGAGTTGAAGAGAAGTTGAGGATGAGGCAAGACGAGACGACTTTTGAGAGGAGGGTGAGTGGATGCAGCAAGATATAAGAATCAGACAGGGCTGGCCCAGGTTTCTGGGGTTTTTTTGAAGAAGAAACCAAGCAAGAGACTGGCCGAAACCAAAAGAGGCAAATTGACAGGAGAGAAGAAAAAAAAATTGAAATGAAAAAAAAAAATAATCAAATAAAAAAGGAATGCCCAAGGCCCAAGCAACAAGACGCGGGACGGGCTAGTAGAGAGAGAGGATGGGGGATCCGTCGAGGAGACAGGGGCCTGGTTAGAGCTACAAGGCAGTATACCGCTACGATGGGTGTACTGGTAGTTACTGGTACTACCACCATCGGTAAGTACTGGTAGTAGGGGAAGGTTACGTTGTACCTAAACAGTAATAACAGCCCCCCTTACCAGCTATGTACATGCTGGAACAATAGCCGGTGTGTCATGGTGGGAGGGGATGGGGGGGGGTACTTGGGACGGGCGGTGGCATGAGCCCCAGGCAGTCGGGTTACAGGAACAAGAGACGGAAAAAGTCAGGGAGAGGCAGGCCAAGGCGAAAGAGGAAGAAAAAAAACGAGAAAGAGAGGCCATGGATGATGGTTCGATTTGGCCCCAGGTCTGTGTGTGTAATGGGTAGGTGTGCGTGTCTTCCCCGGGGAAGCTAGTTAGCGCTCGTCAGGCGGCCCAAGTCAAAAAAGAAATAACCAAAGAAAAAAAAGGCCAGAAAGGCGCCGCGGGGACAGGGGGGGTGCGAGCCGCGAATTGGATGCACAACAGGGGGGAGGGGGAGGAGGGGACGGACGGGGAGTGGGAGGGTTGTACTAGTAAATAGTGGCAGTGTGTTAGAGGTTTGGCAAGAGGCGTTTTTTTCTTTTCGTCTTGTATAGGCGGGCCGGTTGATAATACCGGTGTGGTGGTAATGGGATGGTGATGCTTATTATTCTGGTGGTGAAGGATGATATAGGTGGTTACTGTATGCCCGTCGATTCGGTCCGTCCTTTCATCAGGCAGAGCGTGACAACAGTGAGTGACCTGCAGAATTGTACAAAAAAGAAGAGAAACACATCGGCCCATTTTAGATGAGCTATTTCATATGGCAGGCAGTCAGTCCGGAAGTAGACACTTGCAAAGCACAGACATAACTAGAGATTCGAGAGCAGCTCATTTCCAGGGCATGATAGGGACCAAGGTACGGATACCCTCTTCCCTGTAACCAATTCACCGGTACGGACTACTCCGTAACTACCAGTTGGCTTATACTGGGTATTCTCACTCAAGGTTAAAGCCCCCGCCCCGCCCCATGGATAATACCGGCAAGCCGGGCGTGTCATTCCGGGGGTCTTTGCACGGCCCATCCGGGCCACTCAAGGACGACCGGCCCTGATGAGCCGCCACAAGGTTTCCCTTCCTTCCCCTCTTCTCATCCATCTTCTTGGTCGGAGGAGCTCCTTGCACGGCGACTGGACACTACGGCTTCTGGCTGAGCAGGGGACAAGTGGGTGGCTTTGAGCCCGGACAGACGGGCGGTGAGCCCACAGCCGATTAGCGTCTTTTCGTGTTGATTCAAGAATCCTCTTTTCTTTCTCCTTTATTATTCATAATTCATTTTTCCTTTTTTTCCATGTGTTAATTATGAACTAGCATTGTATTTTCGAACTTGTCCTGGTGGCCGACTCGCGCTACAGACAAGGGGGGGGGGGGGCGGCTGGGAAGGCTCTCTCTCTTCCCCACTAACCAACCAACCCGTCAGCTTGGGACTCGCCAAAAAAAGCAACGTGAGTAGTAATAAGTATGGCTGGTGGTCGGAGATGTGATTTGCGAGTTTAAAAAAAAGGGAGATTTTTTTTTCTTAAAAAAAAAAGGAATAAACCGTTTTTGATACAGATCAACGAGGTTCTTTGCGCATCTCTCACACGCAGCTGCCTGTGAGCACGAGTTGAGGGGTGCTCCTTCCTCAAGAAGAGGTGACAGCTTCATTTGACGGAGCACTCGATGGCCTGGCATTTTTCTCCCTCCTCACCACACTTTTCTCTTCTTTTCCCAGTTCGTTCTCCTCATTCATCAGATACGAATAAACCACACGTCGCATTAATGAATTAATGACAGCCATCCTCGTGTAACCCCAGAAAAACGATGCGCCGCGTTCGGCGACCTCGGTGAGACCCGTTCCACGCGTCATCTTGCTTGTCGCGAGTCGGAATATACTGATAAATGTGATGAGATTTGGGAAAAAAAAAAAAAGAAAAGAAAAGCCTCGCGCCCCAAGCTCATCGAAGCACGGGCGAGACAGGTTTGTCCAACAAAGGATCAACAACCTACAAATTACCTCGGGCCGTTTTTTTTCTACAGCCCGGCCCAATCTCCCTCTGGTCGACAAAAAAACATGGGAATTTTCTGCGCCATGCTTGACGTGTACAGGAAGAAAAGAAATCCATTTCCATTGCCGTTGCCCATTCTATCCGTACTCTTCACACCCTCTAATGGAGCGTTTGCTGCACAATGACATAACTGACCAGGTGCAGCCCCTCTCATCTCGTCCTTCCATGAGTCTTCTCTGAGCCCGTCAGCCTTGTGACGTAGCTTCCATGCATTTTCACTGGCTGCCACCACAAAGCCCATCCTGCGCCGTGGCCAAGAGGACAGGCAGGCAGGTAGGCAGGGAGTGTAGCTACAGTAGTTGGGTGGCTTCTGCGCCCGATCATGCGACGACCGTGGCCCAGCCAGAGCTTCACTACTAGACGGGGGTCAACTTGGGCGCGCATACAGATGCGTGGTAACTCCGACATTTTACTTACTCACACTTTTTCGGCAAAACCAACTCCAAAAAGGGTATAAACTCGCGCCCGCCACGGTTGGCCGGTGGTACCTAGCGGTGAAGAACAAGCCCCCCCTCCCGGGGGAAGCTTGATGCCCGCATGAGCTGTCAGAGCTGTCGAGCCAGTCTTCGATTAGCGCCGCTGTCGACGGCAGATGCAAGCTAATGAATAACTAACCAGCCAACCAGCCCGCGTTTGAGCCCTGGGCAGGCAGACGTGGCATATCTGTAAATAGCGCCTTCGACGGGATGTCGGCGCGTCTACCCCCCCAAGGGGCAACCATCTGTCGTCATGTGCGGGCCGCTATGTCCTCTCCGACTTGCCCAGTACGATGACTTACACGGATGACGGCTCACGAGGTTGTAAGCATTGTCTTGGCGGGACGACGCTCTGGCTCACATTCGTACATGGAAGCCTCCCATACCCTGTTAGCCAACGCATGGGGCTGGGTAAGGTAGATTAGGCGCAGTTGTCGTTGTACGACGCGGATGATGTGATCCGTGGCTCCCCGTCCTGCATTTCCCCGGCCCTACTCTTGGACGGAGACATATCAGCATACGGGTATACAGGTACGGCACGAGTTACACAACGCAGACTGTGACACAGCGCAAGCAGCCTTGCCTGAGCCCGCCTGAACCTGCCTGACAGCTGGCGAGACCATTCATTCCACTGCATCCGCGGCATCCGCGCAGAAACGATGACAAACAAGAGTCATCCCTAAAATGCCTCGAGACAACAGAAATGCCTCGGAGAGGGGAGGGGTGCAGGCTCTGCCTCTTGCCGTCAAGTAACGTTTTCTCGGCCCCGAGTAATGTCTACACCGTCTTGATCACACGCGATTCGCACATGTGAATAGATGTATACGAATACACACGGACACACACAGCACAAGTCGGCAACTTACACCATGGGCTTTTACATACGTTGTACCGTACCATGGAAGTGGCTAACCGAGCAAGGCACCCCGTGCCGTTGTCAAATCCTCTCGGCGGCAAAGCATGGGACCGCAACGCACAACGCCGCAGCCCGCTCATGCGAATGGGAGATGGCTGATACAACGTCACCTGTTCCCATGACCTACCTTTGTGCGCGCGAAAGCCCAAGGGAAAGCAAGGGAGGAGGGGGCGGGTTCGTCCATACAGCCAGCCCCTGGGCTCCAAAAGAGGCAAAACGCCACGTCTTTTGCTGCGTTGTCAAGATGAGAAAAAAAAAAGAATTTGGGTTGAATCCACATTGGGAATCAACGCAAGCAGATGGCAAAAAACCCTCGGCGTCAACTTTTGTTTCTTTTATTTCACGCCGAGACATGGAGGAGAGCTTGGGACAGGACAGAGCCGGGCAGGGTTGTGGGAGGAGGGGATGATGGACAAGTCCGCAGGAACAAAACGGGCCAGTAAGTTAGTCACTTGTCATGCTGCAAAACAGATATTCCAAGACAACGAGGAAATTTAATGAGATTGACAGGGGGCGCAAGATCGAGACGGCAGGAAAAGGGAGGAAGAAGATCCGGAGTCCCTGGGTGGCCAGGTCTGTTGAAATCCCCTGTCTATCCTCCCTCACTATCCTCATCTCTTCATCACCGGCTCTTCTTTCATACACGGACACGGAGCATGAATTGCAGACAACATCGCGAGAAATACTCACCGTCTCAAGTTGGCCATGCCTGGTTACGTCACGCGTCCCCTTTTTCTGCTGTTTCTCATAAAACACCAAGCCCCTTGAACCCTGCGCCTGCACCTCTTTTTTTTTTTCTTCTCGATGGATGCAAAACTGGGTTTCAGCTCTCGGACCCTGTGCGGCAGCAATCTCATCATCGCAGAATGGATCGCAGTAAACAACAAGTGCGAATCGCGCCCATCGCATGATCCTGCTGCACAACAACGGATATGGGCTGACAAGCCATGTTCTGGACTCATTCGGCCGTTTCCCTCTCCTTCTCACCTTTGCTTTTTTTCTTGTGTTGTTGCGCATCTGAGATAAGTTCTTGAGCGCAGCCCCCCGACCTCCCCTCCGGAATACGGCACTTGGCAAATGTACATCGTGGGGGCATCAATCCCTGCAAAAAGCCTACCAAAAAAAGATGGGGCCAAGAAAATTATCTTCTTTTTATGCCGCAGGGCCGTCAATCCTTGATGCCCAGTAATCTGTAACAGCAATCTGTACGGACTGGTTCTACGGAGTATTCACGGGTGCATACATACAGTACATAGCCCCCAATTTCTCGGGCTGCTGCTGTAGCGATAACTATAACTGAGTTACGGAGTGAGTGTAACATGCCCGTTCTATACGGTGCTCTGTGCCGTTATCGCCCAAGCAAGGTCCTTGGTGGAAACGGCTGCAAGTCATGCAGCAAGCAGCCATCCGCATGCATGCAATAGTAGCGTCATTAACGTAGATAAGAATAATAATGAACGGCCCAAAGTTGTACTGTGAGTGGTGAAGAGCAAACCTGATCTGTTGTGAGCCAGTGAATGTGACTGTGACTGGCCGCCTTTTTTTTTTCTGTCCCAACCCGATAGAGTGGTTGCATTGGCGGCAAGATTTCCGATCCGATCCCTCTTTTCCTGTTCCTCTCTCCCCATCGACCTCTCTCTCTCTCCCATCTCTCGTCTCCCCAACTATTGCCAATCATAATAACAAAAAGGGAAAGGGGAGAAAAGGCGCCCACTCGGATCATTGCCTCTCTCCACTGCCGTGTCCTGCCCATGCAAGCAGACGGCGCACGCCGTCAACTTGCCTGCCTGTACCTTGCTACCTGCTGCTTCGGACAGGCAGTGTCTCGTCGTCCCACGATGCGGTCAGTCTGCGCCTGCTCACTGATATGGCTCGACGCCTCGCTCGCTCGTCTTGACCGCAAGGTTGGAGACTTTATGCATCCTGCCTGCCTGCCCGTCTGCCTGCCTGCCTGCGACCATGCATGTATCATGCTCGCCGGCCTAAAGTTAATCTTCACCGCCTCATCACCTCGTGATCCAGGCTGACTAGGTACCTATGTATGTATGTATGTATATAGGTAGGTACCTAGTTAGCCACCAGCAGTTACGGGGCTACAGCACCTTCCCAGTCCTCTGGAAATATGGGCGGGTGATCAGACGAGCCAATTTTATGGCGTCAACGCTGTGGGTGCCAAAACACTGGAACTGCCTAACTGTAGGCGGTACTTCGTACAGTACCTAGTGTCGCGACAGCGCACACACACACATACACACACACATACAGTACACACACACACACACACACACACACACACACACACACACACACACTCCCTCCTGTTTACTGTACTGTACTGTACTGACTTGCATGCCGCTCTGCCTGTTGAAAGAAATCGCACAAAGTTTTCACCCCCGCTCTTGCTCATTGGCAAGGCGGCGCTGTCCGCCAGCGGAGAGGCCCAACAGCCCAATGAGTGGCCTGGCCGTCCACGCCCAACGCTGCCAGTACTAACTGACTGTACCTACCGACAGGTGAATACTAACTATGTACAGTACCTACTCTGCCCAGATCCATCAATTCCCCTTCCACAGCGAGATGCTGCTGCCCCTGGACCCAAGAGGTCCAGGAGAGCGGGGACGCTACCATTGTTCGCCGGGACGCCGGTTCGCCTTCCGGAGCCACCATGGCTTAGCCTCTCCAGCACCAGAAAAAAAAAAAAAACACAGACGCCATGTGGGTGGTGTGGTGCTATGGATGGTCCGTGACACACTCTTCGCTTGCAAGAGAAAGATTCACCGGGCCGTACGAATATTCTTGGACAAACTTGTTGTTTCTCCGGAGAAGCTCGGGATCGCTGCTCCTAATTAATTGCACGATCAAGACACGGCACCAGACAGCAAGGCCTCCCCCCCTCCCAATTCGTTGCTTGGATGCATCCTACAACGAGGACGGATACTTCATTTGCCACTGAGACGACACCTTGACGCATATTAGTGAGTGTGGAGAAGCGGTCGCTTTTATAATGTTGGGATCCCATAATAAGAGTGCCCAATATGGCAGCGCTCACCAACCCACTTCACCTGGGTCCAGGTCTGGTACCAGTTGCAAGGTCCAGGTCCCGACCTCCAGGAATAGCTACCCTGCCCCGTTCGCTCTTATCACCCTCAAATATGCCATCTTGATTTGATTTACCCTGACAATTCGCAATCACCTGACAGCAAGCCTATGCGGACGGCAAGATAGCCTCGCCTTTAACTGATGGTCGGCCTGGTATGATCCCTGTACCTGGCTAGACAAGACCGTGTTTCAATTGAGGGCGGGCAACTCGTAACGGTAACTGCCATGATGAGCCTCTCCTGTGGCTGAAATCAGGAGCCCATGGAAATCAGCGACACACTGCCACGTAGCATGACATGGCAAATGGGAACTTGATAACCAAAACCTTGGACCAAGCAGAAGTTGGACGGCGAAGAAAAAAAAAATGGTCTGCAACTACCAATGCGACGAGCCAAAATGACCAAGTTTCCGGGAACCATTCCCGTACTTCCCCAAACTACGTCCCCATCCGCGTTGAAGCTCAGACTCAGGATCCTAGTCGTGCGGGTGGTCATCCGGTGGCAAACAAGTTGATTGGGATACCACACTCCGGGGCTCTGGGTCTGGCGCCCCCGAACGAATAAGACGAGCTCATCCAAGAGACACCAAGAAGAGCCCTTTTGTGCCACACCCCCTCTACTAAAGTTGTTGGCGCGCAGCAGCCCACAACCCCGTGCCAACCAACCTCGTGGCACCAATACAACTCCGAACGTTACCAGCAAGCCAGCTTGTTGCGAGTGCTACCCTGACCAATGTTTTCTTTTTGTTCCTTTTTTTTTTAAACCCCCGCCGCTTACACCGTCAATAGATCAACTAGGGTTGCAGTGTAGAGCCCTCTAGTGACATTGCATGAACTTGGCCAACGTCCAGTTGTGAGTACAGATAGGGTGGCAACCAGCCAAAAAGTGAGTTGGCCGGTTCCCAGGTGGGACAATCTGGGATGCAATCTGGCAGCATTGCTGGAGCCAGCGAAGTCCCAGCCACTTTGGATCGGCACAAGAAGGGCGTGGCTGTAATTGGCGGCGGCAAACGCCAGTCTCCGACGACCTGGTTCCTAGGCCCGGGCTCTGTCCCAAGTCCAAATTCCTTACACAGCGCCACGGATAACTTACGCGTTCAATCTTCCATTACGAGCTAGTTTAGCGTTTTTCGGGACCAAAGATGCCATGAGGGCATAATCCTGCTGAGCTTGGCAAGTTAAGGGTTGGGAGCTCTGCTACCAACAAGGCTCATCACTAAGCCTGTCATGTATCATAACTCCTTTGGATATCTAGCAGACAACGCTGACGGGCGCTAAGGAGAGGCAAGGTCCGTCGTGGTTCGATGCTAGAGATGAACTAATTATGAGGCTGTCACCGAGGCCGTGCGGCGAGACTGAAAAGCGATGTGACTCCAGACTGCGATGCGAGGCTCGTGAGACGAGATACCTCTTCTGGTCGGGGTTTTATCGAGTTGTGCTTCGGCCGGGGCGTGTGGATACGAATATCCCTAACCCATACCCAGAGAAAATTCCCCTGGTCGGCGCCATCTCGCTTCAGTCGGTCTGGTGGTGGACAAAGAAAACTGGCATTGGACTCATTTTCTGACCTGGACCGCATGCATCATCCCATGTCCAACACTCGCTGTCCACAGCGGGGGGGAGGGACGTGCATGGATTGATTCTGAATTCAATCACTTTGTCCAAAACAGGCCAAAAAGAAAACTGATTTGAGCCAGAAAAAAGCAATCTCAGTCTGTGACTAGAAGGGAAGAAAGCCTCCAGAAGAATGGCGTCATGCCGGGCGCCTCCCCTGGTCCTCAGCAGCCCCCTGTCCAGCTGGGCAGGGGACGACGACCTTTATCATCAAGGGAGCGAAAATCGGGCTTTTCCAACACAGGCGGCGGCCGCAACCCTGACCGGAAACATGGAAGTTTTGTGCAAAGCAGCAAGGTCCGACATCGTATGCTTTCCGGCTTTCCGGGAACGACTCGGGGTGGCCGACTTTGGAAACCATGCAACGGGACCCAACCAGGCCGACTGACTTGTTGCTGAGCGGGAAGAAGAAGAAGCGGTATGACGGCGGATATGGAGCAATAACTTCGTATGCTGCACGGAGCGCAAGGCATCCATCTCCATTCACACGAGACGCAGCAGGAAGATCCTGGTGGCAGAGACCGCTACTTCTTGGCATGGGAGAATATTTGGTTGGTAGTCGAGATGTTGAGAGACGCACATATCCGTATGTCGGCTTTTTTTTGACAAGCCCAAAAAATGACAGAACTGCAAGGGGTTCTCGAAATACACGGCAGCCCTGCTTTGCGAGTGTTGCACTGCAGACAGGCCCTTGGGCCTCCCTCACCGCATCCCATCCTGTCTCGGGTGGTAGATGCAGTTGCAGCAGCCAGGAAAGTCGTCGACATGGGGAGGAGCGTGCATGAAGATCAAGTATGACCATATGCAAGTTGACACCCATTGTAGCGATGACCCTCCGAGCAGCCTCATTTTCCAAAAAAAATCTTTTTTCTTTTGGGGACAGACCTGCACCCTTATCAGGGTAATGAAGAGGTCGCACAAGTGAGAGGGGTGGGTGTCGCTGATGCCCACTTCGCGGAATCCTCATCGTCGCCCAAATATATGATGGATACTTTCTCGGTCAAGCTGCGTCGTTGGCTATCAGCCGTCGAGGCTGCAGCAAAAAAAGGCTCTCGCCAGTATCCGGATGTTGCGCTGACCTTGGAGCCCTTGTCCGTCGTTGTGCAGCAGCCAAACTTCCGAATGAGTCCATGACGCTATTCGGGGTTTCTAACGAGCTGGCAGTTCCTGGAACTTGTAACAAGAAACGCCTTTTTTTTTCTCCGGCTGGAGCGTGAGAAATGCCGCTATTCATACCTTCCTGATAATGTTCTTCGGACGTTATACTTGGATTGCCTGACGTAATGCAGACACAAGAGCTGGCGGCCCGCAAAAGAACTTGCCCTGGGCAACTCGCACGTCACGCAAGAGTTAGTCACAGTCACAGTCACAGTCACACCGAGCAACTGCATCTTCACCTTGCCACCGACAGCACGGGACCGGGAACCGACGACGCACTGTGATTCCGACAAGCCCTGATTATCGACTGTCGAAGTTACCAAAGCGTCACCTTCCAACGGGCAGACCCCACCAAACAACGGCAACGGTTACTAGACAAGCCCACCGCACACAGTCGCACACAACCGCCCCGAAAATCGGTACTACAACGTCGACAGCGCGAACGAGCGATACATGAACATGGCTGGAAAAAAGGGAGAAAATACCAAAAAAGCGGCTGGGAACGCCCGCAAGGCCGACGCTGCGGCCAAGAAGAACGCCGCGCAGGATGCGCAGCGCGAGGCCGTTGAGGACGAGCAGTGGCAGAAGGGCTCCAAGAACAACTCAAAGAAGTGAGTCGCCGGCCCGCTTACGGTCTTATTCTCCTCTTCGCAGGACTACCATGTGCAACTCCCTTATAGAGGGGTGGCACGAACCGCAACCGTCATACCGCGCTGCGCCGACAACGGCAGTACGGCTGCTAACCCAGATCTCAACCCCGTAGGGAAGCCGAAGAGGCCAAGCGAGCCGAAGCCGCCCGCAAGAAGGCCGAGAAGGACGCGTTGATGAAGGAGGAGGAGGAGGCCATCGGCGGCCGCGCCGAGCCCAAGAAGTCCAAGGCGCCCGTCAAGAAGTCGCGCGGCCTGGACCTGGCGCAGCTCGACGACGACGGGCCGAGCACTCTCAACGCCAGCGGCATCGACAACGCGCTCGACGCCCTGTCGCTGACGGCCGGCGGCGGCGACACCAAGATCGACACGCACCCGGAGCGCCGCTTCCCCGCGGCCTACCGCGCCTACGAGGAGCGCCGCCTCAACGAGATGAAGGCGGACGGCAGCGGCACCGGTCTGCGCCTGGATCAGCGCAAGCAGCGCATCCGCAAGGAGTTTGACAAGAGTCCGGAGAACCCGTTCAACCAGGTGACGGCGGCGTACAACGCGACGAGGGAGGACATTCGCGAGGTGCGCGAGAGCGAGAAGAGCAAGATTGAGAAGCGCCTGGGTGCTTGAGCGGGCTTGCCTGCCTTCTTGCCTGCCGATGTTCCTTACCTTATGATTGTTGTTACTTTTACAGATATCCTATACTGGGTGGTTTGATGTGAGTTTTTGAGAGGCAAAACTACAAAATACGGCACAGGGTGTCAAACACAGGTGCCCTGCATAGAGGAGCTGTGTGCTCCGCGCACAGGATAGTCGATACAAAATAACAGAAAATTATCCCCGCAATGGACAAAATTCTAAGTTGTAAAATTCTGTTCTCGGTCTACGACAATCGCCGTCGAGCCCCTCCGACGACAAAAGCTACCCCTCCATCTGGCGATCAACCCCGCAACGCGACACGTTTCGGCAGAACGCGCCACTGCTGGCCTCACCGCCGTCCAACCTATGTACTATTGTAGACATCTAAACTTTTGACATCCGAACCTTGCTATCCAAACCTTGTTATCCAAAGCTTACTGTCCTTTCTATATTAAAGTCCTTCTTAACTCCTTTTTCTTCTCTATTTTCTACTATTCATATTTTCTACTCTCCGCCCCGAAGAACCTCATCAACGATCAGCAGCAAGACTGACCTTGCGACCTTCTGACTAGATCATCTTCGCCAATATGTCATTATTAAAATTGGCCAATCTCCCGTCGCTGCGGAGGCAGCAGCTTCTCTCCGAATTGTAGGTGGCCCCTTGATCACGAGCCGTTCGCGGAACGATTGCTAACTGGAGGGAACAGCACTGGGTTGAAGCAGGCCTGTCCTTCTGGCGTGTTTGTAACGTTGAACCCGGGGGACTCGACCGTGTGGTCTGCTGTTTTATTCATCCGCGAAGGTAAGCCTGGCCTCGCTCCGCCGCGCTTCTGTGGCTTGCGCTGACTATTCTATTTGCAGGACCCTACGCTCCCGCCGTTCTCAGGTTCCAAATCATGTTTCCCGACTCCTACCCGCGGCGGGCTCCCATGATCATCTTCACGACGGATGTGTTCCATCCCCTGGTGACGCCTCTTACGACATACACGTACACCACCGATATACAAGACAACGGAACCGTCAGCGCGACCGACGACGAACGCCTGCCGCCCGGGGGCTTCAGCCTGCGCCATGGGTTCCCCGAGTGGTTTGGCAGGGTGCGCCGCAGCGCCGAGGCCAGCCTCTCCGCGCCTACGAGCCCAATCGTCGAGCAGACGCCCGGGTTCGCGAGCCCGAACCCAGTCGGCGCTGCCAGCCCCGCCGGTCCGTCGTACATGCAGACTACCAGCAGCCGGCCCGCCTCCATGTCCATGTACCAGGTCCTCAAGTACATCAAGAACGCCTTTGACAGGCCGGAGGTGCTCGACGCGGTGCCCCTGGACGCTGCCGGGAACCCGGGCGCCTGGCACGCCTGGAGGACGTACCGGCGCAAGCAGCAGGCCACCGGCGAGAAGCAGGGCGGTGCGTCTGACGGCTCGCCCGCGACGCCGAGTCCCAAGAAGCCGACGGGCGAGAAGAAGCAAGCCGGCCAGGCCGTCACCAGAAAACCAGGCGAGTGGAACTGGGACGGTGTTTGGGAGGACAGAGTGAAGAAGGGTGTGGCAGCGAGTCTGTCAGAGCCTGTACTTTACGGCGGCACGACCATAAATGACGAAATGGTAAGCTTCATTCCCTCCAGCTTCGACAATGCGCAGGTTCAAGTAACTAACTGGCACTACTAGATCCGGTTTCTCTCTGTGGAAGACGCGGAAGCAGAATCCATCAAAGATAACTTGCTCCGCACCCTGGGCACCACTGTTTAAATCCGCACCTGCCTTTACATCACCCCGTTGGATATTCGGAAGGAAGATCTCACTACTCATACCCTTCCACGACACTACTAGCAGCATTACAAGCAAATAGATACCCCCCTACCGATAGAATTCATCTTTCATTTTCGCAACATTCACCAGCACCATCATCGTCAGGCCATTTTATCTTATTCCCCACAGCTTTGCTATTCTTTACACTTCTTGGGTCTCGTTATCTTCTATTCATCTATTTCGACCATCACTATGCCTCTTGGTCTTTCGCCATACGTTACTTCCACCTCCGTCAGTCAAGATGTTTGGTCCAGCCGCCGCGTGGAGAATGACCGCCCCAGCCCCTTGCGAATCTCGAAGCAGCCGAACTCGACCGACCGTATAAAAGACAGGTTCCATCCGCAACCTCCCGCCTACGCACCTCCAGACGCTGCACGTCCTCTGCACAAACAAAGTCCCAGCCATCTCAACATCGCGAAACGCAGAAGCCTGTGGGCTCTATCGTCGCAAGCTGTCGAGGATGAACAGCCGCAGGCCGTACCCCCGCGTCCTTACTCAGTCAGCCCAAACATGGCATTGAACCTCGATTCTACTGCCGTCGCCCCCGAGAAGAGCGAGAACATGGGTCCACGCACGGCAGAAGAGGCAGAGGAAATGCTGAGAGAAGCGAGCCGTACATATTCGGGAGCTTCCGACAACACCAACTCTTGGAACTCCTTTGTTTCTGGTGGGTGTGGCATGCGCAACCCGTCTAGCACAGAATCCAACACGAGCGTTGTTCGACACGTTTCTTCGTCAACGGATGGCCCCAGCTGCACGATAAGCATGGACAGCATTCTACCTCACGTCTTGTCCCCTCATATTTCTATTTATACAAGCGGCCATAGTCGCTACTTTGGTCAAGACTATGTCTGGGCGGCGGTTGAAGTGTCAGGCATTCTCTCACACGCATACTCGGCAGATGGGACTGGCGCCAAGCCGACTCAACCGAAAGAGAATGAACACCATTTGGGTATGTTTGAGTGTTCCCAGTCTCGTCCTTACACTAATTTGAAAAGATTTATTTTTCAAGCATGGGTGCCTGCATGATCTCAAAGTCGAAGTACTCCCTGTGCAGGGGACCGCTGTGGTACAAGTCTTTCACGAGCAGACATTTCCGACGTGAGTAAATCAAGACGAAGACAATAGCGCGATTCTAACAGTTTAGAATTCTATATGCGGGATCAAAGGTCCTTCTTCTTGCCCAGATCCGTATCGATCCCAAATCTATCACGAGACATGCCAGCCGAGCCCAAAGAGAGAGATCAGATGAGTTGATCGCGGATCTCGAAAGCCAGCTCGGAGATTCCCAGATGCCATATATGAAGGTGAAAATCACATACAGCCATTCTGCATTTTCGGACTACTTCGGTCACGAGATACTGGTTGGTGTGGCCCAACGATGCACTAGACTCGAAACCATAGCGGTCGGGGCCCTGAAGCGACACAACGTTAGGTCCGCTTGGTCACCACCGCCAATGTACTCCCTTGAGAGCATCAAGTCCGCTATGCAAAGACACTGGAAAGCGGATGTGGTTGGCGACTGGTTGCAGAGAATGGAGCATTCTGGCAGGGTTGAGAACAAGGTGAATGCTGAACGAAGTCACCACTTAGACAGACCGTTCTGGGAGGCAAAGGCGCAAGCTCCAATGCGGCTACCCGATACTTCCATACAGGATAGGTACCAACGAACGCGTGTGAGCCGCCCACCGGAGCCGCAGGTTTATGTGCAGTCGCTTATCCATGGGAATGAGAGACGCGAGCCGAGGCAGGTGCCAAACATGGACTCGCTGCGCAGCAGGCGATCTCGCAGCCGCAACACTAGTGGCACAACAGACACAACGGGATCATTGAGGAAGAAGAAATCTTTTGCGGCAGGTATCTGGAGGAGTCTAACGCCATCAATTAATGTGTCCAAGGCCGACGGAGATGGATCTGCGCAAGGCGCTTGGAACTGGAACGCATGGTTCTAGAGTTGCGTATCATCAATTAGGAAGTAGCTTCAGTCAAATCGGATTTGAATTTAATTTGAGTATGTTTTTTGAACTTTTGTTTATGTTTTATCTTCGTTTACTGTAGCTCATCCTTCCAAGGGATGGATACTTGAGCTCCTCTTCTAGAGACGGTGATGGCGGCGGCTTTGTTAGCGGCTCTGATGGCAGCATCTATGTCGAAGGTGCCAGTCGAGCTGACGACAGCCAGAGCGTACGAGCCAACAAAGGTATCGCCAGCGGCGGTGGTGTCGACAACGTTGGCCTTGAGAGCGTCAACCAGGGCACTCTTGCCGTCGTGCGTGGCGTAGTAGACGCCGCGACCACCCAAGGTGATGATGACGTTACGCACGCCGCGCTCGAGGAAGATGCCGGAAACGCGCTTCAACCCCTCTGCGGTGTCGAGCTCCGACTCATCGCAGCCGGAGAGGATGGCCGCCTCGGTCTCGTTGACCACCAGGTGGGCGAGACCCTTGTACGCGTCGACGGGAAGCTCCCTCGCGGGCGCCGGGTTGAGCAGGACGGGGATCGCGGCATCGCGGGCGGTGCGAAGCGCCTGCAGGACCGTCTCGAGGGGTACTTCGAGCTGCATGATGAGCAAATCCGGTCGCGGGCCGGGGATGGCCTGCGCGACGTGTTCCGGGAGAAGCGCGTGGTTGGCCTCGGGCGAGAGGACGATGCGGTTCTGGCCGGAGGGCTCGTCGACGACGATGAGGGCGACGCCGGTCTTGGCGTCGTCAAGGCTGCGCACGTGGGCGGTGTCGACGCCGTGGGCGCGCAGGCTGTCGAGGAGCTGGGTGCCGTGGGGGTCGGCACCGACGGCGCCGATCATGGCGACGTCGGCGGTGGCATCGGAGGAGGATGAGGACGCGGAGGAGGAGGGGCGGGAGAGCTTGCCGCAGGCGACGGCTTGGTTGGCGCCCTTGCCGCCGGGGGAGGTGGCGAAGTGGTTGGCGGTCAGGGTCTCGCCGGGGAGGGGGTGGTGAGGGACGTAGCAGACGAGGTCCATGTTGAGGGAGCCGAGGACGACGATGCGGGGACGGGCCATGGTGGGCGAGGAGGCGGCGGCCGGGTAGGCCAGAGTAATGAATGGGATATGGTTTGTTTGGACAGTTGAGGGGGGGGAACAAAATCGCGGAATGCCCACGTTGTTGTTGAGTGCAGTGAGAAAGAGAGAAGGTATCGTGGATGAGAGAATCGTGGAGAAGCGAGAGCTTGGTGTTGAAGTTCTGCGTTTTGGCGCACCCCCACCTTCATGACGTTTCTGGTTCAAGCTGCCCCTCCAAACCCATTTCTGGGGCGCAATTTTTTATTTATTTTATTTTTTATTGAATATTTTCGGGGATGGCAACTCATTTTCCCCGAAGAAAAGACGACTAGCTTTTCGAGCCATAACCGGCTCGGCTCGGATACGAGTCATGAGGGAATGCAAGCAAGCAAGCCACCATTTGGCGGGAGTGGGAGCAAACTGGAAAGCGACAGCATAGGCTGACGACGGTAATTCACCAGGGGAAAAGTGAATTGGTCCCCGCAGAGCTTGTCGCCATGTGTCCCTGCCTTGTTGTCTGTGCTTGGAGATGAATTGGGTGTAGTCGACGACCTATATGGCCGGATGCTGCTGTCGCTCTTCCGGGAGATGAGATGGTCGGGTATGGACTAGACGTGTCTTGTGCCCCATCCGTTGACTGTGCGGACTGCGAAAAAAAAAACACGTCGAGAAGGAGCCGAGCCAATTAGGATAAACAAACAACGGGACGAGATTAAAAGGGATGTGAATTCGAGTCAAAACCAAAAAGTCTGGGGCGGCAGCAGACAGACACTAGGGATGCCAAACGGAGGCAGCAGGCTGTATCATGGCGATGCTCCCTGCTGGTGTAAGTCAGGGCGGCAAGCAGGGCCTGAGCCTGAACCATGCCGAGCCAGGCCGGTAACCAGGTACGCGCCTTCTGAATTCGACCCAGCCGCTAAAATGGTGCGTATTTTACAAGTCAAGTAACTACTAGTTAGTACCAAAAAGAGGGAGTGATTGTACTCGGAAAAAGGACACAAGAATAGGATCATCCCGCCCGCGGAACTAGCGCATCATCTTACTCCATCTCCCTGCTCTTGGTCTTACTCGTAGATGTACAAGGCAACCAGCCATTGCCCATGCGACAGCCAATCCCGACAATTCCCTTGCTGCAAACCTCCGGCATCTCATGTTTATGCCGTGCCGAACGCACAGACAGGCAAACTGTAACCTTCCCGTCTGTTATTTTTAGAAGCTTTGTCCTGCCGCTGTTTCTATTACCCAGGACCGGGCGCCACCCGTTCCGTCCATCTACGCAACCCATCCGGAACAAAGAAGTCGACGGCCGAGACTAGCCAGAGCAAACAAACACGCTTGTTTACATTGATTCCTCCAAATTAGATCCTGCCAATGGCTCGTCACGATTCTTATTAGACACTCCTCCCCCAGCATCAAGTACCAATCAACCGGCCAGTCTTGCGTTGTCCAAGTCATCCCCCCCTTCGAGACAACGGCTCTGAGACGAAACGAACAAGGCCAAAAAAAAAAAAAAGTTACAATGCATCTCACCCAAGGCCTGACGCCCTTGCTGGCGCTCCTCGGCAACCTGGCCGTCGCCGATGCACGACGCTCCTCCGACGCCGCCGCGGAGCTACCGCCCAGTCGGGACCCGTGGTACACGCTCCCCGCCGGCGCCGACTGCACCGGTTCCCCAGGCAAGGTGCTACGCCTGCGCCGCGCGCCCAAGAGCACGCGCGACAGCCTGCGCGGCATCCAGGACGCCTGGAACGTGCTCTTCTGCAGCACCGACAGCCTCGGCCTGCCCACCTTCTCCGTCACCACCGTGCTCGTCCCGCGCCTCGCCGACCGCGCCTCCCTCGCCACCTACGCGCCCGCCTACGACTCCGCCAGCGTCGACAGCAGCCCCAGCTTTGCCTTTCGCGATCTCCCCTCCGCCAGCGTCGAGCAGGCGCTCTTCGCGCCGCTGCTGGTCGCCAAGCGCTGGGTGCTCAACGTGCCGGACTACGAGGGGCCGCGCGCGGCGTACCTGGCGGGCAACAACTCGGGCCACGGCGTGCTGGACTCGATGCGCGCGGTGGCGTCGCTGCGGGAGACGATCGGGTTGAGGGAGGGGTACAGGCAGGCGGTGTACGGGTACTCGGGGGGCGCGTTCGCGGCGCAGTGGGCGGCGCAGCTGCAGCCGGGGTACGCGCCGGAGCTGCAGGTCGGCGCGGCGGCGTACGGCGGGTTGCCGGTGAACGCGACGGCGGCGATCCAGAGCGTGAATGGCGGGCCGTCGGCGGGGCTGGTGGTGCTGGCGCTGCTGGGCACGACGGCGCAGGACCCGGCGGCGCGCGCGGTGCTGGTGGACAACCTGCGCAAGACGGGCCCGTTCAACGCGACCACGCTCCTGGGCGCGGCCGCGCTGGACGTCAAGGCGGGGCTCGCGCTGTTCAAGAACCAGGACATTGCCGAGTACTTTGTCGACGGCTTCAGCTTCCTGCGGGACCCGGCGTTCGTCCGCGCCTTCTACGACGACACCCTGGCGGGCCACGCGGACACGCCGACGATCCCGCTGTACGTGTTCCACGCGGTCAAGGACGAGCTCTCGCCGAGTCGTGACATGGATGAACTGGTGGAGAAGTACTGCGCGGCGGGCGCGCGCATCCGGTACCGCCGCAACACGGTCGGCGACCACACGGCCGAGGGCGTCGTCGAGGGTATCCGCGCGCTCAACTGGCTGGGCCGGTTCTTCAAGGAGCGGACGGTCGACGGCGGCGGCGGTTCCTGCTCTCAGCGCTGTATCACGCAAAACGTCGCGGTGCCGCTCGGCCCGGACACGCTGGCGCTGGTCTTTGCCGTCTTCGGCCAGCAGGGCTTAAGCATCGCGCGCTTCCTGCAGGCGCACCCGCTGCCGGGCATCCCGCCGGTGCCGCCGACGGCCACCAACGCGAACATCTTCGCCGCGCTCAACCTGACCTCGCGGGCGGCGCTCACGAAGATTGGGCTCGACGACAAGAGGCTGGCCGAGTTTTACGTCAGCGACCAGGACTTGGCGGAGCTGGGTATTCACTAATGGGAGGGCCATCTTTGTTGAAAACGGCCATGCAGAGATGATATAATTCGGATATAGTTGATGCATAATACATATACATTGCTGCTCTTTGTTTCCCTTTTTTGTGGGCGTATTGCAGTGTCTCGTCTGCTTGCGTCATGTCGTGTTATTGTGGCCGTTCAAGTCTGCCGCATAGAACAATGTCGTCGCCAAAAGGATGCCACACGACGTCACACAGCCGAGCCGCGGGTGCTGGTGATCCTGCCCGATCGTGCACGCGCGCCGGCGAGACGACCACTCCTCCTTGGCCCAGCCAGGTCGGCGCAATCGTCACGATGACCGAGCTCACCAGCCCAGCGCAGGCTGGGGCCAGCAGCGAGTTGATGACCTGCCCGCCCCCCTCCACCATGACGCTCGCGATGCCCTGCTCCTCCGCCAGCCTGGCAAATACCGTCCGCCAGTCAAGCTGCAGCCGCCCATCCGGCCCAGCCGCCGCCGACTCCAGCTGGATGTACTTGCCGCCGTGCTGCTCGAGCACGTGCGCCGCCTCCGCGGACACCCCGCTCTCCGCCGCCGTGACGACGAACGGCGCGAGGCCGGCGCCCCGCCGCTGCGCCTCCAGCACCTTGTCCGTCAGCCTCGGCGTCCAGCGCAGGTGCGGGTCGACCACGACGGGCCGGGGCTGTTGCTGCTCGGCGCCGGCGATGCGGCAGTTGAGCGCGGGGTCGTCGGCGAGCAGCGTCGAGACGCCGACGAGGATGGCGTCGTGGCGGCTGCGCAGGTGGTGCGTCATGGCCTTGGACTCGGGCCCGGACAGCCGCGTGCGCACGCCCGGCGCGAGAGACAGGCACGAGTCGAGCGACTGCGCGTACGTGAGCGTCACCCAGATGCCGGAGCCCTCCTCCTCGGGCGCCACGGTCGGGGGCAGGTGAGGCTCCAACAAAGCCGCGTGCTCTGCAGAAAAGGTGAGCTTCTCGGCCATTTTAAATGAAGATGTTTTTGCGATGACTGAAGAACCGACACCGTGTAGATGAGTGTTGGCGCCCAAGGTAGGTGGACGGTGAAAGAGTGAGAGTTTGACTGGAAACATAGATGTGGGGATCCGTTGGTAAACGGAGCCAGGCACCGTGTTTGTGCACATCTCACATCTTGCAATAAGTCAAGATAAAATTTCTTCAAGCTCTTGTATTTCTTTCTATGTCTCAAGTTACGGGAGCTTTGCTAGCTTTTTGTTGAATATGGGATTTCCATCATCGTCAAACTCTGCCCATTCGAAAAACGAGCATCCTTGTTTATCCGGGACGTTGCCCGCATGGCACATCCAAAAATACTTCCCAAAATTCTCCCGCTTGCGCTGCACGACGCGCAGGATACACGGGATCTTGCACGCGCATCGCGGTGTCTGCGACGGGTGCATTCGCGCGCGGTAGTCGCGGTATGTGATGTTGATGCGGCGGTTGCCCGCGATCGGATGCGGGTCGATGGACGGAGCCGGCGCGACGCAGTGCTTCCACTCCTCCTGCATCTCGGCGTGCATGACCAGCAGGGAGTTGTGAGGCAGGTGGATGGAAATCTGACCCTCGGCGTCGGCGTCGGTCTCGGCGGCGGCCGTGTCCTTAGGGAGCACGCGGCGTACGCGGAACTCCCGCGCGACCCCGAGCGACACGGAGCCTATGACGGCGCGCGGGCCGAGATAGGTGAGTTGGTCGCTGTGGTATCCGACGCTCTGCTGGGCGCCGTCGTAGCAGTTGACGAATGCCGAGTTGGGGACCCAGGCGTGGGGAGACTGGTGCTTGAGCTTCTTGCCGCCGGGATATCTAGTCTTGATACGATGCTGAATCTCCCCGTTGACGGCCTCCTGGACGATTGGCTTTACTTTCGATAGTTGCGGGGTAATGCGCCGAACATCCTGCAACGTCAAGTTAGGACAGCAAGACTGATTGATGGGGGGACGCGGTGACGTACGGTAAGCTGCGCGCCATTATAGTAGTATTCTGACTTTTGCGACATCATCTTTTCGTAGCTATCAACGTAGAAACTCGATGTGTGCGGGCTGGAGACGACATTGTCAAACAGCTTAAATGTAATGCGCTCAAACGTCTCCGATTCCGCCAGAAGCTCTCTGAGCAGGTCGTTGGCGACGTCGGGCGGCAGGAAGTTGTGGATGATGGTGCAGGGCGTGTGCTCGGCCACGTCTTCCGGGTCAAAGAGGTGCAGGGTGCTGCCCTTCTTGGACTTGAGCTTCTTCTTCAGCGGCGATGGCGATGACGAAGAGTTTCCCGCAGGCAGCGCATATTGCTTGAGCGACTGCTGATGGCCGACAACGCCGGACCTGGGCGCGGGAGGGCGCCCGTGGCGCAGTGCGGCCGAGGCCTCCTCGACGGAGCCGTCGTGGGCGAGCAGCACGTCCATCAAGACATCCTGCTCAATATGTGGATGCAGCGATGAGAGCAGCGCGAGCTTGACCTCAGTCGGCTCTTCATTGTCGTCGACGGGTACAGGCGTTTCCTCGGCCGATTTGCGCTTGCGGGCGCCAGCGAGAAAGGCCTTCATCGTTCAGGGCATCATCCCGGGTAGAGTGGATTGGATGGAGAGTTGGTGGGACAATGTACGGGAAGGAATTTGAAATGGTGCACCATGGCCCAGGGAAATCCTGGAGACGATTGATTTGTCCAACTTACAAAGCAACACGTTAGGGAACGCGGGGTGCGCGGGGTCCTAGTGGCTTTGGTGCACGATTAGGACGCGAAGTCATGTGATAGCTGAGCATGGATCACTGCAGACGTGAATGCCAATAAATGGCTACCGGTTTTAACAAGTATCACTACACTTGGTCCTCTTTCTTCAATCTACACCATTGGCGCATCAAATCACTGCTCAGTGCTTTCGCTCCCTTCCATGTGCCTCCCCCAGCCCGGGTGCTGGGTGACACAGTCACTCAGAGGTACAAGACTACAGGTACGCCACTGGCTGTTTCTTCAGAAATGGGAAAATCAATCAACGAAATTCAATTTAGGATAATTAACGTGCATATTTATTATCAACTTCTTGGTGTCGATGTTGTCAAGACTTCATTCAGCAACGTCCAATCAGCGTCCCCATCTTACAGCGCTATTTGCCTGTGACGTCCTCGCTGGGGAAAGCTTGTGCGGGTCCCTGTAACCGAGGCATATGCTCCCCGAAAGGCTACCACAAAGATCTTCTAGCATGCATGCCACTTCCTTCCTTATAGACTGTCTCTGCTCAGGCCAGCAGCTTAACACCGTTCCCTACGCCCAATTCCCTATATCTAGAGAATCGACACGATAAACAACGCAGTTGCTTCGAAACGAAACCCGGTTCCGGCTCCGTCAACCCCGGTCGTCACCTCCCCCGCCTCGCGATCCCCCTCACCGAGCCCGTCGCCAGCATGGCCGCCATGCTCGAGTTCCGCACCCAGGGCTTCAACCCCTATGCGGTGAAGTACTCGCCCTATTACGACTCGCGCATCGCTGTCGCCTCGGCCGCCAACTTTGGCATCGTCGGCAACGGTCGGCTTTACGCGCTCGGCCTCACGGCGCAAGGCGTCCAGGTTGAAAAGGCGTACGTCGATTTGTCCCAATGCTCTCACAACTTGTAGCGGGCCCCCTTCTGACTCGAAAGCATTGTGTAGATTCGATACAAACGACTCCCTCTACGACCTCGCCTGGTCCGAAATCAACGAGAACCAGCTCATCGTCGCGTGTGGTGATGGCTCGCTCAAGCTTTTCGACCTCGGTGTCGACGACTTCCCTGTCATGAACTTTCACGAGCATAAGCGCGAGGCTTTTTCCGTCTGCTGGAACCCCGTCACCAAGGATACGTTTGTCTCCAGCTCCTGGGACGGCACCGTCAAAATTGTACGCCCCCGCTGCCCGCTGCTGCCCGAGGCTTCCTTTCTCCCAGAACCCAAATCGCTGACAATTTTCACTACGTTCTCGTTCCTTTTAGTGGTCGCCGACGCGCAACTTCTCCATCAAGACGCTGCCCATCGGCAACTGCACCTACAGCACCTCCTTCTGCCCCTCCAACCCGGCCCTCGTCTCCGCCGTCTCCTCCGACTCGCACCTGCGGCTCTTCGACCTGCGCACGCCCTCCTCCGCCAAGTACCACCTCGTCGCCGCTATCCCCGTGCACGCGCCCCCGCCCGGCGGCGGTCCCGTCGGCGCCGGCGCCGCGCCCTCGGAGCTGCTGACCCACGACTGGAACAAGTACAACGACACCGTCGTCGCCGTGGCCGGCGTGGACCGCGTGATCCGCACGTTTGACGTGCGCAGCCCGGACGCGGGGCCGCAGGCGGTCATGCAGGGCCACGAGTACGCGGTGCGCAGGGTGGCATGGAGCCCGCACGCGAGCGACGTCCTGGTCAGTGCGAGTTATGACATGACGGTGCGCCTGTGGAACGACGGCGGCGGCGGCCCGGTGGCGCCCGCGCCCGGCGCGCGGGTAGGCCGCCAGATGGGCATCATGAATAGGCACACGGAGTTCGTCACAGGCGTCGACTGGTGCCTGTTCGGTGTGGGCGGCTGGGTCGCCTCGGTCGGCTGGGACGAGAGGGTGCTGCTGTGGGACGCCAACATGCTCATGGGGCATAGATGATAGCGGCGAGCGACCCGTTTTGCTGGAGGTTGTTTGCGCGAGATCCGAGATCCGGTGCGAGGCGGCGGAGGTGCCTGTTGTCCCTGTCTCGACCTCGACCGCGAGGCTAGACAAGAAGGCGTGCGGGAAGCCTGATGACATCATTAGCTGGCTTCGCAACTTGCTTCCCAACGGAAGCGTCGTGCGTGGCATATTGTTCCTGGGGCGTTCATAGGCGTTTGATACCATTTATGGCATTATACTATTGATCCAATTCAATTGAGCCGGCATCAGTGTGAAACTAAAAATTCTGAGGCTCTGCCCAATGAGTCACGTGTGGATGGCGACCAGAGTCAGGAGCTGCGAAAGGTGATGGTAAAAGAGAGGTGTATTATCCAGTTACTGCGCCTATGTGTTGCTTTCTCTTCCCGTCTAGAGTATCCTCGCATCCAGTTCTATACATTGTAGCAGACCTGCCATTCTTGTCCGCTCATACATGAATGGCAAAATGTGTGCAAAAGCCACTGCCAGATAAAGTTATATTATCAACGACAAAACGCCCAATTCCGCCAGCTTAGTCGTCTCAGCTGCGGTACCATCATCACTGATGCCATGGGTTCAAATCTTGAACATAATAACACAAGTCAAAAAGACAATTGAAAAAGAAGGTGTAGATGAATATGTTGTACAGGTGATTTTGTCGTTTCGTCGGGTTATTTTACCCATGTTGCCTAGAGGGCTCAGGGCAATTACCAGGACGATTCTCCTCGTGATGATCTGTCCGAGTTGCGACGGAAGTTACCTCCTCGCGAGCGGCCGCGGCCACCGAACCCGGAACCGGCGTTGTCCTTTCTGGCATTGGTTCGCATACCGTCAAACGGGTCGCTGCTGCGTCGGTTGTTTCTGTCAGACCCCCTGTTGTTCCGGTCAAAGTCTCGGCCACCGCCAAACCTGTCCGAGTGACGGGGCTCGTCGTCGTACGACGATTTCTCAGGGCCAAAGTTCAGGTTGGTACGGGCGAAGCCGGCTCTTTCCGCCCTCGCCTTGGAAATTGTGGGCGGTGATTGCCAGCCCCAGCCTTGCGTGACCCATTCGTTCATCTGGTCAACCATGTCGTCGCGCGCGTGCTTTTCGGTGGAGCTGAAGATGCTGACACGGTAGGCCTCCTCGAGAATGCGCGAGGGCATGCGCGAGTATAGTTGTTGGGTTGCGGCCATGACTTCCGGCTTCTCGGCACCAGAGGAGCTGTCGAACGAGGCGGACTCCAGAGATGTATTCGGCTTCAGGGGTAGCCCACGGAGCAGGCCTCGGGCTCTACCACGGCTCATGGCAGGCAGCAGCAGCCAACCTTCGCCGTCCTTCTGCTGCCGAGCGGTGCGGCCAAGGCGGTGGATGTACGTCTCGCGATCTCGAGGGCAATCGACTTGGATGACGTGAGTAACATCCGGGAAGTCCATGCCACGAGCAGTGACATCGGAAGAAAATAGAACAGCAGATTGCGACTTGCGAAAGTTTTCAGCAGCCCGCGTACGAGCAGCCTGTGTCAGGCCGGAGTGAATGGCAAAGTTTCGGATAAAGCTACGGTCGCGGTTCTTCGCAAAGCCCATCTCTCCTGCAAGCTGGGTCATCGCTGTCGTATTGAGGTAAACAATAGCCTTGAACGGTCTCTTATCAGGGTTTTCTTTGGATTCCTTGATACCACTGTCAATGAGCTCAAAAAGGGTTGGGAAGACGTTGTTCATGTGTGATATCACGGCAACGTTTTGATTAACGTGGTCATGTGTCAGGGACTCCGACTCGGAAATTGTCTGAACGAATTCGAAATCATCGGCACGGACCATGCTGCGCGTGAGGCGAATAACTGAGTCGGGGATTGTGGCCGAGACGAGTATCGTTTGGCGCACCTTCTCCTCAGGCCGAGGCAGGATGTCAATGATGGCATTGAGTTCACGCTCAAAACCAACATCAAGCATTCGGTCAGCCTCGTCGAGCACCATAGCAGCCAAGTTCGGGGCTCCGAGGCCACTGCGCTCGTCTGAAAGCAGGTCGTGCAAACGGCCAGGCGTGGCGACAAGCAGATGGCAGCCCTCCCGGCGCGTCTTGTAAAGCATCTGGTTCTTCTGTGTACCACCAACCGCAGATTGGATAACAAGGCCGGTGTGCCGGGTAAGGCGACGCGCTTCGTCCGCAATCTGCTCTGCTAGCTCACGGGTGGGCGACAAAACAATGCCACGGATATCGTCGGGGCGAGCCTGGTATTTTGCGGATTTGGTGGCCAGTGTCGGGTCTTCGTTGATCATGCGCTGTAGAAGGGGTAAGAGGAAGGCAATTGTCTTGCCGGTTCCAGTTTTAGCTTGCGCAACACTGTCATCGTTCTCGTTAGTGAACTGATGCTCAGTACTGCACGGGCAGGCGAGTGGCAACTTACATATCGGTACCCTTGAGGGCTGGCGCAATTGTTTTGGCCTGCACAGGACTCATCGTCTGGTAGCCCAAATCTTTCGTAATGGCGCGCAGCAAGTTCTCGTTGACACCCATGTCGGCGAGGCTTGCAAACTGCTTCGTCCACTCTTCGCCATGCTTGCGGTCGCCCAGCTGCTCGGCAGGCGATTCGGCCGCGGGAGCGGCAGCCTCACTGCTGTATAGACGCGCAATCTGATTCACGGCATTCCACGACTGAACTGCGGGTACCGAGGGCCGAACTGCCTGCACTGCGATGCGTTGCTGTCGTGCGAAAGTGACAGCCGCCTGTGGCAGGACCCGACGGGCCAGGCCGGCGGAAGTCCTCAATCCTTGGCGAAACATTTTCCGCAGGGAAATATAACACGCAACTTGCAAATGCTAGTCAGGTTCGAGGGTCTGTAGAATAGCGCGGTGCAGTACGGAAGAGATAGAAGAATAACAAGATAGGTCGCGTGGTGAAGGCGATGGAACCCTTTGGCTTTGGTGGCAGAAAGTTTTCCGATTTTTTTTCCCCCTTTCGCTGCGCCCCACCTTTTTCGCCGGACCGGACCCACCCATTTGACCCACCTCCTCCATCTACTTCTTTTCATATTTTCTCGTTTCAGATCACCGGAGCGGATAAACGCTCTACCGAACCACTTATCGGCACATCATGTATCAGTCACAGACGACCTTCATCTTCTGAGTATCCAGAGGTACTTGATTATTGCTCTTTAACTTCAAACCCCATCATCACCTTCATCGTGCCGCAAGTATCAGGATTCTACTCTCAATCAGAAAACACTCTTGCCAAATTGCCATTCAATACCTCTGCTACCATGATGGGTGTCATTCCCTCAAGGAAGAACCGTGATTAAAAATGTCCTCAAAAACGCCAAGTAACCAATTAAACAAGACTCCATGCCGCTCTACTCCCTTTTAAAGATGCTCATATGCCTTGCTGAAAGAAAAATAGCCGTGGATGATCGCTGCTCAATCCAGAAGCATCCACCCCATGCCATGGACTCATGTGCCTCTCGCCTTACAACACGTCCTTGCTCATTTCGTATGACCAGCCTCCCTCGCGCCGTAGCTTCTCTCTCGCTGCCAGATCTTTCCGAATGTCATCCTCGGTTAGCCCGTCAGGTCCGCTCCAATTAGCACTCGAGGTTCTGTTGCGGAACTTGGGCCATCTATCCTTGCTCTTGCTGAATACTTCTTCCATGTTCAGGGGTGCTGGTGGTCCAAAGATTTGCGATGGGTCCATTGTTTCTTGTCGCATTAGAGCTGCCCGAAGATCGGGTGACGCCGCCCAACCCGCGATGTTATTCATACCAGGATCATCATCCTCATCTTCATCATCAGTCTCAATTTCGGGCAGCTCGATTGCTTCTCCGTTCTGGAATTGTGGCGATGAGCGAGGCACAGATTTCGCTGCCGACTTGGCTGCCAGGTACGGACCAGGACGCGCAGGTGTCTTGAAGGCAGGCCCGGCTGGGTTGGGAGCGAAAGGAATATTGCCTTTGGAAATCTGGGCCATGTCGACAGGGCGAGTACCCTTGCTTTGAAGCTGATGCGATGCCACTGAAGCCTTGAACAAATCATGAGTCGCACTTGGCGGTGCGTTGGAATAGCCATTTTGGAAAAGTGACTTTGGCGGTAAATCCTTCCTAAAGCCAGGCGATGGTCGCACAGCATGACTTTTGGCGGGTTGGCTACTGCTTTCGGCGTCACCTTGCAAAACCTCACTCGTGCGGCGCCTCTTGGTGTCTTTTCCTTGGTACGAGGGTCCTGCGCGAGTCGGTGGTCGATCGTCAGTGGTCTCATGCCCGACCGGGCGCTTTGTTCCGGATTTGCTCAAGTTCGCGCCAGCTGGCTGTCGCTGAGCACCCGCCATCATTCGAGAAGGCGGCCTGCTGCCCTGGCTCTCTGCCTTCTGCTGTTGGCTGATTGTAAAGTCAGGAGGGCCGTTCGGCTGAGATCTAGCCGCTGGCGGCGGAGCTTTCATCTGTTTTGCCTTCTCCAAGGCGGCCTGTCGCTGCGCCGTCTTCCGCTCTTCGGCCAATTCCTTCTCCTTCTTCTGGCGCTCTGCCTCGGCCCGCCTCTGTTGCTCCTGCCGGCGCTGCTCTTCCAGAGAAGCAGCACGCTTGCGCTCTGCTTCAGCCTTTGCCTCACGGCGCTTTTGAGCCTCCCGCTCTTCTGCCTCCTTCTTCTTAGCAGCTGTTTCTGCTGCCTTGGGGCGCGTATTTGCGCTCGATTTTAGGCTTTGTGATGATGCCTTATTGTGCAGAGAAGCCTTGCTGGCTTTCATAGTGGGCTGATGCTGGGGGGCGGAAACAGTAGCGGTCTCCTGAGGGATCGTTGACTGTCGGGTTGCCTGGTGGAACTGCGAGTGCTGTGATCCGGGCTTGACGCGGATGACCGTCGGGGCTTGCTTCATCGTCGTAGTGTCCTCCTTGATCGGTTTCACCGGTCGTTTTACATCTCGGTTCCGTAGAGAGTGTGTGGTGCTCGCTGTGCGAGCAGCCGATGGTGGTGCAATATGTGGCACCTCAACCATATCGACATCCTGCGAAGCAGTTTTCTGTTCGTCATCATCAGAGTTGCGTTTGCGAGCGTTTCCCCGTGCTTTTGGTGTCTGCTTCGTGTGCATTTGTTCCTCTTGCTTCTTAGCAGCAATCTCTTTCTCCATGGCAGCGATGCGCTCCTGTTCCTTGCTAAAGACCCACGCTTTCTCGCGCTCCTTCTCACGCGCTTTGTCTAATCTGTCCAGTTGCTCAGCCATAAGCTTGGCCTCCTTCTCTCGGCGCTTGTCCTCTCGTTGGCGTTCGGCAGAAGCTCGTGTGCGACGGGTTTTGGCAGGACTCAATGAGCCTTCTGTGTTCTGCGATGCGTCGGAGGCAATCCTAGTCACAGGACCGAATGAAGCAGTAGAAGGAGATGCATGCGCTCCCAGCTGGGCGGTTGACGATAGTAGCGAAGATTTTCCCTCCGCACTTATAGCCGCGCTACTTGCTAGGAGGCTTCTTGAGCCCTTGAGAATAGAAGACAGCTTGCTCTTCATCTGCTTGAGAGGACTATCGCGGAAAAGTCGTGATGGTGATCCAGATGGCGTGCCCGGGCCGTCATATTCCGCAACAGTTCCAAGATGCTGAGGAATGGATGTAGATTTCGTGAGAGCCAACTCCCCCCTGACATCGGACTGCATGCTGGGCAGCGTTGAGACTGAGGCAGATTTGCCATGGCCGTGCACACGAGTGGGTTGTTCTGTTTTTACAATTGAGAATTCCGGCTGGCCAATCGTACCCTTTCCTTGTATACCCTCCATGACGTCTGCAGTGTAGCTTTTTGGGAATGCTGGGCGCGTATCTGTCGGAGGCACTGCGCTCGGAGGCTCAATCCAGTCATCATCATCTTCTTCAGGGAAGGCACCGGGTGTCGTCTGTAGCACTTTGCTGATGCTTTGCTTGCGAGTGGGCGAAACTGCCAGACCCGGTTCCGATTGTGAGCCTGGGAGTGCGCTTTGTTGCGCAGACGGGATGGCAGGATATGAGCGAGCCTGTCCCAGAGTGTTGGTGTTGGATTTGCCCAGCTGATTGATCTGGTCCTGCAGCCGCTGGGTGTATGTTTTCGCATCCGTTGTTGGAATTAGCTCTTCTTCCATACCCTTCTCCACCACGTTGCAGGCATTGACTTCGACGTCAGCATCCTCCACTGCATTGCCGAGGCTTCTCCCTGCGCTGGATTTCTCTACGTGGCTAACGCGAGAGACTCTTCCAGCATTTTTACCACCGGCTAGGGGTTCTCGGGCGGGAAGCGAGGCAAAATTCAAGCTGCTCTTCCGCACCACTTGTCGAATGGGGCTAGACGATTCGGAGGGGGAGGTCGGGTCGTCGTTTTCGTCGACCACATCCGTCAAATCTGAGTGGAGGATAGGGGACCTAAGCGGCGACTGCTTCAACGGCGATGATGACTGGACCTTTTTGGCAAAGCTGTATTGCAGTGGAGATGATTCAGCGTCTGAGAAAACAGCCTGTTTGGTGAATTGACGTGTCTGCTCCTCTTTCGCGCTCTGGAAAGTCTTGTCAGACATGTCCGCGAAAAGTGCTTGGGGTTTGCCCAGCTTTGTCGGACTATTGAGCTTCTGAATGTTCCCGGGCTTTTGTGAGCTGCTTTCTATATCGGCGGGCACCGGCGCAGCAGAGTCAATGTCTTGACTACCGTAGTACCCGGAGTCCTGTGTCGATTGAGATGGTGGCATAGACTTCGTTGCCGCTGCCAAAAGCTTCGAGGATCGGCTGATAGCAATGGGAGAGAGTAATTTATTGACGTGATGAAGAGGCGGCCCGTTCGGTGTCGCGGTAAAAACATCCGAGAGTGGCTAGCAATCATTAGAATTATTCATCGGCATAACAGCAGCGAACTTACAACTCGAGCATCGCCTGGCGTGACCGGCTTCCGGATGGCGCGTGGCGTCTTCCCGCGTAGTTTTCCTGGTGTTTTGAAGACATCGGCAAAATTCCTAGTCTCTGGTTAGCAGGCCAGATTGACAAATTGGTGAAGAAGGCGCGTACGTTTCGTTCTCGTCGAAGATACTCGCCATATGCTCATTGAGCCATTCCATTTCATTTCGCGCCGAGAATGAGAACTCTTCCACTTCCGATTGAACAATCTGGAGGGCCGAGGAGCGCTCTTCAGCAATCCATGGCGCGGATCCAACTTGAAGACGAGGACCTCGCATGGCGGCCATTGTGAACTGATGCCACAGCCGCGTGGGCGTTTAGCACAAGTATCGAAGTGTGCAGCTGATTGTGAGGGGTCGGTCGCTGGGAGCTCTAGAGTTACGGAAACATGAAATACGTAATCAATGACCGGCCATAAAGTCAAAAAGAGCTCTAAAGGGCAGAGATCCAATGTCGAGGTATTCGCAAGGTATTAAGTGCGCCTGTCCGTTCCAAAGCAATGTTTTGATTGCAGCTAAATAAGGTTAGCGCGAGATGGCCACGGCCTGGCGCATCAGCGCGCGGATGCGTAAGTGCGAAGGTCACGTGGCGATAGTTTTATCAGAAACCAAACAAGGGATTGTTTACTTTTGGGTCGCGTTAGCGGGCAGCTGGAGACGAAATGCGCCGCCAGCGAAGGGTCCATGCAGCACAATCTATGAGCAACAATTAGTACGGCATCATGAGGGTGATAGAAGTGGTCATCGACGTGAGTGCGCTTGAGTTTGGATAGTTTCTACGGCTATACTAATCGTTTGTAGGGCTTCAAGTCGTACGCCGTGCGTACGGTCATCTCGGGATGGTCTGTTATACCCGCCCGTTTGCAAGAGTAGTGAATCGCTGACTCTCCTCTAGGGATGAAAGTTTCAACTCAATCACGGGTCTTAATGGCAGTGGGAAATCCAACATCCTGGACGCGATCTGCTTTGTACTCGGTATTACCAATATGACGACAGTGAGAGCGCAAAACCTCCAGGTAACAATCCTCGACATGCTAGCCCCAGTGCTACAGTCGCTGACATACTTCAAGGACCTCATTTACAAGCGCGGCCAGGCCGGCGTCACCAAAGCTAGTGTGACTATTGTTTTCGACAACCGCGACACGAAGAAATCCCCAATCGGCTTCGAAGAATATGCTTCAATCAGCGTTACGCGACAAATAGTACTTGGCGGCACGTCTAAGTATCTCATCAATGGCCACCGAGCTCAGCAGCAAACGGTCCAAAACCTATTCCAGTCCGTCCAGCTCAACATCAACAATCCCAACTTCCTGATCATGCAGGGTCGCATCACAAAAGTCCTCAACATGAAAGCTGTTGAAATTCTTGCCATGATCGAAGAGGCAGCTGGAACTCGAATGTTCGAAGATCGTCGAGATAAGGCCCTCAAGACTATGGCTAAGAAGGAGGTCAAGCTGCAGGAGCTCCGAGAGCTCCTTAAAGACGAAATTGAGCCCAAGCTTGAGAAACTGCGAACCGAGAAACGAGCTTTCCTCGACTATCAACAAACGCAAAATGACCTCGAGCGACTGACCCGAGTAGTCGTTGCATACGATTATCTCAAGTGCCAGGAGAAGCTTCGCCAGACAGCGGCCGACCTGGAAGGCAAGAAACAGCGCCACTGCGGACTTGAAGAATCAGCAAAACGACTTCGAAGCGAGCTCTCTCACCTGGAAGAAGACGTCAAAAAGATTCAGGCTCAACGAGAGAAGGAAGCTAAAAAGGGCAGCAAGGCTCAGGCGCTGGAGGAGAAAGTGAAGAAACATGCCAACGAACTAGTCCGACTGGCCACAATAATGGATCTAAAGACGTCGAGCTTGGCGGAAGAGAAGGAGAAGAAACTTACCCTGGAAAAGACAGTCGCTGAACTTGAGGCAGTGCTGGAAGAAAAGACTTCTACATTCGATGCCGCCAAGGCAAAATGCGACGCGGAGAAAGACGGTCTCGCCAGGCAAGCTGAAGAGGTCGAGTCGAAGGAAGAGCTTCTCCAGACTCTTCAAACTGGTGTGGCCTCCAAGGATGGCCAGGAAAATGGCTACCAAGGCCAACTCCAAGACGCGAAGAGTCGTGCAAATGCGGCCTCCACAGAGCAAGAACAATCTAAAATCAAGATAACGCATTTGCAAAGCCGGGTCAAGGAGGAAGAGCCACGCGCAAAGAAGGCCAGAGAGCAGAACGCTGGCTTACTCCGCGATCTTGACGGGCTCAAGGCACAGGCTCAGAAGCTGGAGAAGGAGCTGTCTAAACTTGGTTTTGAGCGCGGCCAGGAAGAGGAAATGCACAAACAAGAATCCAGCCTGCAACAGACGATTCGCTGCCTTTCCCAAGAGTCAGATAAGCTCAAGAGAAAGGTTGCCAACATTGACTTCAACTACGCCGACCCTGTGCCCAACTTTGATCGCTCGAAGGTCAAGGGTCTGGTTGCTCAGCTATTCACGCTCGACAAAAATCACACAAAAGCAGGGACTGCGCTAGAGATCTGTGCCGGCGGCCGCCTATACAACGTCGTCGTTGATTCAGAAGTAACCGGCACACAGCTGCTCCAAAAGGGCAAACTCAGAAAACGCGTCACCATCATTCCTCTGAATAAGATTTCCGCATTCAAAGCGTCAGCGCAGACGATTGCGACTGCCCAAAACATTGCCCCAGGCAAAGTCGATCTCGCGCTCTCATTGGTCGGATATGATGATGAGGTTTCCTCTGCCATGGAATACGTTTTCGGAAACACTCTTGTATGCGAGGATGCAGAGACTGCCAAGCGTGTAACGTTTGACCCGAGTGTCAAGATGCGCAGTATCACCCTGGAGGGAGACTCGTACGATCCATCGGGGACATTGTCCGGCGGAAGCGCGCCGACGTCCAGCGGCGTCCTTGTTACGTTGCAGCAGCTCAACAGCTTAGCCCGTGACCTCAATGAAGCAGAGAGCTCTCTTAAGCAGCTTCAAGCTAAGCTGGCGAAAGAAAAGTCAAAATTCAACCAAGCTCGTCGCATCAAGCAAGACCTTGACCTGAAGAACCACGAGATCAAGCTGGGTGAAGAGCAGATCAGCGGGAACTCGTCTTCTTCAATTATTCAAGAGGTTGAAAACATGAAAACGACCATCGCCGAGCTTCAAGAGAGCATTATCGCAGCAAAGGCCCGCCAGGCTGAAGCAAACGCTGATATCAAGCGTATCGAGAAGGATATGAAAGACTTTAACAGCAACAAGGATGGGAAGCTGATTGAGCTGCAAAAGTCGGTGGATCAGCTTCGCGCGGATCTACAGAAGAATACAGGGGCTGTGAAAGCACTGCAAAAGCGTCTGCAGGGGGCGCAGCTTGACTTGGAACAGGTGAAGACTGATCTGGCGGCGTCTCGGGATCAGGTTCAGGAAGCTGGTCTCAGTATCAAGACGCAAGAGAAGGACATGCAGGAAGTCACCAGGCAGCAGGTTGAGCTGAAGAAGACGCACGAAGCCATGCAAGCTGACCTCGACGACGAACGCGCCAAATTGAACCAATTTGACGATGAGCTTCGTGCGCTTGACGAAGCTACGCGTTCGAAGAATGCACGCATCGCAGAAGAAGGTCTGGAGATGCAGAAGTTGGGTCATCAGATTGACAAGTTCAACAAGGAGCAGCAAACTGCTGCCGAGAATGTTTCTCGACTGGAGGCCGACCACGACTGGATCCATGATGAGCAGGACAAGTTTGGACGCAGCGGCACGCCATACGACTTCAAGGGCCAGAACATTGCCGAGTGCAAGTCGACTCTGCGCAACTTGACGGAACGCTCACAGGGAATGAAGAAGAAGATCAACCCCAAGGTCATGAACATGATTGACAGTGTGGAGAAGAAGGAAGTGTCTCTTAAGAACATGATTAAGACGGTTATTCGTGACAAGAGGAAGATTGAGGAGACCATTTTCAGTCTTGATGACTACAAGAAGAAGGCCCTGCAGGAGACCTGGGAGAAGGTGAATGGCGACTTTGGGCAAATCTTCTCGGAGCTGCTGCCGGGCGGCAGTTTCGCCAAGCTTGATCCCCCTGAGGGCAAGACGATCGGTGATGGTCTGGAGGTGAAGGTCTGCCTTGGCAAAGTGTGGAAGCAGAGTCTCACAGAGCTGAGTGGTGGTCAACGGTATGTTCTTCCTCACACGCTAGGTAGTCTACGCAGAATGCTAACATTTGCTGCAGCTCTTTGGTTGCCCTGTCCCTGATCATGGCGCTGCTGCAATTCAAGCCAGCGCCCATGTACATCCTGGACGAAGTCGACGCCGCGCTGGATCTGTCGCATACCCAGAACATCGGACGCCTGATCAAGATGCGCTTCAAGGGCTCGCAGTTCATTGTCGTCAGTCTCAAGGATGGCATGTTCCAGAATGCCAACCGCATCTTCCGAACCCGCTTCAGCGAAGGCACGAGTATGGTGCAAGCGTTGACACCAGCCGACATGAAGTAAAGCGGAGTGAGATGCTTGCGTGGCTACGCTTTACCGGCGTTGATCTTTTGTATATGTGGGTGGCTCGTCGCCGGTAAGACGAACGGTTATTTCGTTATGTCGTTTATGATCTGCTAGATATGGGACTGAAAGTACTGGGAAGCGTGGAGAACTGCGTTCATGGTTTGATTCATTAGTACCTTTTTTAATGCACAAGATCTATCTTAATGACGATGGTGTTGTTTAACAAGATGAACATGTGTGTATGTTATACAGCTCGACCTGTTTGCACAATGTCCCGCGGCGTAGTCTGGCTCTACTTGCTGCTGAGGCGGACTCGGCATTTCCGAACTTGGACAGACATGCGGTCGTCTTCATCGCATGCCGGGTAGGCCGGTCACTTAACTTCCAAAGACGGGCCAGTAAAGAGACACGTCGCTTTTCCCGGCTTCTCTCCCCTCCCGGGTCCACGTAAAGCTGGTGGATGTGCGAGTACCAGGCACTCGGAGGAAGCAAAGCAAAGCACCCAGACCACACTCGACAGCTGATCTTCATGCACGTGTCGATTAGACAGTAATTTCGGTCCTGAACCAGAGACCCATACGTGAAGAGACTGATCATGGATGCGGGGAGAAGGCCGTCGGGCGGACCAACGGGTATACCACAGCTTTGAAGCTAAAACATTATTAGATGCAACACCACTACGGGTATTAGAACGGGGGTATTCCGATAAGCCAATGTTCACGTGGAGCTGGAGACGGTGAAGGAAGGATATGAGTGATATATTTTAGGCTAGGGCAGATGGATGTGGAAAACTGACCGTCACATAGTACTGCCACCCCGAAACTCAAAGTTCAGCCTGGTCCCTCCTCCGCTCGGGATCTAGGCGAAGCAGGGACAGCTGGCCGGGCTCGACGCCGAGGTAGGCCGCGAGCTCTGCCGGCAGCTCGGCGCCCATGTCCAGCGCCGCGGAGACGAGCTCGCCGTCAGCGAGCGTGACCGGGCCACAGCGCGTGTAGCCGCGGGCGGCGCGCTCCCGCTCGGATGGCAGGGAGAGCGGCAGCATGAACTCGCGCTCCGGCGCGGCGCTCAGCGAGCCGCGGCTGAGCTTGGCGGCGGCGGCCCGGACCAGCCCCGGGTCGCGCCAGGGGAAGCGGACGACGAGGAAGGCGTCGTCGGCGGCGGACATGGGGCCGAGCTGGCGGCTGCGCTTGGCGGGGTCGGGCAGCCACAGGTCGACCTGGAGGTCGGCCATCCGCGGGGGCGCGAGCGCTTCCCAGTCGCTGTCGGATGCGGTGGTCTTGCGCTGCGCGAGGCAAAAGACGCGGTCGAGGTTGCCGCCGGGCAGCTCCGTCGCGTCGGGCAGCTCGATGCCGCGACAGGATGTGAGCGGGTGGATGAAGCGCGGCGGCGCGGGAGAGGAGTCGTCGTCGTCGTCGGTCGCTTGAGGAGAAAGAGGAGGAGGACACCGGTCGCGCGGACGGCCGTCCCGTGCCGCCGGGAGGCCGATCTTGGAGTGTGTCTGGCCGAGGGCGTCGGAGCGCTCCACCGGGATGGGCGGGAAGATGATGAGGACGGGCAGGGAGAAGACGGCGAATGTGACAAGGAAGAGGAAGACGGAGGAGACGTCGAGCAGCGAGGCAATCTCGGCTAGCGAGGCCATGGTGGTCTGATGGCGAAGATGAGGGCCCCGACTGAGGCTCCCTCACCGACTAGGAGCAGGTTGATTCAGTTCCTCGGCGACTACGGAAGGCCCATGCGATGATGAGGGTGGCTTTGATGTCAATTCAGTCGCGCAGCAAGACAGTTTGATCACGCAACAGGTCTTGCTTTCTTCTTTGTTGTTTCCCGTGATAATAAGGGGACAACGGTTTGATGTTTCACGGAGTGTATGAGCCCACCGAGGAGGGTTCCACTAGGGAACGGCCCTGTTAATTCCATCACCAGTCATAGGCCCGTATCAAGTTGTGGAACAAGAAGAGAAACCAAGACGGCATGAAAACAAAACAAAAAAAGGGATAGTAGTTTTCCAAAACATCGCGGCTCTTGTCCAGAGTTAGTGATGGGCAGCTATTTCGTCGGGTAGGTAGATGCCGGGTAGGCGAAGCGACTCACATCAGGTGGACAAGGATCCCAGGAACATGACCCCGGGCTTTGAATGTCACTGCCCTGGCTAGGAAGGGACCAGATGACTCAAAATCCATCAACGGCCAGGGATAAAAATGACAACTGTGGCTTGAGAAGTTGATCAAGTTGAGACAGTGAGACATGCATGGTCCACCGCTCTGTCGGGATGGGAAGGTGTCAAGGTGTCAAGGTGTGTGTGGTTTGGGTACCGCTGGGACGGTTCTCGCTCTTATTATGCAGGAGGCTGTGCTTTCACCTTTCATTGCTAGTCGTTTTTGCTGTTATATCGCAGGCTGTTAGTCGCATGTGGTCGCGCAAAGAACTCGATAACTAACCAACTTGCAAAAAAAAAATAGACGAGGTACATACATACGTAGTAGTAGTTGTTACTCCATCAGTGAGCTCCAGCCCCCCCCAAACTGTAATAAGGCAGAGGCAACCCACCAACAAAGATGATACCTACCCTGTAGGCTTTGCTCTCAGCACAACCAGACACATGCACCAAGCAGGCAAGCTAAACATCCGATGTAAGAATTGCGGATGTCAATTCTCCAAAATTATGCCGTCTGTCCGTGCATGAACGACTCTTCCCTTTCCTTCCCGGCCAACAGCGGGGGAACGCAGCGAGACACTGCCAAGGACCGCCCGAACTCTATATCTTCGATGGAGTTGTTTTTTCAGTTTTCAGGTTCCCGGGATTCCCTTGCCAGGTTGAACTGGGGGGGGGGGGTCTCTCTCGCGATGCCCGGTCCCGACTTTTGATGAACCCGTCGTTCGTCCGCGGGGGATGTTGCCCTAACTTACCCGGTTGAGTTGGCCGTCTTGGAGTCGCTCACCCCCCCCGCGTTGATGAAGCTTCCGACACGCTTGAACGGCAACGACACCGCCTCTTATCTGATCCAACTCCGCATAATACATGATCGCCGATTTGCTGTCCGAATGTAGCAGGATATTGAGAAAGCGCCTTGGCAAATGCAATGCATTGTAGTAATGTTCGCAGTTTCGAGGGAGCCGTATTGTGCATGTTGCGCGGGTTGTCAACGCATGGCAGTGCTCTTTGCTTCATGAAAGCGCAACGTATTAATCAGGTAAAATGGCAGCATCGATGGCTGAAAATGAAGAAAAGTATAATTCTACTCAAGTAGAGTCCGCGGCATCGGCCCCAGCCGCGTCGTCTAGCTCGTATCTCGTCCCATTTGCATCGTGGTGCATGACACTGCATCATCGGTCCAACATGGCCTACCTTTTTAACCTATACACTTGGTAAAGTCAATTCCCTGGCTGTTTCAGTCTGGTTCATCCCATTCTTCGGCAAACGATGGTCTCGTTTGGATAGCTGGACGGCAATAATTGCCTCCCAAAGTCCGTTGGTTGGACAATTGTTTACGAGACGGACCGCAGTGACCTTGATTCTTTCCGTGGATATACTTCTGATGATATTTAGAGTTTCAACGAAGTCACCGCTACTAGATGAGAACTTATGCTTAAAAGCCTTCTTGAAAGAAACAAGCTTTCCCGACCAGATACGAAGAGGTGCCATGCCAAGTGTTGGTCCAAACTGAAATCTTCTCAGCCGCAAGTCGTGGCCTCGGCCTCTCCCCCGAGAAGAACCGAAGTCTTGGAGGTTTTCAGGCAGGTTTCAGAGCAGCAGATTGTTCTCCTCTATTAAACTTTTTTTCGTCTCCGTAAGTAATTTACTCTCTTTGGCTTGTGGGTTAGGTGAGCAAGAAAAGCCTTCTTGGGGAAGCCATGGATCCGTCCTGCTAGGGTTTCGGACCGCTCATGTACATGACTCAATGGTATTATTATCGCGTGGGGGGTTCTTCCTTCGTCGAGGTCAATATAATGCCGACTTTTCCATGGTCAAAGCCCCTAACGTGCAGTTGTTTACTAAACATATGAACAAACCAATATTTCCAAACAGATTGACGATCAGAGCCCCCCTCTAGCGCCGACATAGGACCCGCGACGGATTACGAATGTGTACTTGTCAACGTTTTGAAGTTTGGTCCTTTGACGGCGACTTTGAACAAAGTTCCCGTGCATTGATACTACGTAGCACCCGGCATTGAGCTAATCAACTAGCCACGTTGTGCTTGGGTGGTTGGAATACACGACGGCATTTGATGCTCTGGAACGCTGTCGATGAAGCTAACCAGCGAGTAGGGCGGGGACGGCGGTGATTGATCGACGGCTAGTTGGGCTAGCTAACAGCCCCGACATTATGCAAAAATCAAGGCTCATGGGAGATTGTACTCTGCTCTCAGCTGGTCATCGCGCTCAGAATGGAGAAGACGAGCAAGAGATGCGCGGCGCGGGCAACCGTCGACCTGCTCTCTCAAATGAGGCTCAGTTGTTGTCCTTGGCCTGGGCTCGTAATAAAACTCAGGGACCCATCCCGGTGCCGGGTTTAGAAAAGAAGCACCGGATGAGAGTGAGGCCCTTGTCAAGCAGTAAATTTGCAACTTCTTTTTCCAGTATAAGATCGCCAGTTTAGTCTTTCCGTCATCTTTCACTTACAAGCAAAAAAGGAAAAAGAAAGGACATGTGTGGCGCCGGTGTGCCAAGGCTGCTACTCTACCCGCCCCGAGGCAGCTTTTGGTCAAGTTCCAGTTCGCCCCCAAGGGTTCTTAACCCCCCCTCCCCTCCCCATGGTTAATATACGCCTTCTTCTTCGCCTCAGCTGAGGGGCAAGGGGGCAGTTGTTTGTTCTTGACGTCCCGAGGGCGTCCGCTCCGCACAACTTGGCATCGACGCAAAGGCCGCCCGGGGGCCTGGATTTCTGGAATACGAAAGCACGATGTGAATAGCCACCTTGTCACGAGAAAAAGACGGAGCCATATTGTATCAGTCGCTCGGATGGTCAACCCGTGTTGGCTAGCTGGTCAGTAGTCAAAGCCAAAAAAAGGTCTGTGGTATACCAAACGCGCCAGGTTTTCCGCAAAATAGCATACGTTATCTTCTTATCTCTTGCTAGCTTGAGGGAATGTTCTCTCGATCAGCAAGTCCCACTTCAACTTGTCAGGCTCACGGGCATCCAGATCATACGTTGGTGTCTCAACGCCCCTGACACTTGTACGGGTTGGCTACCATCAATAGCAAGGCTACAACTCATTCTGGGACGAGCCACATACTAGAACTGATATACCAGTCTGTACCAGTCCAAGCACCGAGGGAGTGGCGTTTCGCGGGGAAGGGAAGGGAAGGGCGGGAGCTGCGCCACTCGCCGTCGTCTACTTGGTGCTTTGTGCATGGTCGGGATTGATTTGCTAGTTGAGTTGACTTTTTTTTGTCTCAGCGAGGGACGCCTCTTTCTGGGGTGATGAAACCACAGGAGACTTGGCGGCGACGACATTGCAGCCTGACGGATGGCCTGTCCAGCTGTGAAGCAGGAGGAAGCAGAGATGCTGCATGCTATGCAAGGCAGCACAACGTCAGAACCTGAAGTCTTGGCACGCTGCTGGGTTATGGGCACTAAACTCCGGATACTCTCCGTAGTACTCTCCGTAGTACTCTCCGTAGTAGTCTCCGTAGAACTCTCCGTAGTAGTCTCCATAGTACTCTCCGTAGTACTCTCCGTAGTACTCTCCGTAGTACTCTCCGTAACGAGTACGAATCATGTATATATGATTTGGCCGTCCGTGCAAGAAGGGGAAGAAGGAAAAAAAAAAACGGCGGCCCCATGGCGGAAAACGGGGGGAATTGACTCGTCCATCCTGTGGCTGGCGACCCTTGCTCGAGAACCTGTTTTCTTGTTTTTTTTCTTGTCTGCCTGCCCAAAAGGGAAGAATTCCCGTCATCGTCTGAACAAAGCCCCCACGACCAAGCCCATCGGCGAGTAGGACAAGGAACAAGGGGCGTGAATCAATGTTGTGGCTTGCATCCCGCCACACAGCATTAAGGATTAAGGGCTGCTGCCCGCGGCACGAGAAAGCGGCGGCGACGGTTGCGGGTGAGTCAAGCGCGGGCAACCACCGGCTCGAAAAAAAGAGGAAGAAAAAAAAACCGCCAAAGAGTTTTTTTTCTTTCAACAAAAGTACAGTTGCAGAAAAACAAGGGTTTGTGGAGTTGAAAAGTGCACTTACTGTAGTTAACCACATCGCTGCAGCCCAGTGGGTACGACTTCGTTATCTTTCAGCTCAACATGCCCTCGTAGTATGGAGGTAGCAGGGCGAGAAGGTGCTGCGGGATGGCCCAGATGAGTCTTGGTTCAGGCTCTGCTCTGCTCTTCATGCAGGGTCATCATGTCATGTAACTTCGGTTTTGTTTATTGTAATAAATCGGCAACAATGGCAAAATTCTCCGCGGGCACGGATCGGGGGGTGGTGTCAGTGTCGGCGGCATGCATTGCGCGCATAGACAGGTACACTGGGGGTTCAGCAGGGTAACCGTGGTTGTGAGTTGTCGTGACACCTGAGTATGTATTCCCTCCCAGTTATCGTTGCGGGTTGCATCGCGCGGCTGACGACCGGTTGGAAACGTTGGGACAGCTTGGCCAAGCAAGGTCGGGGCTGGGCAGGACGGACACCCGTCCTCTTCCGGATACTTGGCGGTCTAACTGCTCAGTACCAGTAATTAGCTGACGTTTGGCTATTCGCTTCTTCGTCTGGAAACGGTCAATGCCCTGGGTGATGCGTACCGTACATGCGGTAAACGTCTTCGAGCTTGACGCACACCATCGACCCGTTCTTGGGCTTGTCAAGGATCAGGATCTCCGTTTGTGGTGGGGATTATGAAATGGGCAAGACATTTTCGACACAAGTCTGGCGCGGCCAGCCCTGTTTACTGGATCTTTCATGCCAGCCAGGGAAGTATCCGTCTGTGAAAGTAAAAAAAAAAAAAAAAAAAAAAGCATTAATTTGGCAGACGCCGTTCGATGTCACGATATCGTCCCGATCTGCTGTTTCCATTGCACCTTCCTTGTATCCGGAGTTCCTGCACTTGTGGAGCGAGCGAGTGAGCCTAGGACAACCCCCCCTCCTTTCCTTTGATTGGCCATGTCACAGTCTAACCCTTGAGAGGCCCAAGACAAACGAGCGGCTCTTTTCAAGTGCCGGGGGCCATGTTCAATTTCTTTTTACTTATTAGTAGTAAAATAGTAAAATAGTAAAATCCAAAATATCTACCATGTTTGTCTGGAGGGAGGGTGGGAGTCGCGGGGAGGTGGGCCGCGCTTTGCAAACACCTTGGCAACAGCAGCAGCCTAGACAGGCATTAAGGTTTCCAACGTCGCGCCGAACTAACCAGGTCGGACAGGTACATAGTTTCTCCGTCAACATGGGATAACACACGGCCGTCGATGTCAAGTAGTAATGGCGGGGAGTATCTATCATGCTAACTAACGGTTTTAGGAGAGGAGAGAATCGGGGAAATGGGAGGCAGAGAGAGTCATGTCATCGACGCCGTCGGGGTGATGCAAAGTCTTTCTTTCCAGTTGCCCCTTCAGACTGAGTCTCAAGTCGTTCAAGTCGCCGACCTAATTGGTTAACATTAATTCGCTCATCCATGTACATACATGAGCCATCAACTACACGCAACTTGCTCACATTGCCCGCATTCGACCATCCAATACTTGGGATATACAACGTGGCGTACACTTCCTGCTTGTAAATATGGCAGGCAAATGGCGGACAAGGTTCTCTGGTATGTGTGTATGTATGTACCTAGTCCGTAACTAACGTACATAGTGGAGGCTGATAACTGACGGACGGAGAAATAAATCAGAAAGTGGGATGGGGAAAAGGAATGAAGAGGGGGAAAAAAAACTTGATTAATTAAAGTCAAAATCAGATTTGGCCCACAGGCGCATCGACATCTGATAGAATGGCTTTGTTGGGCGCTGTTGGGCAGGGGTTCCAGCCGCTAGTTTTAAGGCAAGACCGCGAAAAAAATAGGGGACAAGGCGGCTGTGGCTTTTCTGTCTGTACAACAAAGCGTCTCCAGAGAACATTCTCTCCCAGCATTGGTGCAAGAGTACCTCCTTCCTGATGTCCTTGTCCTTATCCTTGCTAGGTAGCATGTCCTCGCAACATCAAGCCCCGTCCGGATCAGTCAACTGCCGTACAGAAGTACCTATCTCGAGGTACTAATGTAGAAAGGAGCTTCTCCGACTGACTTACATCAAGTCTCTTAGCTTTATTATGACTGGTAGTACCTACGGTGAGTGGGGTGGAGGGATGGATGTGCTGAAGGATGCATGGCCGGCCGGCCCTGCAGCCAAACTACGATGCCCGGCCGGGTCTGTCTGCATCATGCATCAACAATGCAGGCGGCTGCTAGCTATGTACCTTGCCAACTTTCTGTCACCGTCCTGAGTCCTGACTACCTGGAGAGCGCAGCGCGAGTCAAGGATACTTGGGCGATTGCCGTATCTGTCTTGAGCGATTGCAGCGCCAAGCCTTTTCGACAAAATCCACACCGGAGAGCTACAGTAGTACAAAGTACCTCTTACAAGGTACCTCCTACGATGGGGCGTGACGGCCTCCCACTAGGTCACTAACTAGTTACCAGTAACTTTATTCCCTAGGAATTTGTGCCTACCTCTGCTTGCCTCGGTGCTTTTGTTCTTGTCGTCTCCCTTTAATCTGTACCAGTGTAGTAAACTAACTACTAGTCAGCTGGGGTCCCGGGCCCGGGACCGGCTACTTGGGTCCATGTCAATGCGTACTGTAGAGTACGTGCGTGGTGCGGGTAGCGACGGGCGTACTTCCCATCTCCCCTTGTCGCGCTGCCAGGTACCTGTTGAAACCACATATGTAGGTAGGCTCTGTACGTACCCCTAGGTATCCGTAATCTGCGCCAATTGTCGATAAGGATAAGCCGATAACTAGATGGAGATGGCTGCACCTCCTCCAACTTGCTTTCCTCAGATCTAAGGAAAACCCTTCATCGTTTCAACAACTGCCTAACCAGTACGGATACAGCGCAAGGCCTATTGTACATAGGTTACTCGGCGCCATTCTCCAGTTACTACGCTGGTCAATCCCCCACAGGGCCCCTTGCCCCCCTTGCCCGCCTGAGTAGGGTGGCTTGCTGATCGAACGTCGTTAACCTCTTTCCGGCGCGCGCTCGTTAACGTCAGCTAGTTGCCCATGCATACCACGTACACACGCCCGGCTGGCTGCATGATGATGCCGTCATCTGCTCCTCTTGCGCGGCTACTTGCTGTCGGTACTACAGCATCAGTTCCAGCGACAGGCGACCCTGAAGGAAAGACATGAGAACAGACTTGACAGCCACTTTGTGTCCGGCGCGCGGCACAGTTTTTACGGACTTGTTGTCCCCAACATCATCGTCGTCCCATCCATCTTCATCATATCTCCAAGCAAATCAGTCAGCCGAAACAACAACGCCAAGCGCGAAGCCGTTCCATTCGGTAACTAGCTAGATAGTAGTAGTTAGTACCCATGGATACTGTAGTATATACTGACGACTGACCAGTAACCCGTTTCGACAAGAGAGAAACTCCACAGTCGGCGCTGAAAATGCAAGTTCTGGCCCTTCTCATGTCCGCTGCGGACCACCCCTCCCCCCCTCCCCCCTTGTGGCCGGTAGCAATGTCCCAGATCGCCATGAAGTCTGCGCATCCACACGCACCTTAACTCCACCACCGGTACCACCTTTTGCCAGTTGGACAGACCAAAGAGTCACGTACAGTAAGTCCATTCTCATCAACAACTTATTAGTCTAACAAGTGACGGATGGGCTGGGATGGCTGATGATGGCTGATGATGGCTTGCCCCCCCTTCCCTGCGCCGGGCCCTTGTTCCCTGTCCAGCCACTACGCGGCAACTACCAGAGCAAACTCCACAAAGTTGGGAACCGTTGTCCTCTCTCAGACACCCTCCTCCACCCTACCAGACAGGCAACAGCGAAAGCAGGCTCGCGGCCTCTCGTCCGAGTCGCCCGGTACCTGTTGATGCCAGTGGAAAGAGCTGCCAGGCTCCCTTCGCTGTAGCTCCGCGCCAGAGTCCACAAAGATGGCTCTCTTGAGGATCACCTTGGCATGCCAACAGATTGCTTGCCTCGTACTGGTCGCCTTCGCTCGTCTCTAACCTGCGCCCACCTGCTCCGCTCTGGCTCCTCCCAGAGTCCCTTTACCATGAGGCCTGCCTACACGGGTTTGGCTTGCCTGCGTGCCAAACTCTCATCGGCTCTATCTTCCGTACCGGCAAGGGCTACCTGCTAACGAAGAGCTATGGAACAATGATATAAGTATTAGCAGTAGTGCCTGCCAGCTTCAGCCTGGTTGTATGAGTTGGCCTTGATCGACCGACCAAAAGCTTCATCTCTGCCCTCTCAACTCTACACATCCTTGCCTCTGCTTACTTGTGTCAATTACTTTGTCCCCCTCGGAGCCGCTCTCCGTACGTTTCTCTCCATTATTATTCTCACACTGGTAGCACTCCCCAGTCACATTCCTTGCCTCCCGGCAGCCGGGGCGCGACCTCCCATCTCGCCACATAGCGCATGTAGCTCGACAGGGTTCTTGCAAGAATTGTTACCACACACGCACGCCACCAGTCATTCACAATCACTCGAGCGTCGCCCGTGTTAACTTGGGCCCATCTTTCCCCCTTCAGGTGACCTCGTCTTGCCGAACACAGCAGGAGAGTGTGCT